TTATTTTTATATTGCCTATATAATTCTTTATCCCTCACGTAAAAAAAATTCATTCAAATAATTTTACAAAACAAGCAAATCTAACATTGGAGAAAAAGTTATCGGCACAAATAGACCTACTCGAGAAGAATAATTTCTTATACAAGGCGACATTGAATTTATATATTGATTTAATTTTATAAACAGTCGATACGAACTCATAATTCAAACATGACATAAAAATGTTCAACATCCAACATTGATAACCATGTCAACAATTTTGGTTGGAAAGTTAATCACAAAAATTGGTTGTATGATTTATAGTTGAATCAAAATATATATATATTTTTTCATATTAATAAGAATAAATTTACTTTTAAAAATATTGATTTAGTTTATAAACATTGTACAAAGCATTGTCCTAAAGAATATATATATATTTTGTGACCGAACAAATAAAACTCGAGACAATTATGTAGATAAAAATAATAATGGCTCAAATATGATAAAATTAATACTAGTTTGATTTCATCTATCATATAAAATTAAATTCAACATTATATTAATCCAATAGAATTTAAAATATTTTTATATGGTACATATGTGATTGTCTGTGGATTTGATTTTTGGGTTTAATTTTTTAATAGTAAATTTTGAATTTGAACATTTATTTGATGGGATGTAAAATAGATAATAATGTAATATAAAAAAAGAAGAATAGTTGTTTAATTTAATATATATTTTTTTAAAAAAAATAAATGAGTAATAAAATTCTTGTGAGAAACTTACAAAAGAACACAAACTTCTACAATAATGTAAACTTAAAATTAAATCACGAACACCATTTTCATATAAATATTAAGATCATGGTTTTTCGATTATAACACATAAAAAAATATCGATGCGTTAATGTTAATTAATTTGTTATGTTATATAATTACAAAATATATTTGAATCTCGTTAAAAAAAAAAAAACATTCTATTATATTTAATTATATGCATTAAAGTAATTTGACACTTTAATGATTTTTACAATTTTCAATAATTATTTTAACATACAATTGTCAATAAATATACATAATTTTATCTCACAGTTTATAATTTTTTAAAAACGGCGATAAAGATATAGACAAAGTTAATGTCAATACCCTATTAATTTAATATAAACGGTTTGATTATTCTAATAATATATTTAATACATTAGATTTTATAAGGGTAATTTAGTAATATTACGTATATTTATCATCTTATAGTGTTGTGAGCACACGATTGTATATTATAATCTGTGTTATTTGTTCGGGGGTATCTTGTTTATGTGATATGATGATCTGAAAAAAGAAAGACATATCTTCTCGACTAGAATATCATTCATCACTTTATTTTCTATATCAATGGACACGTGACATCATTTTACTCGTGGTTAAAATCATTTAATTTTTTTATGATTATTTTTACAGTATTATATTTTAGATGAAACTTCGTCACCATCAACTTTTCTTCATATTTCTTGACAGCATGAATGTCAACACTCTGCTGGTATAATAAAGACCATTTGATCATTTAAATGATATACATATTTAATGATTTAGATGTTATAAGGGTAATGTAGTATTATTATATTAGTTATTATCATATAGTGCTAATTTAACGTTAACTAGATATTTGTATTTATATGTCGTATTATTTGAATATAAACTATATATTATTTGTACGTAAGTATAAAATTGTTTTAATATATTCTACAACAATACGATGCTAAATGAACCTTGATGATTATATTTATATGTCACGCTAATAGAATATAAAATATGTATTTATAAGACTGTTCAAATATATTATCAATTATTTTCATGTATAGTTTTAAATGAATGTTAATTATGTAATATTTATATTTATATGTCATACTATTAAAATATAAATTATGTTCTCTTTGTGTATAAGTATAAGATTATATGAATATATTCTAAGTTATTTATACATATTAATTATGTCATGTTTTTATACATATGACCTACTATTTCAATATAAAATATGTATTATTTGTATCTATTTGAATATATTATATCTCATTGTCTTCCTCCTCATTATGTATTATTTAGTATATCTTATTTTTTTATTTTTCAAATTTTTCATACTTAAATATTTTCATCATCTTCCTTCTTTTTTTTCGCTTTCTTTATATATATATATATATTTTGCAATTTTTCAATTTTTTTTTCTTTCGTGTGTCTTTCCAATTATTCTTCAAATAATTATTTAATATCTAAATATCTTCATCTTTATTTTTCTTCCTCTCCTTCTTCCTCTATTTATTTATTTATTTTTTTTGTCTTTTTTTTTTTTTTTTTGCAATTATTCATATAGTCTCTCAATCATCTTTTTCATATTTTATTTGAAATAACTTTTTCACCCTAATTGATATTATAATCGTTTAATCCAATAAATTTAAATTAATCATTACGGTGTTAATTAGTAATTTTTTAAAAGATAAATTAGCTTATGATCTTTTGGCTAATTTGTTGGTTAGGTCTAATTTGTGTTATTATTCAAAGAAAGTTATACAATTATTATGTACCATTAGTCTATTAAACTTATACATATTTAATTTTAAAATTATAACACTTTGGTCTATGTTTATATATGAAATCATAGATACAAATCCTTTTAACATTCTATGTTTGAACTAATGTCCAAATTAGAATTAATTTTAAATGAAAAATAAATCAAATTCTAATTTAACCAAACTAAATCATTAAAAAAAAAGTGCACTTTATTGATTATACAAATGATATTGCATATGTTTGATGCTTTACTATAAAAGTATTTGTTCTGATATATTATAAATGTAACACTCTCTTACACTAAAAAAAAAAAAATAGTATATTTGTAACAGAATTCCGTTCTTAAAGTTCACGTAGCTAACGTAATTTCATTCCTAATTTCGTCTCTAATATCATTAGTAACGGAAAAAATAGATTTAAGAACGAAAAAACCTCGTTACAAAATTGATATTTTCTTGTAGTGTCAATTCACTAGTAAATTTTATATTTATCATTTTAGTCGACTCAAATAAAAAAAAAATTTATTTTATTTTAAAGTAATTCTCAATTGAATACCAAAATACTTTTACGTTTTAATTTTTACATTACTTTTGAAGGGTAAAATGAACATTATATTATTTTATTACACTACATGTATGTATAAAATACTAAATTACTTTAATCCGTGTACAAAAATCAAATAAAAAATTTACTAGTGGATGGAGGGGGAATATCTAGATAAAAAATTATATAGTAAATATGACATAAATAAATATTGAATATGAATTTCTTTAATAATTAATATAAAAATATAGTTAAAATATAATTAAACCTGGTAATATATAAGGGTGTAATTTTTTATTTTGTATTTTTTATATTTTTTTATGTAAAGTATGAAAAATTATGTACGTAATATAAAAATAAAAAGTATGTATAATATATTAATATTTTAAAAAAAATATATGTTAATTTTTTTGTTAATTAAGTTCGGTGCTTAATTTAATGGATCATAACATGATCCATGGCGTATATATAACATCTTTGCAAATCCAATTGTAATCATAATTAGAAAAAATCGAACTAATATTACTATAATAACTTTAAAATTAAAGCATACAATTATATTAAGTTTGTTTGGCTATGATTTGGAATTGATTTCAAATAAAATATTACTTTAAATTTTTTGTTTAACCAATATTATGATGTGATATTTTGTGATAGAAACAATACATTTTTATTGAAAATTGAATAAGATAAATAACATTGATTTTGATTTAAAATGCTAAAAGAAAAAAAACTATTATTTATTATTATTATTATTATTATTATTATTATTATTATTATTATTATTATTATTATTACTGAGCATGGTGTGTATATATATATAACAACAATATTTTGCCAATATTTAAAAAATTTTATGTTCAATATAATGTATGATATATTCCTCCAATTTCAACAATTATATTCATGTAACATAATAATACAAAACAATTTTTATTTTATTTTCTTAACACCCCTCCCCTTCCATATGTTCTATATATATATATGTATAAAAGATTTTTTGAAATAACACATTCAATCCTTAATTACTTTTATATTCCTTATTAACTTTCCAATTCCCATTTTATTTAATTTCTAATCCCAGTTATTTTAAAACAAATACGCAATTAACCCCAAATTAATTATCTTACTAAAAAACATCTAATTAATTACTAAATATTTACCAAACATTAAGGTTGGATAATTATCAAAAAATTTACCTCAATTATTATTGCGATTAATTAATTAATTAATTACTATAATATACTAAATATACATAAAACATACAATGAACAATTCAACGAACGAATCCCAATCGTTCAATTTTGATTGGGTAAAAGTTAACGGTCCAGATGTACCAGAGGCAGGCTTAAGGAAGCTTCTCGTGTCGCCACGTGTCCTTTACTAACTTGCGCCACCCTTACCATGCGCCGTTTCAGTTACCATCGCATTGCTGTTTCTCATGCTAACTGTAAAACTCGCTCGTCATCTCAACATCCATTCCTCTCTGAAGATCTTCGGTCGGAACTGTGGATTCGTAATCTGGAGGAGTTTAAGGCATTCATTCATTTATATCTGCGGTAATTTTTAGTTTTTGATTCCTGGAATTCTTCGTTTGATCGGACTGATTCCGTTTTGTTCCTCTAAATTCTCGTTTGCTGAATCGATACACGTTCAAATCAGTGATATTCTCTGCTCATTAATGCGTGTCTCCATTTCCGTGATTTATTGTGATTTCGAAGGATACCTGGTCCGCCGGGAAGTTTTCCCTCGGATTGTCGAGGAGATCGTGAAGGTTTAGGGTTTTCCGGCGACGATCGTCGCTGAATGTAACAGTTTCTAGTTATGCTTCCATCTCGTTCAGTAATTTGATGAGAGATTTCGATTAGTTTTTTCATTATAGCTTGCTTACGAGGTTGTGGAGGAATTTTTGATCTGATGAGGCGCAGACATACAGTGCAACCATTGGCCGATTTGCTGGAAAAAGGCCAATGGATTCAGAACAAGTTTTCGAGCGTATGTTTGCTTGCTTCGTTATCCGCATTGTTCTGGTTTTGTCTGCTGTACTTCAATCTGGTGGTGATTGGCGGCAATTATAAGGCTGGTGAAGTTTCTGCTCAATCGGAATTGAATTTCATCGATTTTGAATCGAGGAATCTCCTGCCTGTTCTTCCCAATCCTTCCTCTGTCATTCCGAACACCCGTCGTTCTGGATTTTACTCCGACGCCGGAGAACTGCTCGACGATGAATCGACAGGTGAATTCGCGAATCCTGTGAAGAATTCGGATATTAATCGGTTCCATAACAGAGACGATGAGCTGAATCAGGGGATGATTAAGAAGGCGTATCCATTTATGCGAGCACTAACGACAGTAGAAAACAAAAGCGATCCATGTGGAGGAAGGTATGTCTACGTCCACAATCTTCCCCCAATGTTCAACGAGGAAATGCTCACAAACTGTAAGGATCTAAATCCATGGGAGAACATGTGTAAGTTTTTGATAAACAGTGGTCTCGGATCTCCATTAGAGGATAAAACAGGGGTGTTCTCAGAGACAGGATGGTATGCTACAAATCAGTTCATGTTAGATGTGATCTTCCACAACAGGATGAAGCAATACAAGTGCCTAACAAATGATTCCTCCATTGCTGCAGCTATCTTCGTGCCATTCTACGCAGGATTCGACATCTCCCGGTACCTCTGGGGGCACAACAACATATCAACTAAAGATGCGGCATCTCTTGCATTAATCGATTGGCTGACGAAGAAGCCCGAATGGAGCATAATGGGAGGAAGGGATCATTTCTTCGTCGGAGGCAGAATAACATGGGATTTTAGGCGAATGAGTGACCGAGAAGGGGATTGGGGCAACAAGCTTCTTTTATTACCGGCAGCCAAGAGAATGTCGATGCTTGTAGTGGAGTCGAGCCCTTGGGACTCAATTGATCAAGGGATTCCATACCCCACCTACTTCCACCCTGCAAAGGACGGCGATCTGATCGCTTGGCAGCGCCGGATGAGGACAATGCAGAGGAAGAATCTCTTCTGTTTTGCAGGCGCGCCGCGGCCGGGAAGTTCCAAATCCATCCGAAGCCAGATTATGAAACAATGCAACAGTTCCAAGATGTGCCGATTGTTGGAGTGTATTCAGCATAGGGATAGCAAATGCTATTCTCCCACCAATGTCATGGATATGTTTCAGAAATCAGTTTTCTGCCTGCAACCTCAAGGGGATTCCTACACTCGAAGATCTACGTTCGACTCAATCCTCGCCGGCTGCATACCTGTCTTTTTCCATCCAGGCTCAGCCTACGCTCAGTACACATGGCATCTGCCCAAGAAATACTCCCAATACTCGGTCTTCATTCCGGAGGACGATATTCGCAAGAACATAAGCATAGAGCAGAGGCTGAGGCAAGTATCTGCAGAGGAAGTGAAAAGAATGAGAGACGCCGTGATAGATCTAATTCCGAAAGTTATATATGCAGACCCTCGATCTAAACTCGAGACGTATAAAGATGCATTCGACATATCTGTCGAGGCAGTCATCGACAAGATCACCAAGATGAGGAAGGACATAATCAGTAGGCAAATAGACAATCAGATTTTGGAGATTAGTTCCAAATATGCTGCCATGGGAGAAGGCCAAGGATTATGGTCTAATGAATGGGATTCATATTTCTCAAATTCTCAGAAAAATGAGGCCAAGTCGAGGTATTAATAATTATTATAATAATAATTCTTGTAGATCATCAACAGGAGGAGCAACTGTGAAGATTCTTGGAGAAATGAGGGAAGATCTTAACAATTCTTCAATCATGAGAAGGATCGGATCAATCAATCAAGGAGCTTTCATGGATTTATCCTAAGGCTTATATGCTCTCAATCAAAAACTTCAGGTAAAATTTGGTGGAGAAAGGTATGGTTTCTTTAGCCGTTCTTGGTTAAATTAAACCTTTTTTTTATCTATAACAAATTCAATTTTTAGTGGTTTTCAAATAATACCATTTTCATTGCCCATTCATTACTTTTTGTTATTGTTTCTTGTTATATAATTTGTCTTAAGTGATTCTTGGCTGATTTAAGAAATAGTAAACAAAATGATGGTCTTAATTTTAGGTTAGAGAGAGAGAGAGAGAGAGAGAGAGAGGGGGAGGGAGGATTGTAGCTTAGCTGGCTGTGTACTTTTCCTTAAAACATAGAACAAACCAGTAGATCACCATGCCTGGAGCTGTGGTCCCGGGAGTGAGCAAGAATAGGTAGCTGACTTGTAAGTAAGATACATCTAAGACAAGTACTTGATGAAATGTCACACATAGACAACCACACAACACATAGAAAAGGATACCCAAATCATCCCATTGTCTCCAAGTACTATCATTACGTACAAATACTAAAAATATTTTGTAATTTTAAAAAAAAAAAATAATAATAAAATAGTTAGGACCACTAAAAAGAGTAGAGGGAAAAGGCACCAACCAGCAAGAAGAGCATTTGGCAAAGTTACAAATTAAACGAAGGGACTGATGATTTTTCAAGTGCCAAATTGAACAAGGCAAATATGGTCCCTATTCAAGTACATAGTGAAAATGAATAATTAAGGGCTAGAATTATGTTAGTAGTTACATGTGACACATAGTCAAGTACCATTGGATATTTACCATTTTTGTGAATAACTTTACTTTGTTTTATAAGGGGACAATTCACATATTCCATTTTTTCAACATGATGTGTCCTCTCCTTATTAAGATAATTGATGAATAATCACACTCACATCAATAATATTTCAATATTTCATGGTGTGTTTGTTTTGTGCTTTGATTTTAAAGAATATTTTTTATATGAGGTATAGAAAATTGTATAAGTGATATAAAAACAATGAGTATGTATAGTATATTAACTTCTTTTTTTTTTTAAAAAAAAAAGTGTTGAAAATTGAGTAAAAGAATAAATAAAAGAGGACAAATAGTTTGTCTATTTGTGTTTTTCTTTATTACTCTCTTTCATATGCCTCCCTAAATTTAGAATGAATATAATTAATAAATAATTTAAAAATATATTAATAAAAATAATTATAGTACAACACAAATAATTATATATTAAGATAATTAATTAGTTAATGAATGAGACAGATCAAAACAATTATATGGACACAGGAGATGTAAGATAGATGGAGTATTATTATTACTATTATTATTTGGTTTTAAATTTTGATGTAAGATTGTTGCATTGAAATCAAGAAGTTGTATATTGAAAAAGATAAAAATAGAAAAATAATTAAAAAAAAAACCCTTAAATTTCAGGATAAAACATGAAGAGTATTGAATATTTCATGCATGTTTCAACTAAAGACTTGAGGCACAACTTTTATGTGGTGAATTTGTTCATAATCTATATAAAAATATATATATTATATATTTGTCTCAATTTATTTACTAGTTTTTGTTTTGTCATGGCTTCTAAGAATGGGTAGTTTAGATTTTTATTTTCTTTTTGTTACTATTTTGTTCACATTCCTCGTTTGTAATGATTCATTGAGAAGAATAAAAATAAAAATAGAGTATAAAGTAGAGTAATATTATAAGGCCATCTCCAACCCATCAACTTCATTTTACTCAATTTTACTCCAAATATGCAGTTGATACAGTAATTTTACTCAATCCATAACTCAATTTTTCATTATATTCAATTTTTTTTTATTATTTTAAACAACTTTATATTTTTATAATTTAAAATAAAATTTTAAAAAATAAAAATTAAATTTAAAAATCAAATTTATAATTTTAAAAATTAAAAAAATAAATAAACAACACAACGCCCAAAAAATGGGGTTGCTATGGTGCAACACCAAAATTGGCGTGGCACTGTAGCAACGCCAATATTTGGTAGTGCGTTGGAGATGGCCTAACACATGTAAAAATAAAAAAAAAAAATGGGATGGGGGAGTTACATGTCAATTGTCAAATGCGAAGTGGAGTATAAAAGATTGTTTCAATGAAGGAAAAGAATTCAAATTACATCAGCAGAGGAGGAGAGGAGCGTCCCAATATAAATAACAAATATACTGCTCCACAAGATTTAACTAATGAAATAAGTAGTACTAACTAGTAAATAGTAAATGTATGCAATGAAGAAAATTCAATTCAATTCAATTCAATTTTGTGTGTTACCCTGAGAGGCAGGGCACTCTTACACTACCACCTACCTATTCCATGTATTTACAAGTAAAAACACCAACACAGCTTCAAAACAAACAAACACACACACACAAAACACCATGTCATATCATAATATTATCATATGGCAATGGACAAAGATTTGTGGGGTTAGGCTCCTCAACTCATCTATACTATACTCTCTCCACGTTTCATCATATTTATAATTTTCCGAAATTTTCTCCTTTTTATCTTTATAAATACAATCTATAAAATAATTTCTAGTAAGAAAAATAAGGACAAATTTTTTATTATAGATAAACAAAGCAGATCAAATAAACAAAAAAAAACAATAATTTGATACCTAAAAAATGGACAAATAAACTATCATCACATAATAATAATAATAATAATAATAATAATAATAATGCATATAACACTCACATGCACCATTGAATTCAACACATATCATGTAGCACAATACATATAAACAACATACTATGTTAATATTATACAATAAACCGATGGGCAATCCCTGATAATAGTCCACATATCATATGTTACCAGCACAGTATTATACTCCATAATATACAACTATGCACCGTATATATCATTATAGCCATAATTATAAGTAATTGAGGAAAAAGAAAAAGAAGTAGTAGTACCTTATTATTATTATATACTCCTTGCCCAGAGAGAGTTGAGTTGAGTTGAGTTGAGGTTGTATTAAATCCAGCCAACACTACTTCTCGTGAAAATCCAATCCAATCCAATCAAACCAAACGCTCTCTCTCTCTCTCTCTCTCACTCTCTGCAGCATCTGCTACTGTTACTGTTCTTCACTTCTGAGGAAGATACTCGTGAGGAAGAGCTCTTATATTTCACGAGCTTCTTCCCAATATGCTCTTCTTCTTCCTCCTTCAAATACCCTCCTCCCTTAACCTCTCTATGAAACCTACACACCTCTTATTAACTCCATGGAACCAACATTTCTCTTCTTTGCACTCTTCTTTCTTTCCTCCTCCTCCTCCTCTGCCTTCCATTTGCAGACCTACATTGTCCAGCTCCATCCCGACGGCCTCACTCGGCCGCATTACGACGCCGCGATAGATTGGCATCTCTCTTTCCTTAGAAAACTCGTATCCGTCGAAGAAACGGAGGAAAACGACGATGACGGCGCCGCTTCGTCGCGGCTTCTGTATTCCTACACCTCCGCAATGGAAGGTTTCGCCGCGCAGCTATCGGAATTTGAGGTCGAGACGTTGAAGAAGTCGAATGATGTTATAGCAGTGAGACCTGACAATAAGTTTGCGATTCAGACGACTTATTCTTACCAGTTCTTGGGGCTGACCCCCGCCGGGGGCGCTTGGAGGGAGTCCCGATTCGGTCGGGGGTCGATCATTGGCGTGCTCGACACGGGAGTCTGGCCGGAGAGCCCGAGCTTCGACGATCGCGGCATGCCGCCGGTGCCCCGGAAATGGAAAGGGATATGCCAAGAAGGGAAGGGCTTCAACGCCTCGAATTGCAACCGGAAACTCATCGGCGCGAGGTTCTTCAGCAAAGGCCACCGTGTGTCGTCCTCGTCCCCGCCCGACGCGTCGACGGAATACGTTTCGCCGCGCGATTCGCACGGGCACGGCACGCATACATCGTCCACGGCGGCGGGATCATCGGTCCCGACGGCAAGCGTATTTGGGAACGGAGCGGGCGAGGCGCGAGGAATGGCGCCCGGCGCGCACATCGCCGTCTACAAAGTCTGCTGGTTCAGCGGCTGCTACAGCTCCGATATCCTCGCGGCGATGGACGTCGCCATTCGAGACGGCGTCGACGTGCTCTCCCTCTCCCTCGGCGGTTTCCCCGTCCCCCTATACGAAGACAACATCGCCATCGGAAGCTTCCGCGCAATGGAGCACGGAATATCGGTGGTATGCGCAGCTGGGAACAACGGCCCGATTCAAAACTCCGTCGCCAACGAAGCCCCTTGGATCACAACCGTCGGCGCGAGCACCCTCGACAGAAGGTTTCCGGCGATAGTCCGGCTGAGCAATGGGAAATTCCTGTACGGAGAATCGATGTACCCTGGAAACGGACACGAAAACGAGCTCGAGTTAGTTTATTTCGCAAACGGCGATAATGGGAGCCAATTCTGCATGAGAGGTTCGATTCCGAGAGCCAAAGCTCGAGGGAAGATGGTGGTCTGCGATCGAGGGGTGAACGGGAGGGCCGAGAAGGGGCAGGTCGTGAAGGAAGCCGGCGGAGCGGCGATGATTCTAGCCAACACGGAAATAAACCTCGAGGAAGATTCGGTCGACGTGCACGTCCTGCCTGCGACATTGATAGGATCCGACGAATCGTATCGACTAAAAAGCTTCATAAACGCAACGAGACGGCCTAAAGCGAGAATCATATTTGGAGGAACTGTAAAAGGAAGAGCTAGAGCACCTGCAGTTGCGCAGTTCTCGTCGAGAGGGCCAAGTTTTACAAATCCGTCGATCCTCAAACCGGACATGATCGCGCCGGGAGTTAACATCATCGCGGCATGGCCACAGAATCTCGGCCCCAGCGCCCTTCCGGAGGATTCTAGAAGAGTGAACTTCTCGGTGATGTCGGGGACTTCCATGGCGTGCCCGCACGTCAGCGGAATTGCAGCGCTAATCCGCACAGCGCATCCGAAATGGAGTCCGGCAGCCATTAAATCTGCGCTAATGACAACAGCAGAAGTAACCGATCGTCAGGGGAAGCCTATAATGGACGGAGACAAACCTGCGGATTTTTTTGCAATCGGCGCTGGCCACGTGAACCCCGAACGAGCAATGAATCCAGGCCTGATTTACGACATTCTACCGGAGGACCACATTGCTCACCTCTGCAGCCTCGGATACAGCCGAGGCGACATATTCAGCATTACTCATAGAAACTTGAGCTGCCATGAGATTATGCAGAAGAACAGAGGTGGTGGTTTTAGCCTTAATTATCCATCGATTTCGGTTATCTTCAAGGCAGGGGATAAGAGAAAGGTAATGTGGAGACGAGTGACGAATGTGGGGAAGGCTAATTCAATTTATTCGGTGGAAGTGAAGGAGCCTGAGGGAATGAGTGTTAGGGTTAGGCCACGGAAACTAAAATTCAAACATTTGAATCAAACTTTGAGCTACAGAGTGTGGTTTGTTGGTAAAGGAAGGAATAGGAATAAGAACACGAGATTTGGGGAGGGGCAATTGGCGTGGGTGGATAGGAACAATTCATACAGAGTTCGAAGTCCAATTTCGGTGACATGGAGAAAGTGAAAAATTAAACAGAACTAGAAATGCAGTAGTCAGTAGCATAATCGGAGTATTTCTATCGATCTATCTATGTATAAGATATAGTTTCGTTTCTGGAATTGGTGATTAGCATCGCCATATCATTGTTCTGCTAATTGATAAACGAATTATTCGTAGCATTTCGCTAGCTCTACATATTTTGTGCAATCTTAGTGTTTCAGATGCAGAAATATCTATCGATTACCGATTTCAACGTAGTTTAATTTGTAGCAATACCTTCGTCGATCGATCGATCGACATGAGAATGAGACGAGAGGCGTTGAGACGAAGCTGCTTCGAAGGCGTGGATCGAGTAAGGCATGATCATTGAACGGAGTACCTCCTCCTCATCGTCTTAGCCTTAGGGCATGAAATTGAAATGGAGTTCGTTCGTTCGATCGACGGAGTAGGTTTAATAATGAAGCTGAAGCTGTTGTGTTGGACGTATATATATATATATATATATGCTTCGAAGCTCCTCCGTTTCAAATTTGAATAAAAAATTTAAAAATTAAATTAAATTAAATTCCAAAATTTATCTCAGCCCAGAACTGGCTCAACTTAACACAGTCCGCGGGCCAGGTTGGACTAGAATATATTTAAGTTTAGTTTAGTCTAACATAGATGTGTTTCCTTACCGGTGATTAAAAAATTTTAGTTTGTATTTGATATTAAGACAATATACGGATAAAATATTTTATAAAAAAATATAAGAATATACTTTTAAATAAATGTACGAGTTTAGTGCAAAGAAATACACTCAATCCAGGCTAAATTAGGTCTGGGCTAATCCGGCCGGGTCCACCTAGACAATATAAAAGTGATATGAATTTGAATAATAAATATAGAATATATAGAGAGAGAGAACAAAATCTTTTGCTTTTATATTTAATTTTTTAATAAAATAATTAGTAGGGTAGTCATAACATTATATCACTCATTCACACATAATTTATTTTTATTTTTTATTTTTTTCACATAAATTTTTTTTAAAAAACCCGAACAACAAATACCAAAGATTAACAACTATAATTAAATCACAACTGATTGAGATTAATCAGTTCATAGTATCTTCAAAATATTAACTGACGACAGATAGTAACAATCCATAGAGTACCCTACCCAACCTCATATTCAAATTATTCATCAATATCATCAACTATACATCATAGTAAAATAAATAAAGGATTCAAATGGTTTCTTGCAACAAATAATCTAAACATGAAGAAGTGTATTGGATGATGATTTTAAGGCCAAAATTAGAGTTACCATATCCAAAAACACGCATGAAAAATACTTTCCTTCATTCACCAAATATCGAACTTATCATCAGTTTGTGGGGAGCAAAACAAAGCCAGAACACAAGAACTAGACCACTCCCAATACACATATATATATATATAATATACTTACAGTGTATCAAACGGCAACTTTCTCGGGCGCGGGCATGTTGGCCTACAGAACCAGAATCCAGAAAAAACAGAGGGAGTTTCATCGAGAGTACGGATGATGTTGTTGGTAAGAGAGTATAGTCGACAAGATTTAAAATCAACCAAAACCATAGTGTTTTTGTCTCTATATAGGCATTGTCAATGTTTCATGTTCCTTCCGGGAGCTGCCAACAATCATTAAAAGAAATTCAAGTTTACAGCATTTAGGAACATATTTGATGTCAAGTTTTTGCAAAAGTGAAATGTCTATGCATTCTTACCGAGCCCATTAGCTTCTGGTGCCCTCATGATTCGCAGCCTTCTCACAGAGTTCAGAAACAGGCTGAAAAAGATTCACAAGTGAGAATTGAAAAGTATATTTGGGATAGCTAATAGATGAGAAGTGAAGAAAAGGCATACTCCCAGGGTACGTCTCCAACAAGCATCCAATCACCGTCTTTGTCTTCATAGGTGAGCACATATTCAGACGACCCGTCCAACAATTTTGCTACCTTTCTCACACCAGTCACAATCTGCTCATCCATCTGTGACACTATCAATAGAAAGATTCAAGGTTACTAATTAAATAAGGGAAATAAAATTCTATTAAACTAGTCATGAAATCAAAAAGTTTACATGCTCCCCCGATTGCTGCACTGGGTGAAAACATGTCATGTAGTGCTTGCGCTAGCGTCTCGTAGCAGCTGTGGGCACTCAGATCCACCTTTCTTCCTATTGGGATTCCATCCATATTCACCTTAACAAACAGAGAAGTTTTGAGGATACCATTTTGCTTTGGGGCGTCGTTATTTGTGTTGTTGGTTTGGCTGGTTTTATCCACCATAGTGTTCTTGCTTTTGCATTCATCAATTGTTGACGAGAAGAAATCCGCAGTGACTCGAGATTTAGCATGGTTAGACAAGCTGTTCATTCTGTAAGTTCTGATTGGAGGCCATCCCACAAACTGACTGCTTCAATAATTACATTAGACGAAAATTAAGTCCAGAATGTAGTGTCCATAACAGAAGATTAAGCATTGTGTTCGAGATTATGCAAGAACACAACTGTAAAAAAGGTCAATAGGTATAATCAAAATTTTTATCCACAAAACTAATCCCCTTCGACAGAATACTTCAACAATGATATAATAATTAGCAGAACTACAAATTTTCCTAATGTCACACTAACTTATTTTTCAATATTGCAGAGCTTCATGTTCTTTGTGTAAGTGATTAAATATCAATAGCAGCATCTCCCTTTTCCATAGGTTGCTTCAACAAGAATACTCAAGAAATACACACACATATAGATACATACATACATATATATAGGCAATTGTTAGCACATTCATAAAGAAAGTATTTTAGTAATCAACAATGCAGAGGAGAAAGTGTGAAGAGCAACAGTGCAGATTTTGTTAATGCATATTGTTACTTTAATTGAAACAGATAATCGATTCACTACGATTACAGAAAGAAAGTCATATTTTAATTTCATATCAGGTGCCAATTCTCCAAACTCAACAATTCCTATTATTCAACACTATCTCTTAAAATAGAATAAAAGAAACAGTTAACACAGCTGATCAAACTGCAATGGCAAATGTAAAACAGAAGCTAAAAAGAAATATAAACCATAACCCAATTGCTAACAGGAGATCACTGATGCCAAATAAACAGGAAAATTCTCAATCCACACAAACACATATACATATATATATATATTAACATATATCTGTGTGTGTACCTGGCAGCAGAACGGCCGGGAGGTGAGGAAGGCGGCTCAGCCGTTCTCTTTGTACCACAAGAACCATTGGTATTGCCCTTGATTGCAGAGGCAGAGGATGATGATGACGATGAAGATAGTGATGATGATGAGGTTTTACCAGAAACCACAGAAGCAAAATCTTTAGCAGTCAAGATTCTAGCATACTGATCCCAAGAACCTCCGCCGGCCTGGTCCGCCGGCGCCGGTTGCCTCATCTTCCCCTTTCCTCCACCGCAACCAAGGCTCAGCCCAAGGCCCAATTCCAACTCAGACTCATCCGGGTAAGCAGAAGATTCCACAGATGACATCACCATGCTATTCTCCTCAGACATTGATCCACCGGAAACCACACCGCCGCCACCGTGTTGAAGCGTGCTCTGCATCAAGAATCAATTTTTATTCAAGAGGAAGGCAATTGAAAAGTTCTGCTGATACCAGAAACAAGAGAAAAGTGAGGAGAAGGAAGGAAGAAGAGGAGGGGAGAAATTGAGGGAGTCTGGAATGTAGCTTTCTTTAATCTTATGGGGGTGGGGGGTTAAGAAAAAAGGCTGGGTGTTGGATGGGGGGACCCTTTTGTCGGCTTTGTGCGCCCCAACAGCATCATAGATATCTCCTACCTGGGGCCCACGAATGTCCCCACAGGCTTTCCTTGCTGTTATTGTACCAACAACCATGAGGCCCTCCCCGGAGCCATCGAAGCTTGTCTGTTGCTTCTGGTCTGAAATCAGACTACTACATTATTATATTATTGCTATTTTAAGGACTCTGTTATACCCAACGGCGTGACATTATGACAATACTCTCTCTAGAAAGGTAGACAATAAATCAACACACATTAAATGGGGAGTTTGGGTTTCTTTCTTCCATTATTTTGTAAAGTCAAAATAAGGGATCAAAGATGGGGGAAGGGGGGGGCGGGGTCGTGTTGACCCGGTCGGATTGGAAGGGGAGCAAAGTTTGACGCTTTTAATGACGTCCTAAAAATGGGAAAGAGATGTGGGGACAAACACGACTTTACGCCAAACGACAAGCCGACAACATGTGGGGACCCAAAATTCACACGGCTCAACACCTCACCCATAACCCCCCTCTACTAGTGGGACCCATCCCGTCAACACCCTAACCACAAATTCACCCAACAGGCACCATTACCAACCAGATCTGTTTACTTCGTTTATAATAATATGTCGAGAAAAGAGAATAAAAACTGGGAGACAAGATTTGTGGCTTAGGAATTAGAGAATCAGCAAACTATTCCTTTTACCTTAGCAGGTGAAAAAAATGTAAAAACTGTACACAATCTATATATATATATATATCATCCCATCAAATCCCATCCATGTGTAGGAATAAGTTTCATATGCTATGATGACTAACCTGGTATTGAAGCTGAAGCTAACTCAGATTGGAATATAATAATGACATATATATATATATGGGCACAAAAGGCTATTATTACTATCATAGCAGGTGGGAATGATAATGGGATGTTTCTATCTTTCTCATCTAATGAGTAAAAAAATACAGTAAAGAATAAACAGTACATTTTTCCCCTTATGTATCTAACTAAAAAATTTAATACTAGGCAGAAGGGGAGTGGAGAGTACCTTAGTGCAATACTGCAATGTGGGAAGGGGACAGTGTAGCCGTTGCACGTCTCCCTCAGTTAAATTAGCTTTAAGAAAGCAAAGAAAGCCATTGACAACTATGAATGCACCTGCAAAAAGGGCCCACAAAGAAGATACCATTCATGATTCGATACGGGTAAGTTTTGATTGTGTATTTTCACGCTAATGTGTAGTTCTTTACAGACTGACACTGCTGCATACACTTAATGCTGCTACTTCAAGTTTGTCTCCTCCCCTCTTTCTTTCCTTCTGTTATAAATAGTGACAGACATCAAGTGTGTATATGCAGTTGAGTTGCCAGCAGCAATGTCTTGTCTGTGGACTTTTATTCCTTTTTTTTTTTTTCTTTTTTTGGGTTTCCAAATTCTACTGCTCTTTTGGAGTAGATAAATAATCTTTGAATTTAAAAGGAATGGGAATGGGAATTCAAGAACATTCATTACCTCAACAATGATGCGATGAACCGAGCTGGAATTTGGCACAACTGTTGTCCCCCAAATGTGCATTCTCCAGCAGTGGGCTCCCTGAGTCTACAATTATTCACACAAGGATTAGGAAATAAAATCTCTTTGTATTGCACTTAAAAGAAATGCAACAAGGGACAGCTGAATCAAAACAAACTTAATAATATGAGATATGTCTGTATTCTGAAATCCTTTTTCTGTGTATGGAGACACTAATGGATGAGGTGATCCATTTTACAACATATCAACATGTCATGCCCTCCAACAATGTAAGTACTAACATGCAATCCAAGGCCAGAATAGTTTATATATTATGATTTTGCTATAGTTTCTTGTGCAGGTGAGTTGAATATTATTACTCTATTGAGCCATACTTTTAAATTATATCGATTTAAACGAGCATATTGTTTAATTACCATCCTGTTCCCTTTCGCTTGTCGGATCGAAGCCATCGTGGCCCCAGCAACAGATATCGAGCAAGGTGTAATTTCTTACACTCATACATCATACACTAATCACAACAGAATGTCTGGGAGAGAGCTAATATTTCAACTTTTTGCATGTGCTGTGCAAAAATAGTAGCTGGAAGAGCACAATGTTGATGGCTACATATGGACAACTACCATCTTTCATCCCCAAACCAATTGTTCTTCTCCTTCGGTCCAGTAGGACCGTCCTCTCCACACAACTCCAATGGCAGCTTGCTGATAATATTTTTCATTGAATATTTAAGCATAGGCGGCAAAGAATTGATGATTTTATCCAACTCTTTTCTCGAATCATAGACAATCCTTGGACCCCATTTCCTCATATACTGAAGCCAGTGTGGTTCGATAACAACTCCATCTCCAAGGTATTCAGCCGCTACAATTTCGTACTGCCTGCTTGAATCAACATAATAATTGCTGCGGGCAGCATCATTCCTCACTCCAATCCCAAGCTTCGAAGAACCCTGAAGGTAAATTCCTGGATGAGGAAAGCTAGCATGGCCGGATTTCGATGAATACACAACAGCTTTGTTTCCATCAATAAACTCCAAATCAGAAGCATCAACCCACTCACCACCACTGTGCTGCGAAAAATATATGCTCCAAAGCTCTCCTGTGAAGTTACTTATCCTGAGTGTGAAGTGCTCCCAATCACTTAGATGCTGACCAACCCTGCCAAGAGAGTAGTTTATCATTCCCAATTTTAGCGTACCAGGCCCATTGAAGGGACAAAAAATCCACATCGCTATATCCGTGAATGTTCCTCCTAAGGCTGGTTTGACATGTAGATAGAGCTTTGCACTCTCTAAGTTTCCATGCCTAACAAATACTATCCCGCTATCATCCGGCACATCAATCCAATACTTCCCATCATTTGTCCCTCCTCTAGGAAGGTTGGAACCTTCAGCATCAATTGGCACCCCAAGAGGGTCACTAACACTGTACAAACAAGCTCCATTTCTGAAAAACCATGAAACTGAAGATGGAAGATAAATCTCGTCAGGGTGGAAGAATAGAGTAGGTCCATAGTGCCTAACAAGTGCATGAATTTGATCCACATTCGGCATTGCACATAAATTAGGATCTAAATTCTTCAAGCATGGAACATTTAGTTCCTCCAGCGAACTCCAGTAGCTACTGCAATAAAAAGTACCAACAGACACTCCCCTGCCATATATCCCCCGATGGCGAGGCCTTGTGCTGCAAACCGTAAATGGTATTTTTGAAACCTTGTCCACTATCAGGCGGTATGGCTCACATTCATCAGTTAGATCAGCACGAACACATCTAATCTCACTAAAATCAGGTTTCTCAGGTTTGTTTGTCACCAAAAATCCCAGAGGTTTATAACCTTCAGGGGGTTGGGGCAACCAGAAGTACCCACAACCATCAAAGCCTTCATCGTCTTCCCCCTCTGAACTCCATACTAACGAATAATCTACCGGATACAAGAGAGGCGGCATATAATCAGAACTGAGGATACTACAGCCTTGTCCATTGGCAATTTCACGAGCTACAAGAACAAACCCTCGCAAAGGCTTTTCGATAGATTGACAATAGTGACCAAGACAGAAAAATCCATCCGGGATTCCAATTGGCTTATAAAAACTAACACCACGTTTCCCATCCATACACAAGCTTATTCCCCAAACAAACTCAAACTTCGTTATTTGGCAAACCTCTAATTCTCGTAACTTTATAATTGAGGTAGCAAATTCTGAACCTGCATAGTAAAACTTAATCAGCAAAAGGCTTTGGCAGTAACCTCATTGAAGCAATAACCTAATTTCTTAGATAGAAATTGCTACAAAAACCGAATTTGCCTGAACCTAACCCTATCTTATTACTGAACATATGAAAATCAAAACAAGCAACGCAATGATACAAAAACAACAATCGATCAAAGTTATGCTTAAAGTACATGCACGGATTTTCTAATGTCGAGTCTAAAATCGAAATTGATGAAATACTCAAACCAAATTGCGAAGGCATCATAATTCATACGATACCTTGAGGCCATTGAGGAAGCGGATCGGGAAGAGAGAAGTGTTCCAATCCTGGCTGCCGGAGTTCACCGACACTGCTCCGACAAGCGTCTCTGCATCCCAACATCTTCTTCTCCCGCCGCCAAAGCATTCTCCAACCAACACAGCAATCGATGATGAAGCGAAAGAGAATAGTGGGATAAGCAATCAAGATTCGGATCACGTCGTTACAGCCACGACGCATTGCATCGGACATGAAGATCATGGAGAAATCTCGCGCTATATTCACCTCCGTTTCTATTTTCCGTTCGGTTATTTAATACATAAATATGTATTGTCAGTAACCCAATCGGATTCCGCGTCGGGTCGGGTAGTAACGATCACTGATATGTATCCGAATTGCGCCTATTTGTTTTGTTAATTATCGTATTCATTTGTATATATATTTTTAATAATATAGTTATTAATTATATTTTTAAATATAAAATAAATATTTAATTAAGAAATAGAAAAGATAAGTCCTATATATTTTGTTCATATTACTATAATTTAGAAAATTATAATTAACAATTAATTTAAAATATATTAATAAAAATAATTATAAATAAATATTAAAATAACTAAATAATTTAATTAAAATTTTAAAAATTATAACTTAAAATTTCACATATTTTTAAAAAAGATAGTATCAATTTTTTTTATTTCTATTCATACCGCATAATTAATTTGTTTTTTTAAAAAAAAATTAATTATACATTTTAATTATATTTAAAATTTTAAATTGCTTAATTACTAATCATACTCTACTGTATAATGGAGCGGCGGTAGTATAATCTATACATATATTTTCATAATATAAATCATATATATTTTATTTTTTTAAAAAAAAATTATAATTCAATACAAAATATTATTTTTATATTATCATCATCACTTTTTTTTATATCTTACATTTAAAAAATCATATTTCATAGAATGCAAATAATAATAATAACAATAATAATAATTAAAAGGATAAAAACTCAAAAGAAAAACAGTCAGGAATTATTTAAACCTCCTAATGTATTCAGATGTTTTGTTTTCTCTTTACAAGTCAAAAAGTATACAAAACAACATCTCATCCGTATTACAATAAACAAAAATAGCGCACACAAAATAACGAACTCACAGTTGCAAACAACGAATTCTTTGGAGAAGAGGCCAATGGCAACACAGTGACCTATCCGAAAGCCGAAACAGATGAATGCATCATGTCTAAAACTCTGGATTATCTAAAAGAACATGAAATTACCGAGATGCAGCAAAATTGATCGAGATTTTCCTTTGCTGCCTCAGTAGTAATTGGGATAATATGTTGCCGGCGGAGCAGCAGCCGCAGCAGTGGTAGCTGTAGGCGGCGCTGGAGCAGGTGCAGGCTGAGAATAGGCCTGCAGAATCGGGGAGGGATGAAAAACAAAGCAATCGATCTTCAATAAGGCACGTGCGAAATCTTGCTAATGGGGTCCAAAATACTGCATAAAAAGATGATGACAAAATCCAATCTGTTCCTGTGCTGGGGAATCTATTATTCGATAGCAAACATATAGTTTCAAAAATGGTATGCAAAATCCTCATCAGCTGATAATCGAAAGCGGGTAAAGAAATCAGTAGAACGTTGGTTTACTTGTGATGGGTATGTAGGGGGGTAGGCACCATATGCAGCACTTTGGGGCACGGGTATGGGAGCTTGCGGGTTGGTGTAACTTGTGCCATAGCCATACGCACCATAAGCAGCCTATAAGAAAAAAACAATGTGGCATAACTCTGAAAGGGAAATCCAATACTCAAAAAAGAAACGATCCATGGAAAGAACTCCAAATATTCGGTTTTTTAACTACTAAATCATGTTGTAACAAGATGTGAAATGGCCAAGGAAATGCCAAAAATGGCAAATAAACTTCACATTCTCAAGTTTTAAATATCTCAGGTATTATTAATTGTGCTTATAAACTAAACCAAGCTTTAGGTTCTTATATATGCATATTTGATGGGAAATATTCAACAAGTTGACCACATTATAATTGATGCCACTTTTCCCGAAATGTCAATTTTGCGAATAAAAAGCCAGTAACAGCACCTGTTGGGTATAGCCGGGGCCCCATTGCTGTGCCTGAGCTTGCGAGGGTTGGGGCCAAGCTTGAGGTTGTACCCCATAACCTGCTGCCCACTGATTCTGTGTATATGCACCCATGACTGAAGGAGTGGTTGTTGAGCTGACTGATTTTGTCAGTTTTGATCTATCTGAAGTTAAATAATCCTCTACATGCCGCTTCTTTGACGCTGCAGTGCTTTTGTTGCGCAAGAACAGTTTCGCATGCCTATAATCAGCCTTCTTTAGAGACTGCACTTCGCCAAAGAGATCCAAGAACTGGAAACACATATGTAGAAATGTGTAATCAACATTTTCTAGCCAGCTAATAACAATGACGATAAAACAAATCACTCAGACATTACATTCATGACAAAACAGATACCAGGAGGAACAGGGACCAGATTAGAAGAATTCGTAGTCTCAAGAACATGATCCAGAACATTGGATGCTCAAAGAATGCATATGTGATTATTAGCAATAAACTAAACAAAACGGTAACATAATTCATATTGTTCAATTTAAACTAGTTAGCGTAGTTGTCAATCTCGAACAGTGTTAAACAGCGATCAACCCCTAAAATGCCGTAGAGGCATATTCATTTTCACCCTCACTGCTACTATTGTATAGATATTCCTCATCTTCTTCATCTTCATTCATTTCTTCTATTGTATGTTTATTTGATTAGTGAATTGATTAACACTAAAAATATGATGCAAATACAAACTCTAACATGTAAAAACAGACATTGCAGTCCGCTTCACTCCGCAACACAGCTAATAGCGCTAGGCATGCCATTAACAACTATGGTTTTCAGACACTTGCAACAAAGGCAGGATACTAGGTTCATGAACGCATGAGCAGATAGCATGACATAAAAATACTGATCTGAAAAGCAAACAACAAAAAACTCAGTTAATAACACTCTTTTTGTACACAAAATTGCATAAGTTGATTATAATATCTATATCATTTCTAAAAACCAAAGAACTAAACGGGCAAATAATGATTAGCATATAGTAAAAATCATGGCATAGAGAAATAAGTGTAAGCAAGGTTAGAGGATGAACTGATAATAATCAGGATTTGAATTAAATAGACAGTGAGAATGGAATCAGGGTTTCGTTTCCTTATTATATACTTACTAGATGCAATAGTAAGAACTGTAAGTTCAATTAAAGTTTCAAGATGCAATATGGTTTCAAGATGCAATATGTACACAGTATTTTGAAGATACCTCCAAGAATATGCTTGATAACTCCTCTCTTTCATCAATACTTGCAACAGTGGTGCTTTCAGGATTTGGAACTACGAATTTTCCAACCAAAGAATCCAAATACTCTATTTGTTTGGGAGGTGGCTGAATTGATTCCAGGTGGATTACTGCCTGCAAGGATTTCAAATATAAAGAAATGTGAACTCTTACTTAGATGCATATGGGTATGACAAGAGCATAGAAAATGGGAGTTCCTTTTATGTGAAAGAGTTTCTTTATCTGTTTCCATGGAGCACTTCATTCCTTCAAAAGTACTGACCAAAAAACAAAGAGAATTGCACTATGAAACACAAATTCAGTAAAAGAAAAACAGAGTAGAGAACCTCCAACAGGGGTTTTGACAGTTGAGCACCATCCACACCTTGAACCAGAATCTCCCTTGCCTTATCAAAGTCGCCAGAAACCTTTCACAGAAAATTACAACACAATTATGTCAGACAACAAAAGTGACAACAAAAGTGAGCACATTTCACTTTCCACAATATGACACCAGGAAGAAGCACTATGTTTGTCCCAAAATAAGAATAACAATATATATCTCCCGGGAACATAAATATCAAAACATAAAGCACCGGGTCAGTTTTTTATTGTGTCAGACTGGCAAAAGACATGTATCACCAATAAATGGAGACCAATCAACAACCATTTAAACCAAGAAACAGAAGGAATCTACAGAATGCATACCCCACCAAATCAGATTCAACATGATACTCAAAATTCAAATTTAACCTCTCAAAACTGTTGAAGTGCTATCACTTAATATTTATTGTTTTGGAATTATATGATTATATCATTTAGTATCATTTTTATTTGGTATGTTGATTTGTTCCCTATCTTAAATCTAATGGTTTTTTATTTTCAACAAACAAAATCACCCCAAAAAGAAGAAATACAAGTAACCAAACATATGCATGAATGATGCTATGCAATAAATTATGCTGGAATCTAATAGATAGGAAAAAAGTTTGCTATAAAGAGGATTAAAACTTACCAAAAATATGAAACGTGAGAACTGGGCAAACAACAACGGCAAAGCTGGTGATTGCTCCTTTCCTTGCTCAATAGCAATTGCATGCTCATATACAGCACATGCATCTTCCAATTTTCCCTATTAAGAAGCACCAAATGTTAAAAAAAATATAGACATTACAAATCAAAAATTAGAACGGCTTACTTACAAGACGGTGTTCCATGTTTGCATGCTTGATGATAGCTTCTAGAAGTCCAGGTGAAATTTCAGAGTAAATATGCTGGTATGCAGCCCGAGCTCCAGAAATGTCACCATGCTGTTCTTTAAAACGAGCAGCAAAAAGATGGATCTCTGGATGCCTCTATCAAGACAATAAATGATTAGTCCACAGGAAATAAGGCTTACACTTACTGCATCGGAGCTTCCACTCAAAGCACAATGCAAATAACTTACTACTATTAGAAAATAGAAACTATGCAACCTAAATAAGCAAATGGTGAAAGGCATGCAAACAACATGCAGAAAGACCCGATTAGTATTGTTTTTAAAGCAGATATTGTTTAAGTTCAGCACTCTACCTACCAGCCTTTTTCCTTGCATCAACTCAAAGCACCCATTGCATTAACTTAACATCATTAAGAATTTTCTGATAATCCTAATTATCTGAATATCCTCTTCCAATTCATGGAATAGCAACTCAATTCAACCAGCAAAGATAAAGTGTCAATGATTTATCTAGCTCCCATCATTCTCGGTATATCAGTCAAATCAATTGCAGATAAGAACATCTCTGCTCTTCATCAGAAAATTCAAACAAACCAATATAATTTCACCAATAGAGCATCATGAATACATACACTCATTACCTTTACAAAGACTTGTGTTGCACGAGTAAGTACATTTTCAGCAAGATCCATGCTGTCACGAGCTTCCATGGATAAAATATACCGTATCCAGTATTCAGGATAACTAGCACATGCTATCACACATCTTTCATATAACTTAACAACCTGCAGATGGAGTAACCAGTCAACAATTTCACATACCACATTTGTGAGGGGATGAACATAATAAAAAAGAGAATGGACACGGAATACTCTACAGGAGGAAAGGAAGGCCCCCTAAACACAAGAAGGGCCTTCCATACCTCAGAGCTAATATTAAGATAATAAGACACACCTGCATGCATAAGATTGGCCCTTTTAAGCAGAAATATTATGAAGTGTCAATCATTTATTAAGTGCAATCCTCATATATCAATGACAATAAGAGCAGCATGCCAATACAGAGTCAAGACATAAAAAACAAACAGATTTTCATACCTGATTGAAGTCACCTTCAGCTTCAATAAATTCTAGATAATGATGCCAATTTTCAAGCTCGGAAACATTGAGGGGCCGCACATGAAAGTATGGTCTCCGAATTGCTGTTTCAAAACTAATTATCTTAGAATCGAAGTCTTTAGCTTTCTTGTATATATCTTCTCGAATGGAAATATACTTCTCCAACTCCTCAGCATCTCTTAAGCTTGCATTTACAGACTTAGAAGATTGCTCTGTGACATTGTGAGGAATTTCTCCCTCATTTTCATTTTTAGGACCAACAGCGTCAGAATTTGCAACAACTGCAGCAGCAGCTTCCTCGGCAGTACGCAACTGAGAAAGTGGACAACTTGCAACCAACTCTTTGAATCTAGAAGAAAGTGAAAATTAATGAAAATCACTAAACATGAGAATTAGACCACATAACAAGCGCAGGCTGACAAAGTATCTTAATACCACTATGATTCCAGTAGAAATACAGTTGATGTTAAATGAAGAATCCCAGTTCAAAATATCAAACTCCATGCACAGAAAAACAAGAAAACAAGTGCTGGAAAACAGGTGTTAAAGAAATAACTCAGCAATCTCATTAGAAGTCATTCAGTGTGAAATGGAAAATCAACATCGGCAGATCCCAATTCTAACCACGTGTGATGGATCGAAAATTCAAAACAATATCAGCAGGGAAGGAAAGAGGCTGAAATTCTGAGAATAAAATTAAGATGTGAGCCTGTAATCTGGAGTGCATTTATTTCAAGAAACAGAAAAATGAAATGAAGGGTTGAATGATGAAAATTACCCTTCAAAATAACGATCCAGCTGCTGATTTGGAATTCCCAATACCCTCGTATAGATTGTAGCAACACGGGGCCAATCTTGTTGCGAAATTTCATATTCAATGTATTTGTCCCAAAGGGCAAAGCACAAGTAATCAGTTCCAACATAACCTAATGCTCTTTCAAATAGCCTGCAACATAAGAAAAGTAAAATGCCACTGTAACATTAGCACAGATGCAACTCAATTCACAGCCAACCATAAAAGCTCAAGGGACAGGTGTTTGAGAGGAAGGAATAATTCACTCAAATAGCACTTGAGAATTCTGGAGTAACAAATTACGCTGCATTTACCTTCCTCGAAAGAATCTTACACAGCTCGTCAAAGGAGGAACCATACAGGCCATCTTAGCCTTATTGTGCGACATCTTCAGGGCAGCAATTGTGTATCGAAGCACCTCATGTGCCGTGGTTTAAAACAGCAAATTTTCATGAAGAATTACATACTAACCCTAAGGAGAAGTATAATTGGAAGGATGATAAGGACATGTTATAAATGAACCCTACAGAAATACAGCTACTAAATACATAGCAGACAACGAAAGGGTTTGCACATCAGAGAATTTGTTCAGCCAGTGTGCATTCCCTACAAACCTTTAGACCTTACACTTCAGTAATTGCTGTCGGAGATGGCTGAAATGATGTTAGAGAACAATAAAAGATGACTTCACACTCTTTACATTGAAATCAACAAGACCAGACAAGAAGAATGCAAGCAAAATAATATGAAGTTAATTACCTCCTGATAGACTCAGGATCCCCATAACCACCAATAGCAAAAACACAATAATGCACCCATATGTCCACAGAGTAGGTGACTCCTTGAACAGCTCGTTCATAAACCTCTGCAACTTTGTCACCTGAACTGAGGCGTGCCTCATGATCAGCATACTTCTTCCAATACCCATAGCATAGAGGGAACTCGGCTAAGAAAGTATTATAAACTTTTCGAATTTTCAAAATGTCACCCTAGAAATGGTAGAGAACAATAAATAAATAAAATGTCAGTCCTAATTCGAAACCATAAAGTAGATATATATAACAAAGTCTTCAAACAAATTCAAGAAATGTATTAAAATAAAAACAGATGCACCAAATAGAGATTCCTCATTTTAACCCTCAGTTATAATTCAATTCAGGAAGCTTTTGAACAAGATTAGAATCCACATTTGTGTCAGTTACAACAAAAGAAATGTAAATCCACCTCTGAAACTCTCTCTGTTTCTTCAATAAGTGCTGTCCAGGCACTGAAATCCAAAGAATTAGCTGTCACAATGCTCCATAGTCTTTCCTCTTCTGCACTTAGGCCTGCAATGGCAACAAGTAACCCAACACTTCAGAGAGATTCTGGGTTAAAGTCTCATTTGGATATGAGGTTAAACAACAATATATTTAAATGCATGCATCAGATTACCTCTACGATTTCCAATACAACCGAATTATGCAAAATACACTTGACATTTATTTTTGAACAAGTTTGAATCCCATTTATTGATCACATTCAGCTGCAGGCTTATCATTTAGCAATAATAGAAACGAAAAAGTGATGATTATAGAAGAGGAAAGTCTGGATTTGTTCACCTGGATGTCTTTTCTATCTTTTTATGTATTATTATTTGTGTGTGTGTGTGTGTGTGTGTTAAGTTTTTATGTTTTGAGGTGAAATAGTTGTCACTTGTCGGATACTATTTTGTATGGAAACAGAGTGTGGAATGTGATATTTTTGGAGAGAAATTAAGTGAATAGTAAAAAAATTGGGGATAAAAAAACAAATAAATAAATAAAATGCAAAGAAAACAATCCCTGTGTAATCCAACTCAATAATACAATATAGCTCTATTTACCTACTCAGCATCAAAGAATTTCTCAGGAAAGTGCACTACACATGAAAGAGGGAGTTGCAAGTTGCAACAGGGTAGATTCATGACTTTTTGCAAACAATTGTTGGGAACCTTTTCAGAAGTTACTGGGCAATGGGGGAACAATTTTTACCACCTCTTAAGTGTTCATCTACACATATGCTGCATGCAAATCAGATTGACACACACCAGCTACGTCAAGCAGTTAAGGATCTAAAGTATCAAATAATACCAGAAACATGAGCAGGACCAATGCCATCAGCAGAAGCATTCCCATTTTCCACGATACTGACCCCTTCAACACCAGCTTGGTTTACACCATTGGAATCCACTTTTGGATCAAGAGAAGAATTCCCAAGGCTAGAAATACTTTCTGTAGCATTATATGGCATCACAGAAGTTTCTTCTTGGGTACCATCTGTGGCAGTGGCAATCGTAGTTCCACCTTCTATGTTTGGGCCATGGGAAACTAAATCAGCTGCATTTACACCTCCAGCAGAAGAAACTACATCTCTGGCATGAAATACAGAAACAGAAGCAGCACCAGCAGTGTTTTCATTAGATTCAGAAACAGCAGCAACATTTCCGTGCTTGTCATCTATATCAGATGTTTGTGACATCATGATATTACTCTATGTCTTGATACAAATGGCGCCACCTATTAAAACAGCATAAACCACAATTGTTAATAGAACTTTCAACCAGAAGAACTTTATAAATCACAGTAAAGAATAAACACCACCCTATACAGAATTTCAATACAAACCCAGTTCTATAATTCATGTATCAAAGAATGTTAATTATGGTTAACGTGTTTACTTTGAACCGACTAATTCAGTCAACAAGGTAATGTTTCGGCGATTGGAAACTAAGAAATGTTAATTCAAGAAAAATGGATTTATAGAAAAGATAGGTGGTTCGACAAGTAATAACAGGCATTAAAACCTGACATGGCTCGGATGTCAGAGAATTTTTTCACATAATTACATGCATTTTGATGTGAGCAAACAACCATAATTTATTATCATTAAAAAGGACTTTTTACAAGTTCAGAGGCAAATTCCTAGAGGAATAAAAGAGTACAGGTCATGAGATGCAATTTCAACCCAACAACTACCTTCCAAAGGGTTAAATTCCTCGCTACCTCCCACCAGAGCGTAGAGATATATTATATTAGCATGATTGAAAAATTAAATAACTGTGCTCTCAATCAAGTGCAATAAGGCATAACAAGAAATCATAATGTCACCGCACGACTACTGCTTCATAGCATTAAAACCCTAGATCACACTATCACCGGAAGCATACGCCAATGAAAAAACTAAATCAAGAAACTAACCAATTAATTGACAAAAACCCACAATTCACGCATCAACCGCCCAGACAATTGAGTAAATTACTGGTAGAAAAACGAACATTGAACAACAACGCTACCTGAAAACGCGAGGAAAAACGACGACGAACAATTAACAAACAACAATTCGGCTACTTTGCTCAGTCACTCATAGTGATTAGAGATATTCTAAACGCTACCTGAAGGTTTTTAGGGCTTTAATGTTCAAGCGGAAAACGCCATGGGAAAAACGAAGTCGTTTGCTCTCGGTGGTCCATCAATCGGGCTGTGTCTAAATCGGGCCGGCCCATGTCAACCTTAAATAGACCCGAGCCTTCCAGTAATGAAAGTGGACCAATTAGATCCATGGAGCTTTTAAGCAAGGTGACCCGGTTTTAATTGGGCCGGGTATGGACGTGATCCGATTCGGCCTGATTGGACTCTAAAAGTGTGTTTGTTTGGGATTGAATTTTAATCACACTATTCATCCCAATTTTAATCATATTATTCATCCCCATTTTTGAATAGTGTGATTAAAAATAATTATAGAACAAGATTAAGATAGTAAATATTTTAATTAAAATTAAAAAAATTATAAAATTTAAAATGCGATTAAAGTGCATAATTATATTTCCAAAAATAGAAATTACAAGTTATGTGGGACAGACGAAAATAAAAAATATGGACAAATTATGTAGGACGGAGGGAGTAAATTATCAATATAAAATTTACTTTAATATAACAAAAATTAAAAATATATGAACTGTGATAAAGTAACAGTCTACACGATACATTCTTTCCGTACATGAATTAGTCTACATTTCCTCTTTTAGTCGTTTTCCACAAAATTAGTCACATTTCTTAATATAGTAATAATTAAATAAATATTAATTACAATTACAAATTTAACTATATTTTATTCAATTACTAATAATCTTTAACGTTATTGTTTGTTTTATTATAAGTTTACAAGTAGGGATAAAATTTTGAATAATAAATATTCAATATGATATAAATAGATGTTTATGTGATGTCTAAAATTTGTAATATAATATAAAAAATATTTGATTTGATATTTTACGATTGAAAATTAGTTAATAATATATTTGATTTACAATTTGATTTTTTATATTTCATTAAAAAAGTTCATTTATTACTATTATTAAGAGTAAAAAATATCAATTTGCTCAAATAATACAGCTACTGTATGAAAAAATACTAAAGTGTCAAAATTACTGTATATCGTAAATTTTTATATGATATGATACCGTACAGTACGACAATTGCATATACTTTTAGCACTGTTGGTATAATATATACTGAAAATATTAATAATTTTAGCATTTGAGGAGTATCGGTCTATATCAATAATTTAGTATATTAATACTAAAATAATTAATTTTCTCATATTTTCTTAAACTTGTAAAATTATTTTTAATTTTTATATTTAAGCGTAAAATATTATATTATGATACCATACACGTAATTCGATTAAAAATGACTCGATACTGTATTCAGATAATATCGAATCATGTTGTATACCGCACCGAATTTGTTGGTATATTAAAAAAAATATCGATACCATACCAAAAAAGTTCAGTATGCTGAAATTTGGCATTTTCGGTATTTTTTAGTACGGTATGTGTTATTTTTGTAATTCAATATTTTTTTATCTATAAATTCGGTATACCAAATTATTGGTACAACATCTAATTAAGATAAAATAGTATACTAAAAATTTTGGTATCATATATAAAATATGTGTTATAAATTTTGGTATGTAATATCGAACTATCCCTACCAAAAATCAAATTCGAAAAATTTGATGTTTTCTTTATATTAAAAATTTTAGTATTACGGTTGTTATTTTTTTATTTAAATTATTACAATTAATTTTTTTTATCTAATCACATAATTTACAATCTTTATAATAATATTTTTTTTTAAAAATAAAACATTAAATTTAAAAAATAATAAAATAAAATAAAATAATATTTCAACTTTTATTTCAATATTTCGTCAAATAAAAATAATTAAAATAACATTTAATTACATATATTATATTAACTAATCACAATAATTAACTATGTAAATTAAATTTTCTTATCTGTACAAAAAAAACGCTACTAATTTTATAGGACGGAGAAAATATTAGTTAAAATATGTAAAATAATTTTGATATATTTTTTTATATTTTATATATAAATTAATTATATATGAAAAAATAGATTGGTGTCAAGGTTCTTCCCAACTTTGCTTTTACATGACCCTCATTTTTTTTTTTTTTTCGTAAAAATAAATATTTTTATCGTTCAATAAAAAAATTATTATTTTCTATTTTTGTTTATTTTGAAATAAAGTTATTATTTTTTAATTTAATAATTGTACTACTTACATAATATAATAAAGGTGTGTTCGTTTGTAAGATTTTTGCAAAATCAAAATCTTACTATTCATCCCACTTTTTCTCCACAAAAAATATCAAATCAAACATCTATTTTTTATTTTTTATATTATACTAAAAATCAATTTTACATTTAAAACATCACATCAACACCTATTTATATCACATCATACAACTATTCAAATTCAAAATTTTTACTATTCAAATCCCAACTCAAAATCCAAACCTCCAAACAAACACACCCACAGTATTTTGATTTTTGAAATTGTTTTAGAATTTTAAATTAGTTTTTTTTAAAAAAAGATCAAAATAATAAGCTTAATTAAATGATGAACAAGCAGTCTTGAAACATAATAGTGCGAGTTTCATAAAGCAACAGAGAGATAAAAAAATCATGTATGAATCAGTGAAGTTTGCGGATATACATTCATGTCATGTCACTAAAAATAAAGTAGTAGTAATTTTGAACATAAAAATCATTAATGCCCACCAACTTTAGTGAGAAAATGACAGATCTTTAGCTTTACCGGATGAAAATAGAAAAGAATTACAATAACCAAAACTTTGAGAGGAAGATTACTTTACATCTAGACAAAAGTGAAGCAAATCCCCCTTTCTTTACAACCCCAAGTGCCAGTTTTTGTCCATATTCTTATACCTTGTTCTACTCCAAAGCCACCTCAAAAAAAGTATGATACCTTGTCTTGGAAACTATGAGCACCATATTCCCTGCTAAGAACAATTATACAGTGAATTAGAAACTAGAAGTGATGATGGATCAAGCTTATTGAATCCAGGCTCCATCCACTTCAATTTTACTGTGTAATTGTGCAGCCATTACTTGAATGAGATTCAATTCGAAAACTAGATTAATATGCAAAAAAAAAAAAGACTGCATATCATGGTCATGTATAGGCAGATTCTCAGTAAAAACTGTGTACTCATGTAGTCCACCTTTAAGTTAGTCCCCATTAGGACTGGTTATGAGCATCAAGTTGAAGCAAATGATAGTTTCTTATGTGGGTAGGATGAGGTACTATAATTGTGCAGCCATAACTTGAATGAGATTTAATTCGAAAACTAGATGATATGCAACAATGGCTGCATATCATGCTATGTATAGTTTATTATGAAGGTAGGATGGGACTAAATTTGACCATAATTGTGCAGCCATAAGTTGAATGAAATTCAATTCTAAAACTAGATTAATATATGCAAAAATGGCTGCATACCATGTTCAAGTATGGCAAGTTCTCAATAGTGTATACTCATGTAGTCCACCTTTAAGGTAGTCCAAACTTGGACTGGTTATGAACAACAAGTTGAACCAAATCATAGCCTATAATGGGTAGGAAAATTTTCTAATATAATTGTGCAGCCATAACTTGAAATTCAATTCGAAAACTAGATGAATATGTAACAATGGCTGCATACATGTATAGGCAAGTTCTCAATCAAAACTGTACCCATCTTTAAGTTAGTCCCAATTTGGACTAGTTATGAGCAACAAGTTGAAGCAAATGATAGTTTATTATGTGGGTAGGATGAGAAACTAACCTCTATCCACCATACTTGTAACTATGGGTCTTTTTCTTTAAAGCTGTTTTGGCAAACAACAAACAAGCCATCACCAGACCCACACCCACCAAGCCTCCCAGCACAAGAGCTATTGTCTTCTGTGTAGTCCTCCCTGTCCCTACACCCAATCAATTCACCCTGCCATGAGATTACAATTTGAACATAATCGAAGATAATTTATATTAGGAAAGACAAGCCAACCCCCACTCAACTTTTAGCATAAAAATATATAATTGAGAAACCTTTGACATATATATATCTCTCTGAAATTTTCCACACCCACTACTTTAATGGATGACATTGTAAATTGAAATTGCTATCACATCAGCTGACACAGACCTTCACTTAACTCTTTTACCAGATCCCAAAAATAATCATCATTATCAGCCATTACTGAGATTAAAACACATCAATCATTAACCCTAATCTTAACCATTGATGGATCTTGTTGATTTTTTTTTTTTTTATACCTGATTGTGAATATGGCTGCTGCTGGTTGCTGGGAACACCACTGGGGTAGTATGTGTAGCTTATGTAGCACTTCTGAAGGTAAATCTGAGCTGAAAGTGAGCTGCTGCATTGAGTCTTAGCTCCTTCAATGGCGTTTTTCACACAGTTCACACAGTCCCCATTTCCTAAATCACCTTCACACTGACCCAACACATAGACAGACTGATAAGCCCCTGTATAGAAGCCACTGTTCCCACCCCCCACCCCCTTCACCACCTCCCCCATAGCCATGTCCAGCCTGTCCTCAAATCCAGCCCCACTCGCCCGAGTCGACCCGCAGATTTTGTACAGCAACTCTGTCCCACTCACCTGCCGGAAACCTGAAATCTCATACCTCAGATAACAGCCGGTGAGCTGCACCCTGGCCGCAATCGCCTCCCCGCAGAGCTTCCCGGCCAGGTCCGGCGTCCTCTTCACGCACCGGTTGCAGTCGGCGTTGGACAGATCGCCTCTGCATTGGAACAGCCCGGTGACGGCGGAGGAGGATCCGTCGCCGGAAGTCGCCTTGTTGAATTTAGTAGAGGCGGATTGGGAGATTAGCGTGTCGAGTAGCGTGGTCAGCGCCTGCCTGTAGCTTGAATCCTGGAATTTCTGGTCGGCGCAGCCTTTGAACACCAGGGTAGCGTAGTCGTCGGCGGCGAGAACCGGAACCGCCGCCGCAATGAGGAGGAGCAGGACGAACGGCGCTAGGGATTTGGATTTGGAAGAACAACCCATTTGGAGCTTAAACTGAAGAAATCATTTACAGGAATGAATCATTTGAGCGTGGGATTTGGGGATTTGAGAAGGGTTTCAGAAGGTTGGGTATGAAAATGGTGTGGAGCTGGAGGGGGTAAGGGGTAGGGGTAAGGGCAGGGTAGGACTTATCTCTGCCATGTCCACAGTGGAACAGCTTTTCCAGATTGTACAAAGCTTGTTTGTGAGGGGAGAGGACACACACACTCTACTAATACTGCTTATCATTATTTATTTATTGGGATATAATAATGAAGAATGTATTCATTAACAAAATCATAGTGCTAGCATTTATTTATTTATTTATTTGGGTCAAATTTTTATTATTGTTTCTGAGAGTGAAAGGGATGTATTTCTGTGCTTGTTGCTGGTTAAAATATTTTAGCCTGTTTTTGTTTGTTTTTTATTTTAATTTGGAATATTATGTGAGTTTTTGCTTCAAATAATAATTTAACACTTCTAGGTCTCGTAAAAATGGTTAGTTTGTATGCCATATAGAAATTTTAAAATTAAAATAAAAAGGTAATTGGAGTTTTTTTTAATTTAATTAATATTAAACATAATATAAAGATAATGTAACAAGGAAACAGTAATTTTCGATAAAAAATAAAAAATAAATAGAAATACTAGTTAAATGTTATAAATTAATAATAGACTAAATTTAATAGATGGACAAATAAAAAAAATACAAGTAAATTTGACGATGGAATGAAATATAATATTATCGTGTTTGGAACATAATAACTGCAAATGTCCAACAAATATGTGTGAAATTAAACATGATCATACAATATATTTATATTCATCAAATTTTTTCCATTGAAAAATATTAACTCTCAAAGTTGAAAAATCAAAACATAGGTTAAACAATGTCTGATTTTTATAATTTCAAAATCTCAAATTATATAATTAATATTTAATTACAATAATATATGAAAAGTATCATCAATTGGCACCTCCAACACACTCATTTAAATTTGAAACCCTAATTGAGAGAAAAATTTTGGAGGGGGGAATACAATTTAATTTAATTTCACAAAATCAACCTTCAAATATTCGACAAGCGACGTTGGAGTCTAAAACCAAACCAATCAAAGAAATTACCTTAAAATCGCGTTGCCAGAACTCGAAGACAAGGGATAAAAAGAATTGCAGGAGATTTTATTTTGTCAAAAGATGCTAAACATGTTTTCAAAAAAAATATTAGACCGCCATGGAGATTGGACAACAAGACATTGTCCAGGTCATAACTCATTTGTCTTAGCTTCACTTGACATCTTATTTGCGCAAATTGATAGATAATTTAAAATCCGATTTACTTGTAAAATTTCAAATGAATTGAATCTATAAAAAAGTTGTGATTTTTTTCAAGTCAACAGCGGTGGCATGAATTCTTAACAGATAAATTTCTATTAAAATTGATATATCTCTTTTGTATTTGACATTCAATCAACTCGTCGTTAGTGACATCAAAATTTATCCAATAAAATCAAATTCACCCTAAACAAATAAATAAATATATATATATATCATTTCAAAATAAAAAACATCCACAAAGACTTAAAACAATTGAATATTAAACATCTTATTTATAGCCTCATTTATTCAATAAAAAAGAAGCAAGTTTCCTTCACTCTTTCTCCAAGCACTATTTCTTAATTGGAATTCTCAAAAAACAATATTAATAAACCATACAAAACTCAAAAAATTTAAAATATTTATTACAAAAAATCAAATATTCAATTTAAAACAATACATCTTATATTTTTGACAATTTCTCGTACTATACACAAAAAATCAATTTATCTAAAAGCTTTATGTGAGCTAACCCTTATAGTCCATTTGGATTTGTTTAAAAAATAAATAAAAGCAAAAAGCCTTTTATAAAACAGTTTGTAAAAAAAAAAAAAAAAATACAATAAAATTCAAATTATTAAGATTACACTTTAGGACATGACAATGTAAATATTATTTTCTACTAAGTTTTTATAGTTTATTTGAAATTTTAATTATCTAACTTAATTAAAAATGTATTTTTTTAAATTCTATATATCAATTATATTTTTAATTTTAGTTTTAGTTTAATTGTAGTATATAAATATAATATAAAATTTAATTTAATTTTACATGAATTATAGTCTACAATTTACAGCTATTTATATTTAAAAACATTACTATGTAATTTTAGTTTAACTATAATATATAAATTATATATATTTAAATTGAAATTTAATATAATATATAAATGAATTATTTTCATATTATGTTACTTATTATTATTATTATTATGGGTAAATTTGTAAATTAGATTTTAAATTTATTTTTATTTTTTTAAAAAAAACTAATTATTTTTGCTTTTGTTCAAAAGTCAATGCATTAACTATTTATTTTTTATTCTAAAAAAAAACAAAAATAATTTTTAGTAACCCATCCAAAGAGTCTTAATTATTATTTCCATTAAAAAAAAAAACAATAGTAAATAAGGATACAACAATAATTAAGAACTGAAATAAGAGAAAAAATAAGTAAGTAAATAACAATAATCAAGAATCTTAAATAAGAAAACAATAATAATAATTATAGTAACAATCATGATTGTGATTATATATGAGAATTTTTGGTTTTTATTTTTATTTTTATTATTATTATAGTAACAATATATTTTTATAAAATTGTAAGTATAATAAAATTTATCTATTCAACGGCTCAAAAAAACAAAATTCATAAGATTAACGTGGGCACCATAGCCTTGACGAAAAAAGTACACTCTCCGTCCCAGATACCGTATCTGCTACACTGTAGACACGGTATTTTATGAAGGGTGTAATCAGTAGATAATTAAGAATGTATTAGTAAAACTAATTATACTATAATATAAATAATTATATATTAAGATTAAGATAACTAATTGGTTTAATTAAAATTAAAAAAGATAAAATTAAAATTTTTAAAATGAGATTAAAGTGCGTAATCATTTTCCAAAAAAGGAAAGTGACATGGTATGTGGGACGGATAGAAATGGCAACGTGGACATGGTATTTGGGACGGATGGAGTAATAATTACAATAAAATGAAAAATTTGAAATCAAAATCAAACTTTACAATGTACTCCCTCCGTCCCAAACACCCTGCAACATTTTTTTGGGTATGTCTCAATCACCCTCCGACATTTTCTTTTTAGTATGTCTCAAACACCCTGCAACATTTCCAAAATATGAAATAATTAATTATATTTAATCTCTACCCCACACTTTATCGCTCACATCATCCAAATAAAAAAATAAAATATATATTTCTCTCTTCATCACATCACTTAATTTCTATATTATCCTACTTAATACTATCTACCTAAAAACTCGTGCAAAAAGAAAATGTTACACTTTGTTTGGGACGGAGGGAGTATTAATTATTGTCATTTATCATCAATTGTATTTGGATAAATTGAAAATTTAATCATGTATGGATAGTGTAAATAACTAATAATCCCTCCGTACTAATATAATAATTTTATTTATCATTTTTGTTCGTCTAAAAACAATAGTCTTATTTTCATAAATAACAATATCACCGTAAAACTACCCATACTTTTTCATTTTTATTACATAATTGCCACTGTTTTTTACACTAATACACACAAGGACAAAAAAATCTTTTATCTATATTTTTTACCGACTACCAATATAATATCAATATTCTTTAAATCCCGTGTACACTTAACTTTCGAAATATTAATATTTCAAATGTATTGCTTCATCTGTCCCATAACAAAGTATCCATTTTTCCATTTTAGTCCGTCCCATAACAAAGTATCCATTTTCTTTTTTAGTAATTATACTGTCTACCTAACATTACAAATACTCTTACAACTTACAATATATTATATAAATGTCGTTACGTTTATATAATACATACTAATAAGATTATTTTAGTCATTTCTATTTTATTCTTATTATATTTCAATATAATACTAATATTTCTTACGTGAGAAAAACAAATGTATACTTACTTATGGACGGAGGGAGTATATATATATTATAATAGATATATTTTGTAATATAATTAGATTATATTTTGATGATATTATTGTAATAATAGATAATATTGAGAAAATATTTTATTCTATTTTTTTACTATTGTTAACAAAACATCCCATTCAAGTCAAATAAACCCTTTAGTTACGCCAAAAAAATAATGAATTTTATTAAGGCCATAGTAACATTACATTGTATTTCTTTAGAGTTTTTGAAAATCTTTTATATTAGGTAAAGTTCCACTAATAATGGGTATATATTTTGCATGTGAGTAATATAATTAATATTTTTTATTGAAATATTAATTTTTTGCAAGTAAATATGATATATATTTGAAATATTTATGAAAATTGTGTTAGTGGGAAGAATGTTAGATGAACAATTCTTTGTTATTTAGTAAATATATATATCCAAAAATATTATTAGATTATTTATTACAATCATTAGGGTGTGTTTGTTTGGGGTTTGGAAATTGAGTTGAGATTTGAATAGTAAAAATTTTGAATTTGAATAGTTATATGATATAATATAAATAGGTATTGATGTGATGTTTTGAATGTAAAATTGATTTTTAGTATAATATAAAAAATAAAAAATAGGTGTTTGATTTGACGTGTTTTAGGGGAAAAAATGGGATGAACAGTGAAAATCTAATCCAATCCCCAACCAAGGCGCACCTTAATTTTATGATTTTCTTTTGTTTACATCATGTCAATTTAATATTCAAATTATTCTTGTTTATTGTTTTATTTAAAATAATAAAATATATATTATTTATATTATATGAATATGTGTATCATATTTTTTTATTTTATTTATCAAAAATAAAAAATTTGTTAGATGAATAAACTTTATAATTTATCTATATATATATTTTGTTCTAATAATATATAAACAATACAATATAATAGTGTTGTATTTTATCTTCTAAATATTAATTTATATAAATTGTGATAATATTATTTTTGGTTTTTTCTTTTTCTGAAATATTCAAATTATTCAGATTCGAAATTGGTGATATTTAAAATATTGGATCATTGTGATAAATTATAAAAAATATATGTTTCTTAAAATTTAAAAACTTAAAATTTAAAATTTCTTAGGTAATAATTAATTATATAGTATTTTTTTATTCAAAGTAATTGAGGTGTGTTTTTTTTTTAAAAAAAATTACTTAATATGTATTTCCAAAAAGTTAATATATATGTATTTTTTATTATATTTATATTATTTATACATATCTATAAAGTTCACATAATAATAATAATAATAATAATAATAATAATAATTATTATTATTATTTAAGTCAAAACATAAAACAAGCAAACCCTAAAATTTATATATTTTGGACATAGATGATAAGTCCCATTGTATAGAAATTGAAAAAAATAACAACTAAAAATAAAAAATAAAGAAAGTGTATATAAAGAATGTAAAGTGTTTTATCTTTCTGTCAACTCATAATATATATATATATATTTAGCATTGTCTAATTAAGTAATTATTCATTAAATATTTATTTATTTATTTTTTTTCACAAATACTCATATTCTACCATAATATTATTTACTTTTACATTAAGAGTAAAAAAAATAATTTTACACTACTTTTAATTATTCATTACAATTAAAATACTATTAATTTTTAAATTTTGTCTCAAAAATAAATATATATTTTGTTAGTAGATGGCGAAAAAAGTATTGTTTAAGACACCATTTTCAATGTATATTTTTTAAATTTTATTTAATAAAATATTTATTATTATTTTTTATTTTCATGCTAAGTCTAAATAGATTAAATATAGTAAAAAAGTATTTAATAGAATTTTTAAATATAAATATTTTGTATAAAATAATTTTTAATTATAAAGTATTTATTTTGGATAAATAATATAAAAATAATTAATATTTATAATATATTATTTCTTACTCTCTCCTTATTTTTAACGGCTATAATATTATTTTGCTCAATAAAAAAAAAAATAAAATAAAATAAAAATTTCAAGAATCAAAAGCGGCACGCTTCACCCACACGTGGGAGTTGCATTCGTTTCCGCCCAATGATATGTATATGTGTGTATATATATATATATGTATGTATATGTCTCGAAACTGAACCCAAACCCAGAAAGAACCCAACCCCCCCAACCCCCCCCCCCCCCACTCCATCCGTGACCTCCTCCCGTCCTTTCTGTTCTTCTGCTGCAGAGGTTTCGCCGCTTGATTGCTCTACCGAAAGTGTGCAGAGGAAAGCGTTTCTTCAATGCGGGTGAGGATTTTGCGCACCGCTTTCCGTAAATGCGTTCGATTTGTCAATTCTACTTCGCAATTGCTTTTTTTTGAAATGTATGGGAATTGCGGATGAGTTTATTTTAGTGTTTCTGGTGGGAAATTACTTTGTCGCTGTGCAGGCGTGATTCTTGAGATTTTTTCCTTTTCTTGTTTTTTTTTTCAACGTATATTCGGCTGTTTTGTTCCTCCTGTTTTCACATTTGATCGTTTCTTTTTTTCCTAGGGTTTCTTAGGGTTTATTGTTGTCAAGTCGATCTAGTTTTTATTTTTCTGGGAAAATTGAAGTCATAGATTCGTCGTCGCGCTTTCTTAGGAAATAATTTTGGTTTTTTTTATTGGGTTTTAGATTTTCAATAATGCAAGGGTTTTTACATTTCAGATTCCAAATAATCATTTGTGACTGCGGGAGCGCGCGTGTGTACAGCGAGTCCTTGATGTGACAATGCATGTGGATTTTCATTGGTTTTAGGGTATAAATGTATATATAATTGCAAGAGTGCATGAGCATGATTTTTTTTTTTTTTCATTTGTTTGTAGAAAAGCTGAGGATGTGTTTACTTGTGTCTGTGTTTTGTGAAGTCCTAAATTTGAATTATTGGATCGAAAAATAGGTTAGGTGTTATGTTTTTGTGTTAATTTTAGGTGCCAAAAATGATGCTTTTTTGGTGGGGAAAAAAAATATTTTAATTTGCATGATTCTGAAATGGTGCTGAAAACTCAAGTGAATGAAGTGTGAAGCTATTGATTTTGGACTACTTTGTTTGGTACACACACCCCTCCAAACCCTAATATATGCATACATGCTGTTGACACAAAGATATCTTTGAAATGTTGTAGTTGCTCGGGGTTTTGGGGGCTGTTTTAATAGGGAAAATAGTGAGAAATTGTTTGTTGTTTGTGTTTTCAATAATCTTTTCATACAATGCAAGCTACAACAACTTATTTTTGCGCCTATATTTCATCTATTTTACCCAAAAAAATAACCCCAAAACACCCAAAATAACTTGAAACACAAATAAGAAAACACTATATAGATATATATATATATATATTGACTTCATAAATGTATTTTATTTCATTTTACAATACAAGAAAAGAAAAAGATCCACTCTATTGCTTTGTGGACTCTTAGAATAAATCATAAAACTTTGAACAGTTTGTGAATTGTGAATTGATTTCGTGAACTGTTCTATGTTATGTGGATACTCTTGAATGTGTACTCAATTGCATTTTGAGAAGCTAGAAACTGAAATCTCAAACATATTTTTGATGTACATAATTGAAATTTATATTTTAGTGGAAAAGATGTATGAAGTGTTTAGATGTTGGAAAATTAGCACAATGGGTGGATATGTTTTTGAGTTATTGATTTGATTATAATAAATTTTTGCTAGTTTGATTCTCTGTTTGATGGTTTGCAGAGTTTTTACATGTTTACTTATTTATTTTTAATTTTTTACTATCCTGTACATTTTCTAATAATGTCAATATTATTGTCCTGTTTCAGTTTAACGTCAAGTTGCTCTTTTTTGATGACCTGCAGTGGTGATGTGCAAGATAGGCTTAACATCTTGCTCAGATCAGTGATGATTATTTGATCATCTGGGATATCTTGCTGCTGTGACTGTACCTGATCAATCAACTACATTTTCCTTTGCCAACTTCAGCTATATTTATCACTGTCATTATTTTGTCTGTAACATAAAACTGGTTGAAATGAGCAAGGAAACAAAAGCAAAAGTTGCAAATGCCTTTCGTGCTATGAAGGCTATTGGGATCTCTGAAAACAAGGTGAAACCTGTTTTGAAAACTCTACTGAAATTGTATGATAAAAATTGGGCCCTGATTGAAGAGGAAAACTATAGAGCCCTTGCTGATGCGATATTTGAGAAGGAGGAATCAGAAGTAAGTGCTGTTAACCAGTGTTCCGAATCCTTAATCCATATACTTTGTAGCTCTTCATTGCTCTAGATTCATTTTTTCATATATTAGTTCTTTTTTCATCATTAGTAGCCTGACCTTATTATTTACTTCCCCCCTCCGCTAAATTATGTCCCTATTTCTTATTTGACCGTCTGCTAAACTTATGCACAATCCACTTCATAGTAAACAATTTTATCCACCCGTTATTTTAATAAATAATAATCAATTTGCCACTATTTTTTCTACTAGCCAAATTATTTTTTTCTTATAATTTTCTCATAAATTTTCTATAATACCATCATTTTACTTTTTACCTACTCCACTTTAACATTAAAATATTATTTCTTAGTCTCTGCCCAACCAAACGTACATAGTTTTACTGGACGAGGTAGTATAATTTTATTAGACTTATTGAAGCATACGTACTATCTTTCAGGCACAAGAGCAGGCAAAGAAGATTGCAGAAAGCGAAGTATGCTATCTATTTCATAATTATATCTATTTCTATAAGTCTGTTAGGGCTAATTGACCTGTTCGAATCTCTCTTTTTTTTTCTGTTTTTTTTTTTTTTTTTTTCCTAATTGTGCCCTGTATGCCGGAATGTGGTTTATTTTCTAATATCATGATGCATTTTGTGCCGACAGGCTGCAGAGCAGTCAAAAAAGATTTCAAAAACACAAGTAGGTGATTCAATGCATCAATAATGCTTTATATATTCCAGTGACTTTTGAGCTATTGATTTTTTTTTATCTGTATCTTTGTTTGTTCCTAGTTTCCGTTGTTATCCTGATGCTCACTCTGGCTTTACTCTTCTTAATAGATAGAAAACTTTGTGAATGAAGAGGATCATGCTGCTGAAGAGTCTGAAGAGCGGCCATTAAAAAGGTTGCGTCATAGACACCGAGATGGTCAACCTTCATCCTCGCACATGTCTGGTAATGGCACAGTCAAAACTCCTCTTGTCCGCCCTAAAGAAGAACCTGAAGAAATAGCTATAATGCCTACAAATGGGTCAGCGAGTACAGGGAAGCGGCCTCACACTAGGGAGGAAAACACAACTATTAACTCTCAATCTGTCACCCCTCCATCACTGAGTAGGGATAAAGGCAAGCAGCTTGCTTCTGCTGAACCCTCAAGTATTAATGAGAGAGATGGCCGCCCCCAGCCCAGTAGCATAAGCAGGAATCAGCAAAAAACGCGGCTAGAAACTGAACCCAGATCGCCTTCTCATCCAATGAAGCTTAGAGACAGAAGACATGGAGCTACCTCCCCTCAACCTGCACCCAAGGAGAAGAGGCCAGTTCCTGATGGTTCTAGCCATTCTTTATGTCTTAAAGAGCCAAAGATTGAACCCGACATCCTTCCACACCATGGTAAGAAACCCTCAAATCATGCTTTGATTAAGCCAAAAGATGAGCCAATCACTGTGACATGGCATGTCTGGTGGCTCTTGTGGTTAGTTTTACAGGTATGCCCTTTGGTGGCTATGCAGTGGCTGAGTGGCTGCAATCTATTCTCTAATTCATTGAAATGGCATTGATTATCCCAATTGAAATCTCAAGAACTTGCTATAACTTTGCATTCAAACTTTTTTCCTGTAGTTTAAGAGACAATACATGTATCTTTTAACATTGCTCTTTCATTGCATAAGTTCCTCTTGATCTTATGTTTGAAGTCAATGACTGAGGTTTCTAATTGGTCAGCGCCTGTCCCTGAATCTTGCTTTGAATTGTTATTTAATCTCATCTCCATGAACTGAAAGTTGGAGTTAGTTTTTAATAAAGTATATTTATTATGTTAATTGCATATTTTTTTCTTTGTATTTTATTTAGCAAACAGCTGTTGTATCAGTTTATTTTTTAATCCCTAGTTCTTTCCATTTTTGCAACTTATGTTGGATCTTACCTTGAGACATTCAATAGTATTTGTCACAGTTGATCTCCTTTTCATGTCATAAATTACAGTATTATCTATATTTTGTTGCTGCATAATTTTGTGAATAATTCTTTCTTATAATCGCATTTCAAATTGCAGATGCATGCATGAACTGAAAGTTTTCAGAAAAGTATATTTATTATAGTATGTTTAATTGCTTAATTTCTGCTGTGGGTTTTATTTAGTGAACAGCTGTTAGATCAGTTTATAGATCTTATACTGGTACTTACCTGAGACGTTCAATAGTATTTGCTACATTTGAAGGCATTAAATTTCCTGTTGACCGATTGTATCTCCTTTTCGTTTCATCAATTAGTCTTATCTATATTTTGTCGCTGCATAGTTTTTTATGCACGGTTCATTCTTATAATCTCATCTCAAATTTGCAAATGTAGGCATGAACTGGAAGTTGGAGTTAGCTTTTAATAAAGTAACATATTATAGTATGTTAATTGCATGTTGTCTGCTTCGTGTGTTATTTAGTAAACAGCTGTTGGATCAGTTTAATTTTAATTACCTCATACATATCATTGAGGTGTCTTATGCTGGAGTTTACTGAGACATTCAATAGCATTTGCCGCATTTGAAGGCATTAAATGTCCTCTTCACCCATTGATTTCCTTTTCGGGTCATCAATTACATTATTATCTATATTTTGTCGCTGCATAATTCGATTCATTCTTATAATCTCATCTCAATTTTGCAGATGTATCAAGAGGAGATTCATTGATTGGGCATGAGATGCTTAGAGAAAATTATACTCCTGAACCTTCTGCAGTTCAATCATTTCATGAAAAAGAAATAGCTGATGGCACCACTGCACCGAATCAGTCTAAAAACAATACTGAGCTACCGGAGATCCCAGCTGAACACTCTTCTACCATTGAGATCGCTTCCTCTTCAAAAGGAGAGGCTAGAATGTATTTGAAAGCTAACTTGGATGCCACAGGATCCAACTTCCATATACCCAGTCTTGAGTCTGTGGTGAAGCATGTTGAGGATAAGTGTTTCAGATCAAGCAAATCTCTGGACCCCAACATTTCATTGATGAATGTCATGAAAGAAGTATGTGAATGCTTTGTGGAGTTGGGAACCAATTCCAAGAGCCAGTCACCAAAGATTATGGATATCGCTCCAACCACTGATCCAGCCAGTAAATGTTCTGCACCAGATGGTGAAGTTACGGGTAGTATGTGCATGAGATCTTGGAATAATCTTGCTGATTCTCAGTCTAGTGCCAAGTTAACTGAATATCAAATATCTCTGCTTCCTTATTCTGGGATGATTGATGAGGCACAACCAATAACGAATCCTGGAGATGAAATTATGATTGATAGAGAAGACAAAGAAAGTTGTGCTCAAGCAACTGATGGCCTGAGCCTGGAGGTTGGTTGCCAGTCCCCGGCTCCTTGCAACAACATGGATGATGAGGAGCAGGAGGCCAATACAGTTGCTGGAGGTGAAATGGCGAAAAATGGTGAAAACCAAGAAAACTTTGATGATGAATGCATGGGGGTTGCTCAGCAGTCTCTACCAGATTCTGGAGTACATGACATTGCCAAGGGACAAGAAAAGGTTGTGATTACAATGGTGAATGAAGTGAATGATGAATCTCCTCCATCCTTTTTTTATATACCCCAAAATACACCATTCCAAAATGCTTACGTAAATTTTTTCCTGGCACGAATTGGGGATAAGAACTGCTGTCCTACTTGTTCTGTGGATTGTTTATCATCTCCCACACCTTGTGCATGTGCTAACGAAACTGGAGGTGAGTTTGCATATACCAGTGATGGACTTGTTAAAGAGGAATTTCTTAAGGAGTGTATTTCCATGAATCGAGATTCTAAGAAACATTGTCAGTATTACTGTAAAGTATGCCCTCTGGAAAGATCCAAATGTGTAGATGCCATTGAACCATGCAAAGGTCATCTAGTGAGGAAGTTCATAAAAGAATGTTGGTGGAAATGTGGCTGTACTATGGAGTGTGGCAATCGGGTGGTACAGAGAGGAATAACCCATAAGTTACAGGTATTAGTACTTCATTGTTTATTTCTACACCGGATTATTCTCAATCCCACTCAATTAATTCTTTACACATTGGCTCCATTTGGATTAAGTTTTGGGAAAGTTCGAAAATTTTGATAATAGTAAAAGGTTTGGTATTTGCTGTGATGTTTTGTGAATGAAAATGTATTTGATGAGATTATTGTTGACAAATAATGTCAAAAGTATTTATGTAAACAGAGCCGTAATCTCTAATTTGTTGTGTATCTCAGGTGTTTATGACTCCTGGAGGAAAAGGTTGGGGTCTGCGCACCCTTGAAGACCTGCCAAAAGGCACATTTGTTTGTGAATATGTTGGAGAAGTATTGACGAATGCAGAGCTATTTGATCGTGTTCAGAAGAGATCCCGACGGGAGAAACATTCATATCCTGTGCTTCTTGATGCTGATTGGTGTGCAGAAGCTGTGCTGAAGGATGAAGAAGCTCTTTGTTTGGATGCTACATATTATGGAAACGTGGCAAGGTTTATCAATCATAGGTAATATGTTTAAATTGAGCATTTCGGGTGTTACTTTTTCGGTTTTTGTTTTATAATTATTAATTTGGCCAGTTCAACTGAAGTAATCAGGTGAGGTAAATGTGACTAGATTGCTTTTTAGATTTGTAGATACCCTAAATCCCATCAATAAGTTCTGGTTCTGCTTTTTCCTTGAAAATTTATCCAAATTATTATAATTTGAGATTCTGGCTGCTGTCTTTTGTGGTTGTTTAGTGTTTATAGTTTTAAATATTTTTGTAGCGAGGTAAGTATTATAATAGAATGATGTTTTGTGTGTTTTTGTTTACTTTCATTGTTGAGTGCATATATTGTATATTTTTTCGGGTAATACTTTTGGAAAATGTGTAAGCTGTGTAGGAATAAAACACTAAGTAAAAACACTCTTATTTTGGTTTAAGTTTATGATTTTCTAGACTAACTATATATATATATATATTATGTTCAACCGCAGATGTTATGACTCAAACTTAGTAGAGATACCTGTGGAAGTGGAGACTCCGGACCACCACTACTATCATGTACGACTTTTCAACTTATTTTCTCATTGTTTCAATCTCTAACGGTGTTTGATGTGTTTTGGAAACAATGTTTTGGTAAGTATAAAGTATGGAAATAATGTCAGGCGGAAGTAATTTCATTGTACAGTACAAAAATAAAATTGCATTGTACATACAAACTCACCATAAGGTCCTAATGGCTTCATCTCTCAGCTTGCTTTCTTCACTACAAGAAAAATTCGTGCCATGGAAGAACTAACTTGGGTAAGTAAACGTTTTGCTTGTACATTTTTGCAAATCTATTTGTTAGTTTATATATTTAAACTTTTGAGAACAACACGTGTCATTGCCAAGTACAACTAGCAAACATTTATGGTGTGTTTGTTTTGTGAATTAGGTTGAAGTGATATTTTAACGTGAGGTATAGAGAATTTGGTAGGTAATAAAAAAATAATAAGGGTGTTTGTTTGGAGATTTGGATTTTGGATTGGGATTTGAATAGTACAAATTTTGAATTTAAATAGTTGTACGATGTGATATAAATAAATATTGATATGATGTTTTGAATGTAAAATTGATTTTTAATATAATATAAAAAATGAAAAATAAGTGTTTGATTTGATGTTTTTTTTAGGGGGGGTGGGTGGATTTTGTATAAATAGTAAAAGTTTTCCAAAATCCTTCAAGCAAACACACAAGTGTGGGTTATTAATTTTTTTGGGGAAATGTGTTTTAGAATTTTCACAAAACAAATACATCCTTATTGTGCTTCACGGCTTTTGACTAATTACAGTTATACAATTGTGGCTGTATATATGTACACATATGTGGGGGAATTTGAATTTTGAATTTGGATTGTCAATGTTTGACGTGATATAAACATGAATTGATGCGATTTTTTAATGTAAAATTAGTTTTTAACATAATATAAAAATAATAATGTGTTTGATTTGCTATTTTCCGAGGGAAATTTTATAGGAATAGTAGAAACCTCCAAAATTCCCCAAAAATAATTTTTTCGGGTTGTATATTATCTTTTCTCAGCAGCTCCATTTCCTGCAGGATTACGGAATAGATTTTGACGACCATGATCACCCCATAAAGGCCTTCCGATGTCAATGTGGGAGCAAGTTCTGTCGCAACATAAAGCGCACTCGTACGTATACATAACATTAACTGGCTACTGCATTTTACACTGAGATGATGTTGCTAATCGAACGTTTGAATCTTATTGCAGGACCTGCAACTAGAAGCAGTAGTAGACGATATTGATCGAAAGCTTCGATTTTTCTCGACTTACGGCCGCTGTGGTCAGTATTTCAAAGTATTGAAGGTTTGAAAGACAACCCCCTAACCCCTTTTTCTTTTTTTTCTTATATTTGGTAATTGAAGGCTGAAAATGAACTAATCAAAGACTCCCTATTGCATTTCTTTCACTATTTTGCTAAAACTTTGGTTTAGGGAACCTCTTATATGTAATGTATTCTATTTCGTTGTAGTTACTCTTTTCATTTTTGGACAGAAAATGACTGAAAATGTTGGAATTGTTTTGGACTTTTGGTAATTTAAAAATAGAAAAAAAAAGATTGAAAAAATATGGAGTTGAGTGAAATGTTTTGAATGATTTTTTTTTTTTATTCGATGTTTTGGGATTGGAAATAGTGTATTAGAATTTGGGCTGGTATCTGAATTAATTTGTGATTGATGCATGAATCAAAGTCACACATGGCTTTGTATACTCTGGCAATTATTTAAAATTATTTTATTATTCAAATTTAAAATAAAGAAATAACTAGTTAAATACATTTCATATAATTTTATTATAATATTTTAAATAAGAAAATTAATGCATGTCATGTTTTTTAGGAGATTCTTTCCTTCAAATTATGTGCGCGCCAATTTCTCTGTATCTCTCGTCGTACGACACTCCCTCAAAAAATTTTGGAAGCAGCAAAACAATGCATTTATTAATAGGCCAAAAAAATAGTAGGGAAAAAATGATTGGTTGGTTCCAATATAAGCAATTTTGGTCTCAATATAAAAATTTTATCAATTTTGGTCTCAATCTAATCAAAATTTATTATTTTTGTCTCAATATAATCAAAATTTATTATTTTTTATCCCAATATAAAAATTTTATCAATTTTGGTCATAGTATAGCCAAAATTTATCATTTTTTTGTCTCAATAGAATCAAACCTTATTTTTTTTTTCCGCCGTCAACAAACCGACGGAAAATGCTGACGTAGACTTACAAGATTATGCAATTTCTTTAAATATAAATATAAAGTTTGATTTCTTTTCACAGTATTTTGGACAAAAAATGATGAATTTTGATTATATTCAAACCAAAATTGATAAAAATTTTATATTGGGATCACAATTAATGAATTTTAATTATATTGTGACCAAAAATAATTTTTTTCCAAAAAAGTATTATACACACAGGCAATGGCTTGTTTATGAACTTTCATATTTATCCAGGCTTTTCATTCAAAGTCTTATAAAAAAATAACTATTCCATAGCTCAATTTTTTAAGCCAAAATAGAGAACTTATGAAAACGTAATTCAAAATACATTTCTATTTTTCATCTATTTTACTTCAAATTATCTTTTTTATTTATTTATTTATTTTAAACATAATTATATACTAACATAAAAATACGCTTTAATTTTTTCTTAAATTACAAATATACAATTAAACGTACAATTATTTTACACATGATAAAAAATGTCAAACTCTTCGGCAATTTTACTAACTAATATAATATTATTATTTTTTAAATTACTACAAAATTTTAAACACTCGGTTTCGTTTGATTAAAAAAAAAAGTATTATTTTCATATAATATATAATATATATTTTTATCCAATCACAAAAATTTAATAAATTAATATAAAATATTATTTTTTATATTAGTTTCGTAACTTCTCCTTCCTAATACTAAAAATACATCCATTGAAAAAAAAAAAAAACCAAGAGCATAATTTTATTTTAAAATTTTATAAGAATTAAAATTTGTAAAAAATGCTATAATTCTGTATTGGGCCCACTTTCTTGAGTCCACGATAAAAAGCCCATTAATTACGAAGGCCCTTGACACAACTACACGTATAAACCAAAACCCTAGCGCCTCCCGGCATATCATCCACTGTGGGTAGAGGGAGATCGTCCGGCAAAGATGTCGAAGCGAGGTAATTCCGATCTAAATTTGGCGTTGTATCCGATTACAAGCAGTTGTTAGTAGAATTTTCTTGTTGTAATTTTCGATTCATGAGTTTGTTTGTTACTAGGGCGCGGAGGGTCGGCGGGGAACAAGTTCCGGATGTCGCTGGGTCTTCCGGTGGCGGCGACGGTGAACTGCGCCGACAATACTGGCGCAAAGAATCTCTACATCATCTCGGTGAAGGGGATCAAGGGCAGGCTGAACAGGCTTCCTTCCGCTTGCGTTGGTGATATGGTGATGGCTACTGTGAAGAAGGGTAAGCCCGATCTACGTAAGAAGGTCTTGCCCGCGGTCATTGTCCGCCAGAGAAAGCCGTGGCGCAGAAAGGATGGAGTCTACATGTACTTCGAAGGTAGTTCCGTTCACGTATGCTGAATTACATTGTTCATATGCCATACGCTTGTTTTGTGCTTATCTGTTGGTTGGTGATTTTGAGGTTTGAATGATAATGTGAAGAATTTTTTTTTTTTTTTTTAACTTTATCTCTCTATGCGATGAAACATGATATTGAAGCTGATAAATCTTCGGTGAAAATCTAGAAAGCTTTCGGACTAAGTGGTGGAACTTGTACAATATTATCACCTGTATTCGAATGTTGAGTCATTCATAGGATTACCATGGCTACCCTATTTGATTAGGATGTTTTTTTGGACATCGGGTTAGCTTACTATGGTTGTGATTAATATGTTTTGAAAGTCGTTTCGAGTTTTGGGTTGGTTTGTTAATGGAATTGTTGACGAAAAGTGCAAAAACAAGTTTGACCACAAGTAAACAAGATTGGAAGACCTTAGCTAAACATATGATTTGCCATTATAAGAGTATATCAATCAATATGTAAGAATTGGTTTAGTCGTACTTTTGAATTTCTTTTCCGTTAGGCCCTTGCATTCCATGATATGGTAATTTTTTCATGTGAAATTTTTGTTGTACATTTGTGGGAAAATTTCCTTAGTTGGATGCAATTGTCTTTTCATCTTCCTTGATGCATCATACAAACCTATTTGTATTTTAGTTTCTACTCGTGTGCAGTTGATCACAGATCCACCTTTAGCTCGAAAGAAAGAACTTCTAATCATGTTTCTGTTTTTACAGATAATGCTGGGGTCATTGTAAATCCCAAGGGAGAAATGAAAGGTACCAAAAATTGCTTCTGTTAAGAACATACATTCAACTTTTAATTTTCATCTTATATAATCGGTGCGTTTGTATCTGAAGGTTCTGCCATCACTGGACCCATTGGGAAAGAGTGCGCCGATTTGTGGCCAAGGATTGCCAGTGCTGCTAATGCTATTGTCTAGACATCGGTTGTTGTTTTCACTATAGTTTTTGTGCTTGTTTCTTCCATTGCAATTTTGCATCTGTCGTAGTGGTCTTACAAGACTTGTTGAATTATCTAATTATGGCACGATGAATAGGTGAGGAATGGTGGTATTTCTTGAATGTTTTGTGTTTTTGAATGAATTAGGTTGTGTGTTCATTTGTTTTGTTTTTTATAGTTGTTGGATAGCTAAACATTGGATTGTTTTTTAATAGTAGAAATTGGGTAAAGTTTGATAATTAGGGTGTGTTTGTTTCGGGGTTTGGATTTTGAGTTGGGATTTGAATAGTAAAAATTTTGAATTTGAATAGTGCGTACGGTGTGATATAAATAGATGTGATATTTTGAATGTAAAATTGATTTTTAGTATAATATAGAAAATAAAAAATAGGTGTTTGATTTGATGTTTTTTTTGGAGGAAAAAATGGGATGAATAGTAGAAAAAATTTAGATTTTGAGTTGGGATTTGAATAGTAAAATTCTTTAATTTGAATGGTTGGATGATGTAATGTTTTAAATATAAAATTAATTTTTACTATAATATAAAAAATAGAGAAAAATTGATGAATAGTGGAAATATTAGGAAATCCTCGGTGTTTTAATTTGAAGATTTTTTTTTTCTTTTTGTTTTTTATTATTATTATTTTTTGTAAGGGATAAAGAATTGTCTTTGGTAATATAAAAATGATAAAAGAATTTTTTTTATAAGATGATAAAATATATATTGAAAATTATTTTAAATTAATATTTTGTAAAAGAAAATAATATATTTTTATTGAGTATTACATTGATTAAATAATATTAATTATAATTTAATATCATAAAAGAAAATAATATACTTTATGTTTGTGAAGTTTTTGAGTGATCCTATATGATAATATTCCATTAATTTCAGTCTGAATACTACATAATCAAAGGGTTTGTTTGTTTAAGGTTTGTAAGAGGGAGTATTATCGTTTACAATTGTACCAAAAATAAATTTCTGTCCAAAAAAAAAAAAGAAAAAAAGCCACAAACAAATCACACGCTTTAAACTGTCAACTTGCCACGTAAAACAGACTAGAACACATCGATCCGACTGAGGTTTGAAATTGGAATACAGCGCGCGAAAGTGCTGCTGCATTCAAGAGGCGCGGGCGGGCGGCCGACGCATTGGGATTTACACAACATCATCAGAAGGTTTTCCCCTTCGAGCAATCAGTCAGAACATGGGCTGGTCTTATCCCCGAATATCCCTGCAAGAGTTGATCAAATTGATCACAAACTTCATTGATATGTTGGTTTTAGCTTCTGGCTATCAATCCACTGGTCGCCCCGCGCATTGGGATTCACACAACATCAGAAGATCCTTCCAATGGGCGCTTTTTCTCCAGAAGGTAACTAGTGGTTTACTTCTATTTCACCGTGATTAAATTCGAAATCTTCAGAAGAACACTTGTTACGCGTTACCATGATCGATCTATGGCCTTTGATTGCGTAATTAGGTATTGAAGGACCTGACTAGTTCGATTGATTATGAAGAATCTGTTAAAGAGCTCGACGCTGCTTTGTTGGAATTGAAATCCAATCCTCGTTTTCCTCAGGTTGATTGTTAACTTGATTCAGCATAGTTTGTGTTTCTTGATTACTTTCTGTTTGTAAATTCATTCTCTGTATGCCTGTTTGAATCAGGGTCTACTTCATATATCATGTGGTACGCTTGTTAAGGCTAGGGATTTGCTGTTGGAGCATTTAATTCAGACCTTACCCTTGAGAGAATCACATTTAAAAGCTATAATGTTGTCTTGCGTTGAGATGGACTTGATCGAGCTTCAAGGATTAGGGGACGATGATTGTGTTGTTGCCTATGTAGACAAGTTAACGAGAGCATCGCAAGACCTGGATTTAAATGGGGACAGAAGGGTTAATCAGGGCTCTGAGATTTCAATTTTAAATGGTGGAAGGCCTTGTGATTTGGTCAATGGAGAGTTTAGTGTGTCGGCTATTCAAAAACTTAGACGGAGGCAACTGGCAGCAGCAGCATGCTCGTCGGTGGTGGATAATGGTCTGGAATGTCTCTGGAATACTTTAAGGCTAAGTGTACAAGATGAATTTGGGAGTGCTTCATGTTCGAAACTGACGAAGCAGACAGAATGCCAGATGTAATGGTTCGATCTTGTTATATTTAAAGTATTTTCATGCATTTTCGACTATTTTAAAGCCATTTATTTGTTCTTCTTGATCAAAGTTGTGGGAGTCATATAAAATTTATTGCATTGTGTTATTCTCTTTTATTGTGGTTTCTCATTCATTTAGTGTAGAAGAATTGCCAGTTGAATTGGTTGTCTCGAATCACTGGAGATCCAGAAGTCTATTGTATATGCTTCACAGGCGAACTATGAGGCTTGTTTCCAGTGCTAGCTTGATTTTTTCTGTGCCTGATGACCAATGGGCTCAAGTTTTCAATCAATTAAAAGCTTCGCCTGAGTGTGATGATTCGTGTGAAATAATAGTAAGCCAGTTTAACCTTTTACCTCAGAACATTGGACTATTCCCACCCCCCTAAATTTATTGCTGTCTGGATAAATGGATCATGACACGATGAATTAATTTTCGTCCTCATAAGCCTTTCTGGCATGTAGTTAGTTCTTCTTTGAAGTGATAAGATGAAGATAGAGCATATCTTGTAGATTATTTCCTTTTTGTCAGTCGACTGTTTACATTTTAACATAATTGGATACTTTAATTCTGATGCTACTGAGGTTGGTAGTGAAATGGATTTCCTTCAGCAACAGGATCTTCCGCGAAAGCTTTTCACTCTTTTGAAATAGTTTTTATGCGGGTGTAGTAAATTGTCTTCTACAAAATATTTCATAGTAACTTATTCCGAAAAAAATTATCTGTGACAGGAAATTATCTTATTAGGATGCATTGCAGATAGATGGAGCACTCTAATTCAACATCTGATGTCAGTTTCATATGAGTCCATTCCTGTCTCGAGACTCTATAAAGAAATGTTGAACATACGCCAGGGAAAGGCTCTAAACTTCGGTCTAAAAGAGGGTTTCATTAATCCTAAGGTATCTTTCATCATTGCAAATACTTTATAGTGACATTAAGAAGTTTGTGAACTGGGTTCCCTTTTTTGATAGTCCTCGAGTACAAGGATCTATTTCTGATGGTCTTATAAGTTAGTGGATCTAATGTACATGGCGTTTTTCATTCATTTATATTTTTCAGTTTCTTTACAATTTTTACGAAGCTCTTGCAACTTGCACTTTACTCATTCAGCTCTTAAGAGGTCTTCAAATTGCCTTTTCCATTAAAATTTTGTATAATTGCTATATGAACTTGCATGATTATGTAAATTTAGGTGAAGTTCGTGCTAGATAACTCGAGGATAAATTTTTATGAAGCTCTTGCTACTTGCACTTTACTCATTCAGCCGTTAAGAGGTCTTCAGATTTCCTTTTCCGTTAGAATTTTGTATACTTGCTATATGAACTTGGATGATTATGTAAATTTAGGTGAAGTTCATGCTAGATTAAAGTCGAGGAATAAATTTGGACATTGAATTGTTTTTTTGTTGTCAGTGTACAGAAATGGGGCTTGTTATGTGTTGTTAGTTTCTATACATCGAGTTACTTCACTGGGTTATATTTTCTTGTTTTCTTTTCCAATGCATAAGATTTTGCCTCAAAAAAAAATCATGTCATCTGAATTATGCTCAAATCACCTTCAGCTGGAAATCCACGTGGATACTTTATTATTTTTTTCCCCCACTATATACCTTGATACCTGATCCCTGATCATCTTGAAATCCAGGAAAAGAGTGCTGTAAACTTTCTTGAGTCGTTATTCAGCAACGATCTCAGCCAATTATGGAAACTACCCCCAATTCTTGCAGCAGTTGCAATTCCTTCATGGTACATTTTCTTTCCATAGTTGTACTTATCTTTATAGTATCGTTTTTTTCTTTTTCCACAAATTTTGTAGAACTACGAATATTTCTGTTAAAAGAGGAGTCAAAATTTTGTTCATGTTATTGTTTCAAAACAGGTCACACTTGTTCACATCATATCTTCGTGAGATAGAGGGCCAGTTCTATGGAAGTTCTCTCCCAACCAAGTTAGTGCTTCCATATCCAGTGCATGTTTACTATGAATTTGTATTTTAGTTTTTGACAAAGTGATTGCTGTAAGTGTAGTATCTCCCCTCAAACAATATTTAGTTGAATAGTTTATTTTTTTCTTTCACTTCTACTTAACGTTTGCTGCTGCGCTACTCACTTCTAGTTATCTAACCGACATTCGTTGCATTAGCTAACTTGTCATATGAATTGATACCTAAGTTTGGTTAATAGTTAAGCCCTTTGATTGTTAGGTTACCTTATATTAGTTAGAACATGATGTTTCCCAGGAGATAACAAATCGAGTCAAAAGTAAATCAATTTTTGATATTATGCTCGTAAACAGTTCATTGTATTCATCGATTCTTTCTTTCGAATTTTAATCCGCTGTTAAGGATTTCCTTGTGGTGTAGGTGCTGCGGTTGTCCAGCTGATCAGATCGAGCATAGGGAGTGTAGGTCCCTTTAACCCTCTTAATGCATCAGCATATCTGTTTGTTTTCCTCATTCACTCGAATGCACGTTTCTATTACCTCTTGGCATCTTTTAACATGAATAATACATTAAACCAAATGCATAACATCGGAAATTATGTCATGTTAAAGTTAAAGAAAAATATGAAAGGTATGTCCCGATTAGTTCTAGCTTGTCTTAGGATTTGGTTTGAGATGAAACTGTGTAGTTTGTGAGGGAAACGTTCGATGTACATTGTAAGCATTTCTGTGTTTAAGTTAGTTGTATATCTAACACAGATTTTACTTAGCCTCTTATATAGGTTGATTTTCAGCATTATAATTGCAAATCTGACGGCCATTCGATGTTGTATGTCCAGGTGAAGTAGCAGAAAGACTATGGTGTCTTTATATATTTCACGTGTGTAGATCAAGAAGAACCACTGGTGCATGATTCTTGGTTGCTATAGCTGGTGAGATTTTTCTTTGTAATATATGCTTCCCTCTCTACTATTGTGATCCTATTTTATCTGAAAGGTGTGATTTGTTTTTCGGCTTTGCTTCTCGAATGCGAGTGAGATATTAATTTGGATAAATTATATAATATCTCATTTTATTTTTATAAAAATTCATACAATACTTGGTTTTTTATTTATTGCGTGTATTAATATAAAATTTGTACTAAATATCTTTGTCCAAGACTGATATTTAATTGTAAAAATATGAGCTAAGAATGCAAGTTTTATACAAAGAGATAAAATATCTTAAATAATTTTTTTAATAAAGTAAGTAAATAAATAATAGTTTTTTTTTTTAGACAAATTGTGATTTGATTTTTTTAATAAGTAAATAAAATTATAACAATAAATGTTTGATTAATTATTTATTTATTTATTTTATTTAAAAAATTATTTAAGATATTTTAAGATTTTTATTTGTATAAAATTTGTATAATTTAAGTGTTTATTTAGAATCAAATATCAGCCTCGAACGAATAGAGTATTTTGTGCAAACTTTAATTAAATACTCCATTCGTCCGGCTTTAAAGATCACATTTACTTTTTGCATTGTTATTTAACATTAAAAATATCTTGTATAATTTTTTTGCACAAATGTCATTAATATTATTAGATACTAATAAGTATTTTTGTCATTTTCTTTTAATTTGTATTATGTTTTTATATAATTATTAATATAAAAAAATAAAAAAGTAAATGAGATTTTTAGAGTTTTGATAGTATAATATTTCACGGAAATAAATAAAATACAAAAATGTTTTGTTTATTTTAGGGTTTACTATAATTTACTCTATTAAGCTTTTGGGATACAAGAACACAATCTGTTTTCCATAGTATTTTCACTATGGTAATTTTAACATTTATTTTCAATAAAATTGGAGAGAATTAAAACTGAAATGTATGAGTTAATAAAAACTTAAAATTAATTCATAAATGGGAAGAAAACTGCAGATTTTTTAATGGAAGAAATGTTGTAAAATATATAGAGAAAAAAAAAACATACAAAATGAAAGAGAAATAAAAGAGAATTTTGATGAATAATACTCCCTCCGTCCAGATACCACGTGCACGTTGCCGTTTCTGTCTATCCCACGTACCATGTCACTTTTTTTTTTTTTTTTTTTTTTAATATTACACACTTTAATCTCATTTTAAATTTTAAATTTTATTTTTTTAAATTTTAATTAAACTAATTAGTTATCTTAATCTTAATTTATAATTATTTATATTATAGGATAATTATTTTTAATAATACATTTTTAATTATCTACTAATTAAACCCCGTCTACATTGTAGCAAACTCGGTATCTAGGACGGATGGAGTAATTAATCGATTAATTTTGAACCAATTCCGTCATAGTCTACAATGAGTTATAACTAATTATAAAGAAGTAAAAAAAATGATTATAGGATATGTGAATATGGGTGTATTTTTGTGCTTATATATATATATTACTACTCCCTCCGTTACACATAATTTGTTCTTATTTTATATTTTCGTTCGTCCCACATAATTTGTCCATTCATTTTTTTGGAAATATAATTATACACTTTAATCTCATTTTAAATTTTAAATTTTATAATTTTTTTAATCTTAATTAAACTATTTAGTTATCTTAATCTAAATCCACAATTATTTTTATTATATAATAATTATTTTTACTAATACACTTCTTAATTATTTACTAATCACACTTTACCTAAATTCCCGTATCTACCGTAATAAGCCCATAATACATGAACGGATGGAGTATTATTTTATTTTACTTGGGTTTATTTAGAATTTTTTTTTAAATAAAAATAAAAATTAAATTTAAATTAATATTATTTATTTTGTATAATTTTTTAAGAAAAATATAGTATTATTTATTAAAAAAATATTATATCAAAAATATTTTTAAAAAATTCAAATGTAATATTTTATTTTAAATTAAGTTTAAATCACAGTCAAACAAACCGATATAAACTTAAGATTTTTTTAATTTAAATAATTATTTCAGTTGAATTTTTTTTTGTAAAAAAATTATATATTTATTATAAAGTGATAATTTGAATTTAAAATGCAAATTAAATACACTCATTTGTTTTAATATTACTTTCAATAATTATTATTTTTATTTAATTTAAAGGACAGATTGCGGTCACGTCAGGTTTTTACTAACGTAAAGACATGATATTTTTTATTATTATATTTCTTTTTGTCACGTGGCTTCTATTAAATTAGAAAAAACCGTGCTTTAATTTCGCGGTGAAGTAATTACGATGATATATTTATGTTAATTGCGTAATTATTATCACGGTGTAATAATAAAGATTAAAAATGTTTTTCTTATTTTGTGGGTTTGATATTAAAAGACAAACAAACCCGTGTTTATTTTGTGTTTTTATTTTAATATGTTTTCTATATTAAAAATGAAAAAAATAATATAAAAAATAATATTTTTTAATATTGAATCATTGATTATTTAATTGATAAAGTACATTTTTTCTTTTTTTTTTATTTCAACTCAATTTATTTATTTTTATTATTTTTACAGTAATTTATATATAAATATTAAAATATTTTTATAAACCTTTATATGTGCTAGGGTATTTAAAAATGTAAAAATTATTTTACATATTTTTACAAAATATTAATGTGTTTTAATCTACTAAAATAAATAAATAAATAAAAAATAATATTTTAAATCGAGATAAAGTATATTTTTAATTGAAATATAAATATTTATCTATTATATTCTTTTGGAAGATTTTGTCTAAAATTCTACTCCCTCCGTCTCGGAACTAAGTATTCATTTGTTTTTTATACGTGGTTTTAAAAATATTAGTATTATATTGGGATATAGTAGGAATAAAGTAGAAATAACTAAAATAACTTTATTAGTATGTGCGAAGTAATGACATTTGTGTAATATATTGTAAGTTGTAAGGGTATTTGTAATGTTAGGTAGAAAATACAGTTACTAAAAAAAAGAAATGAATATTTTGTTATGAGACAGACTAAAATGGAAAAATTGATACTTTGTTATGGGACGGAGAGACTATTATTTATTAAAAATAATTATCTTACAAACATCCGATTACTGTTTTGAAATAATAAATTAACTTTTAATACTCTTGTAATAACATTTCAAAAGAATATATTTTATAGATTTTTATATTCGATATGATTACTATTGATTTTGTCAATTTTAACTATATCAATTATTTTAAATTCAAAATATTTTTTTAAAAAAAATATAACAAAAAATAATTCTTTTAAAATTTTAAATTAAAACAGAAATGTACACATCCGTGTAAAATTATATATGACCGTGTAACAACATGGTCATGTATAATTATACCCTGAAATATACATGACCGCATAATAACATGACTATCAGTTTTTTCCGTTAATTTTTTAACGGTGAGATTAAAATTAATTGAAATTGTTTATAATGAGACCAAAATTTATTATAATAGTTTATAATGGGACTAAAATTGATGAATGAGACCAAAATTGATAAATTTTAATTATATTGGGACCAAAATTAATTTTTTTCCATTAATAAAATATTACTACTTATATAATTGATTAATACAGATATGTAAGATTATTTGTCTTTTGTACTTATATATTATGATATATTTATAATTGATATAAAATTATACTATTTTGATATTACTGTGATTATTTTTATTATAATTAAAAATAAATATTTTAAGTGTGAGATTCAGAAAGTGATTTAAAAACTAATTCTAATTGAACGAAAATAATATATTTTATATAAATATATATATACTATATTTTTTATTTCTTCTGTCCCGAAAAATTAATCTATTTTGGGTTGGGGAAAAAATATTTTATTAAAAAAGTGAAAAAATAAAAAGATAGTTAAATTATTTTGGATATTTAATTAGTAATTAAATATAATAAAAAGAGATAATAATTAAATAGTATTTTTTTTTTTTTAAATATAGTAATAAGATAAATTTAACAAATTAAAAAATATAAAAATAAATTTGACTCAGAATAGTATATGATTAATCTAATGTAAAAATATTTGATTGAGCGAATAAACACGAAAGTATCAATAAAGCATTTAGAAATAATAAATGTTTATAGTAAAACAAAATTAAATTAAAAAATAAAATAAAAGAAATCAATCACTTATAAAATATATTTTTAATTTGATGGATATTGATTAAGACGGAAATTGTGCGTCACGGCGAGAGAAGGCGCGTGAAACTTAGATGTAAGCTATGGTCGAGCGTGGGATGATTTGAAGGAAGAGGGGAAGGGAAGGGAAACTCAAATAGGATACGGTACACCCAATCGAATCGCCGCAACATCCTTTCAAACACTCGCCGGCGACGGAGCTCCGCCGCAACCAGGCGGCGCGGGACATTGCGACATCGAGCCGCACGCTGGGCTATATATAGGTGGTACATGTGTCGTCGTATGCGCTGTGGTGGGACTTCACGCTTCTATTTTTTTAATCCTCTCGATGGTTCAAGATGGTGAGTTATTCCTCTGGAAATTGCCGCTGCTTCTGCGATTCTTAGGTACGAATCTGTTGATTATTTATTTTTTATTTTTTTTAAAGCTTTCTACAATTGCTACTTATCATTTCAATCTGCTGTAAAGTTGATCGTTAAAAGATCTACGTCGAGTTGGAGTTAATCCTTGAGTTATCTACTTAGTTGCTGTGGTAAATTTCGAATTTCTGATGCTTGTTTATATGCAATTCGTGCTCCTTGACACTTGTACACGGCTTTGCTGATAGGATTTTGCTCTAATTCGTTTCAGGATTTTTGCTGGTTTTAATTTGATTCATTTTTGTTCTTTTTTATTTTTTTGTGGTTTTTGAGCTCAGAAAACAGAACATTTTGTAGATGATTTGTAGTGCAGTAAAGATATTGGGGAATTGTTAGGTAAAATCAGTCCTAATTAGCACATAGTAAATTCTACATAAATATATATATATATATATTATACAGCATATGGTTTCAATTGATACAACACACTTACTGTATAGATTGTTATGGTTGAGAAACAGTGGAAAAATAAAGTCATATTATTCCATAAAAAAGAAAAGGGAAAAGTACATATAAATCTAACAGTTATGAACTAATCTTTTGTAACTAAATCAACTGTAATATGTGCATCTACAGTCAGTTTGTATTTGTATTACATTAATGTACATCGTGTCGTTGATTTATATGTGCTATCTAATGTAATGTACAATGTCGCGCTCATATCGTGGTTTTGAGAGATTCTACCTAATTCATGCTCTGTGAAACTTCCAAGCTCATTGCGACATGTCTATGTCCGTATATGCCAGGGTCGGGTTTGTGCTATGTAGAGGAAGATTTAATATTCAAGATTTCAGAAATTCTGCGATTTTCTAGGGGATTGCTTGTATTGCTTTATGTAGTTTCACCTGTTTTATACGATTTTGATGGTTTTTCCCATTAAACAGGTTACGGAAGAAATTAAGCTTTTTTCTTATCTATATTGGAACGACTTTTATGCACAAGAGAATAATGGATGCGAAACTAGCATTATCTATGAAAAATTCAAATGGAAGACAGCTTAGTAACTTTGGATCGTCAACAGATTTATCTTCTTCACATCTTGATCAGTCTAGTACATTGGAAGAAAGATATGCAAAAACCTCCGACTCCCAACACATTACAGTAGAGAGGGAACTTGTGCATTGCTCTGGTGTTTCGCCATTGTCTTCCAGCAGTGGAGTTGTTGGGCATATAATCTCTTCTGCTTCAGAGTTTTCTACCGACCTTCATTCTTCATCGCTCCAACAACAGGAAAAGTACCCTCAACAATCTCCGTTCATATCTCAGTCGGCCAGTACTGAAAAATCATCCATACTACCACATCATGTCGATTCCCAAAAACTTCAATCCACTGCCTCAAGTCATTTCAATCCAGAAAACAACGATCAGTGGTGCGCTGATATCCTTCCCAATTTTCTTGATTTTCCCATGAGTAGCACTTGCAGTCTACTAGACGCTAACAGCAGTTGCAGCATTAACATCCCATCCGAGGAAATTGGTAGAGTTAATGATTGGCAAGAGTGGGCCGATCAGCTTCTTACCGACAACAACACATTGACAGCTGATTTAAATGGACTTCTTGCTGATCATAGTGTTACCGACAATCTAGGACCAAAGGTAGAGCTTACTTTTTTATTATTACTCGATGCAAAAGGATTGATATAAATTTGAACTTTTGTCCCGACTCTTTTCCTGTAGGCTTCAAATCCGATTTCCCAGGATTCGGCAACTATCTCCATACAGCAGATTCATATAACTCAACGGCATCAAGGTACACCCGGAGAAGCTTGCACTAGTGGCGGTCAGTCATCCTCTGCAAATTCTGCTCCCGCGAAGCAACGCATGCGTTGGACACCTGAACTCCACGAGGCCTTTGTAGAAGCAGTCGGGAAGCTTGGGGGCAGTGAAAGTAGTTTCTACCCTTCTTGCTTCTTTTTTTTTTTTTTCGAGGTAAATCATTGCCTAATAATGTTTATGTAATTTTATCATCAATACAGGAGCTACTCCCAAGGGTGTACTGAAACTAATGAAAGTTGAAGGTTTAACCATCTATCATGTTAAAAGCCACCTGCAGGTATGTAAGGGCGTGTTTGTTTGCGGGTTTGGATTCTTGAAAACTAAAAATTTGAAATTGAATAATTGTGTGACTTAATATAAATAGATGTTGATGTGATGTTTTGAGTGTAAAATAGATTTGTAGCATAATATAAAAAAAGAAAAATAATTGTTTAATTTAATATTTTTGGAAGACAAAAAAAATTTGAATAGGAAAAATATGTGGCAAAACCAACAAAAGACAAAATAACACAACCTAAGGGTGTGTTTGTTTGTGGGTTTTGTAAATGTGTTTGGGGTTTTGAGTAGTCAATTTTTGAATTGCAATAGTTGTTTGAGATGATATAAATAGGTGCTGATGACTTATTTTGAATATGAAATTAATTTTAAGTGTATTATTAAAAAGAATAAAAATACTTGGTTTGATGTTTTAGGGAAAAGAAATTCGTGAATAATAAAGTTCGATTTGAAAACCTACAAACAAACAGAGCCTAAGATTCTGTAGTGATGCTCATTTTACCTCTGAAGTTTAACCTGTTACAGTTGGATTTTTTGCTCTTCTAAACTGCAGAAATATCGGACTGCTCGATACATACCGGACACTCCCGAAGGTTGTCAAATAATTCCTATACCTTTTTGCTGTATTTTTCATCTTACACATATTGGATCATTTTTATTATTATATTTTTTCATTTGCCTCTACAAATGGTAAATCAGTGTGCATTGGATAGTAATTGTCACCTGAAAAAAACTCTGGTTTCTTTTGTAGAATCTTCTGAGAAAAAAATTCCTTCCATTGACGATTTGTCATCGCTGGAATTAAAAACGTGAGTTTGCTTGCTTTATGTTCACTTTTGGAAACAGAAATATTGTCTTGTAATGTACTCCTTCTGTCCCAAAACTATAGTATGGGGTGTGTTTGGCACGATATTTAAGGAATATTGATATTAGTGGATAAAAAGTACGGGTAAAGACCCTTGTGAGTGTATTAGTGTAAAAAATAGTGGCAATTGTGTAATAATAATGAAAAAATAAGGGTAGTTTTATAGTGATACGATTATTTATAGAAATGAGACTATTGTTTTGGGACGGACAAAAATGGTAAACAGAACTATTGTATTGGGACGGAGAGAGTATATAATTATTCTTTGAAGTTAGAAAATTCATATATATTATAATTGTAATCTTGATTCTAATCGATTGGATCCTGTCACTCCTTTGCGGAGGGATCGTATAAGGAGGATTACATGCTGAATTTCCGTTAACTAGGCAGTCATTTGGCATTATGTTTGCTCAGTTTTTGTTTGGAATTCAAGCTGTAGAACTTCATCTGTTGTGTAAAAACTCTACCTTGTTATAGTATTCTAATTGTGATAGTGCGACACCCCAATCGATTTATACTGATAGAGTTCGTAAGTACTTGTGCTTTTAATATTTCGAAAGATACCTTATTAAGTTATTCGCAACGCTTGGAATAGCACAAATCTCAATTGATTTATGTATACTTACTTTTGCTTGTTCTGATGCTGTAATAGTTCTTTAGCTGATTGTTTCGCTTCTATGTTGTTTCCAAATCAGAGGTATCGACATTTCTGAAGCACTACGGTTGCAGATGGAAGTTCAAAAGCGACTTCACGAACAACTTGAGGTATGATTTTAGTAAAATCTGAAGTCATACGTGCAAAATAGGCAAAAAAACATTTTTTATTTAGCAAAACATAAATAAATTCATGTGAGGTAAGTTCATTTAATTTAATAGCGTTTCTAAGACTGATTTGTCCCAGTTAGCACGTGCAAAATAGGCAGAAAACACTTTTTATTTAGCAAAACATAAATAAATTCATGTGATGTAAGTTCATATTTGTAGGTGTTTTTGTGAGAATATGTCATATGTTGTATTTGTATCATATTAATATAAATCTTATGTTGTCTTGTCTCTATATCATTGCTGGAAATCTATTGGTTCGCTTACTTTTCTTGATTACAATCATACGTCGCAAAAAGTATCTATAATTGTCATTATTGCATAACTATACATACATCACTGCAGATCCAGCGAAACCTACAGCTTCGGATAGAAGAACAGGGAAAATATCTTCAAATGATGTTGGAGAAGCAGGCGGGAATGGCCAACAACATAGAAGACACCAAAGATGTCGCATTCGAGAATGACGAGATAGAAGAAACAATCGACAATGCAGCCAGCGAGGCCAAATCATCAAAGCGTGCCAAATTGAACAAGTAAGCCTCCCGACTCCTGTTGTTGTTGTCAATCAATTCGATCGATAACTTAGGCGTTGTTTCATAATTGGAGGTTTTAGACAATTATTGTCCTAAAAACCTGTGGAATTCTGAATGGGAAGTGTTCATTTCATTTCCCATTTCTCCACATAAGTTCTTGATTTTTTGAGACTTTGAGAACCTTTCTTCGGTACTTTCCATCTCGACTATCGAACAATATTTAGAAAAAAAACTGTTACTCAACACAAATCTTTTCCCCTTTATTTATACAATCCACACAATGTATTGAATCATATTACAGATCAATTAAATATGCATGCAAAACACACAGAAGACTTAAAAAACAACAACAACAATAACAAACAAAGAAATAGCACAACAAACCTCACACACCCTTAAAAGCTTCACCACCTCGACTCAAAGCTCGATCCAATCGCTTCTCGAATGGAGTCGAATGCCAGTTAACTCTCTTGTCCTGCATCGTTCACCACCATGTTTTTAGCAATGAAACCTTAATAGAGATTTTCTTTTATCACACTTACCATTCTTGTTTTCTTACTACCTCTCTGTACTTGCTTGTTGTGTTCGGTATGCCCTTGTATGAATTAGCTCGCTTAGTCGAGCCCGAGTCATTCCAATAGGTTCCAACTGTGCCTATGATTGGCGTCTCCTCAGGGCTTCGGCTCGGAGACTTTCTTGGCGAGGCAGCTGCCGTCATTTCCCTCAGCTCCTCGACTGTCAATGCCCCTAAAATTGGTCGATCTTCGAAGCTCCTTGGAGAGGAATACCCTTGAGACATGGACTGGGGGCCATGGAAACTAGGGTTCTTCGAGGGGGTGGTTTCGGGGGGAGGTAACCAATTGGAAAGGCTTGCGTCGACTGCTACTTCTTGATTAGCTTCTCTTAGTTGATCGGATCTTGTCTTGGGTGCGAAGGTTGGTTCGGAGCTGAAAGATATCCGAGGTGGCTCAAAGTTGATCGCCGCCAAGTTCTCCTTTTGTGGCTTCAATGGATGTCGCCCTCTCGACTTTGCAGCTTTCCATTGTGTAGCGTTCTCGACGGGGTTGAGCAATGAGTTGATATAGTTACTCCGGTCTCGACCGTTGGTGTTTGAGCCGAATCGGCTCTCGACTTCCTCATTAATGGCTTCCGGGGAATCATTTCCAGTCCTCGACTCCATTGATGGAGCTAACTTCGGTTCGGACCATGTTTCTTGGGCGACGATTCTATCGTCAACATCCTCGTTGTAGTCATCGTCGTAATAATCTTCGGCCTCTTCATCTTCATCCATGTCATCCAGGTCGCTATCCCCGTACACTTCACCTTCATCATCGCTGTCTCTAGCGTTATGATAACGGTGATTCGGAGGATACGACCCGACACTGGATGTAACTGAGTTGTCGTCTTCATATATCGAATCTGTTTGGCTCAGGATATCATCTTCCTGGGCAGTACCATCCTTCTGAAGATCGACACTCTCGAGAACCGAAACGTGCTCATACATTGTGACATTTGAGTTGAATGTAACCCTCTTTTTAGGGCTTCGACTAAGTTGCTCCGATTCTTTGGGTTCATCATTCCTATACCTAAAATTCAATCAAGTGGTTAGGAAAAAAAAGGAAACACCTAACTGTAAAGTTGCGGAGAAATGGTAGGAATCGATTCGGATCAAGAGTTTAAGAGAAGGTACTTGAGATTCGAAGGATACGACGCTACGCTGGATGTAACCGAATTTTCATCTGCAGCTAGCGAATGTTGTTGACTCGATGTTTTCAAATCGTGCTGCTTTTCTTGATCAGCGCTTATAGCGGCCTCTGGCTGAGAATCGTGCTCATGTGTCGTGATATTTGAGTTAAATATAGTTCCTTTTCCAAGGGCGAGGCTCAATTGTTCCACAGCCTCGAGCTTTTTCCTATATTCGAATTCAATACAGCTGCAGAGAATCAAAGATATAGATAGAACAGCGAAAAACAGTTGTCGTAATGCAGAGAAATGAAGGATTTGAGAAAAAAAAAACAAATTCGTTGTATCAAAGATTATCAAGATAGGAGACATATTCACTAGATGGAATTCAACTTTAGTTAGTATAGCTCACCTCAATTCTGAATCCAAGAAGTTGTTAGGATTTATTTCTTCGATAGATTGTTTTGCAGCAGATGGATTTTCCTGCTGCACATTCTCAACTCTGTTTCTCTGAAGTAAGAATTAGATCACAAATAGATTATTAAGCTCAGACTGAAAATAAACAAAAAAATCAACAATCACTAGAAGGAGAAAAACAACAAAAAGGCTTTATAAAACAGATGAAACGAGCAAAATCTGCAGCTAATTCAACCAGAATCATTCAGGAACTATTTCCGTGATCTTCCTAACTCATAAAAGAAAAACACACTCTCAACATATATATATATATATATATATATACAGAACTTAGTTTCCTCTTCGCAAAATCTCTGTTCAAACATAATATGAAAGTCACAAAGAATCAGTAGCTCGAAGACATCAATAGATTCAACTCATCTTGATTCAACAAGTGATCAAACAAGAGGACAGACTAAACTAACAGACAACTCAACAGATCTCATATTACTGAAGTAATTACGAGAGAACGTAACTATTAACTTTTCACAATCAAAATCTCATGTACTGAGTTTTAACAACACAAAATCGATCGAATACTCAACCGATCTTCCACAAAAGTTTCCGACGCCACAAATCTAAACGCAGAAATCCGAATCGATTCGAACTAATAGTAGTTTGTTTACCTGGCGCTGAGGACTGGCCCTATTACCCCTCCTCTTGCGCCGCTTGCCCTCCTTCTCACCACCGAAACATCCAAGAAAACAACCCATTGTTAACTAGAAAACTCAACAACACTGCGAGAATCTCTTCCCCTATTCTCAATTGCATAGAGAACTAGCGATTCACACGATTAGAGGAGAAGATCGCAGTGAAGGATTTCCATTTCCTTCCGCAGAGAGAGAGAGAGAGAGAGGGAGAGCTTCTGAAGAACGGTCGAATATTTGTGGGTTAGGGTTTATTGTTATTTATTTATTTATTTTTCAAACGGCAAGTGACCGTTAGAGACCTGCGCCACATCTGCCACAGCCTGTAATATTATTTAATTTTCTTTTTATTTTTAATTTCCATCCACGGTCCACAACAATTATTATTAATTCGGGTTTAATAAATTCTCAGTCTCACTTTCCTTGTAAAAGTTAGCTGATTAATCGATGGTTAAATTAAAGTATATTTAAATTTATTTATTCTTATTTATATTATATCGTATATATTATTTGATTATTTTTTGTTATGAAATAATTTAAAATATTAAAAACACTCTCAAACTTTACTTAATTGCATTAGCAACTTTATTTTACATAAATAATTAATTTTTTTTTAACATTTAACATTTATTTTTATTTCAAATTTATCGTCTATTCAAATATTGCCTCCAAACTGTTTTTATTTTATTTTATTTTTATTTTTATTATTATTATGCATAAAACTACACAAAACATTGGTTTGTATTTCAAATTCATAATTTTACTATATGTAATTAATACGACTTTTAATACAATTATATTATTTTTTATAAAATATTATTTAATTTTAAATTTTAACTCAAACAAATACTACAAAATAAATTGTTCTTTATATATGTATATATATACATATGTTTGTTTGGAGTTTGGATTTTTAAGTTGAAAATTGAATATTAAAAATTTTGAATTGAAATAATTGTATAATGTAATATAAATAAATATTAATGTAATATTTAAATTTAAATTAATTTTTAATATAATATATAAAAGATAAAAAATGGATATTTGATTTGATATTTTAGAAAAAAAAAATTAATGAATAATAAAAATTGATTGAATTTTTTTAAACAAAAGCATTCCAAATTTACTCTCGGCCATTTTTGTTGGTCTTAGTTTGACTTTTGATTTAAAATACTAATTTTTTAAATAACATACTTGTTATTATTATTATTTTTTTTTTTAAGGAAATTTGTATTGTTTTAGGTGAAAAAATAATTTAAATTATAGTTTGTTTGTCCATAATTATTATAACATAATTTTCAACATATATTTATTTTTTTTTAAAAAAAATAATATTGAAAATAAAATATTATTATTTATATTATAACATAATTTTTTATTTCTCACATAAAAATTCAAATTAAAACATTAAACAAACAAATACTTGAAAGAAATTAAAAAATTGTATTGTTATATCAAAATTAATATTTTGTTCTAGAATAGTAATTTTGTTTTTAATGATAAAATATATATGTTGAAAATCATATGAAAAAAAAATTGAGCAAATAAACTCTTAATTGTTTTATTAAATTAAAAGAAAAAAATTAAAATATCAAATATTATTAACTAATTAAACTTTTGCCTCGTGTCCCAAATCAAATAAATTATTTGATTTTTATAAATATTAATAAAAAATATTTTTATAGATAAATAAAGCAAGGCTGCATTTGCATAAGAAATCCCAAAACAAAAGAAATCGCATTTCTGATCTATATAAAGCGTGTTAGTGTGTAAATATACATACGGGTGCGCACTGCACGAACCTGATATTTCGAACCGCACCGAGTCCTATTTTCCCTTTATCTAAACCCCTGTAAAAAGATCTCCCCCAAAAACCCTTACCCATTTCCTTCTTCTGCAACAATGGCCGCCGCAGTCGCCCGATCACTCCTCGCCTTCCGATCGACTGGAGTCTCCGTCTCCCCTGTTCTCTCCAGGCGCTTGTTCTCGTCCACTGTGTCCAACCCGCCGCCTCTCCCCGGATTTTCCCGGACACGAATTTCTACAACGCGTTATGCAGCGCCGTCACTATCTCACTTCCTCTGCGACGTTTCTCCTGTCAGGGTTAACCAGGTCCGATGCCGAGTCAACAGGTCCGGCTCTGGCTATTCGCCTCTGAATTCGGGGACGAGCTCCGGCGACCGCCCTCCGACCGAAATGGCTCCGCTCTTCCCCGGCTGTGACTACGAGCACTGGCTTATTGTGATGGATAAGCCTGGCGGTGAAGGAGCGACGAAGCAGCAGATGATTGATTGCTATATCGAAACCCTAGCAAAAGTCGTCGGCAGGTTCGTTTATTTAATGAATTCCTTTATCTTTTGTTCTCCGGTAAACTTATCGTAGATGTACGGATCTGTGTAGCCCTAATTTGATATTTGTTCGATCTATTTCTATTGTGAATTTGCTGAGCATTTACTTGTGGATTATACATTATGTTGCTTATAGTGAGGAGGAGGCAAAAAAGAAGATATATAATGTGTCCTGTGAGAGGTATTTTGGATTTGGATGTGAAATTGATGAGGAGACCTCTAACAAGCTTGAAGGTTGGTGTGTGATTGTTTGTAATTAAAAGTTTGGTGTTGATTTCGTCGATTGTTTACGATGGCCTTTTGTTGTTTGTCCACAGGTCTGCCTGGTGTTCTGTTTGTTCTTCCAGATTCTTATGTTGATCCTGAATATAAGGACTATGGAGGTATGCTTGCTTGACATCTTTCCTGATCAAATTATCACCGTCTTCAAAATTTGATGTTGTTGCACTCATTTCTTGTGTACTCCTGTGTTTTATATAATTTTTATAATGATTTTGGTTCTCGATGATCTAGGGTTCATAAATTTTTGTTAACTCAATTGACAAATAGTAAGCTATAGGTTCTCATATACATCGGGCTGATTATATTGTTGATTGGTTCTAATAAGAACAATGACAGTTGGCACATTGTAATAATATACAAAACACATGGTGGTTGTTGAAACAAAACTGTCAAAATTATTCTCACTTTACTTTTTAGTCCGTCTGCTAAATTTATCTCATTAAAATCAACAAATCAATATTTAATTATTTTTTTTTCATTCAACATTTATTTACAACCATTGCCGCTAAATTTTATTACATTTTTTCCCTTCATTTTCTTTAATTTTTAATCAAATTTACTTTTTATCACTTTTTCAATAAAATATATATATATATTTTTTAATTTTCGTGACGGATCCAAGTGTGTTAATTTTATTGGACGAAGGGAGTATTATATATTGTGTTAGGTTGGTTAACATGCTGTAAGTGTTGAAATCAATGGTGATATGAGTTGTGTGGAGTATTATCATACGTTGTGCATTGTATTGTATTAACCTAAGCTTTATGTTAATTGTCTATTTGTTATGTGCTGCCGGAATATATTTGATGTACTGTCAAATGCTGTTATGAATGATGTATATATATATAGATATTCTTTGTATTGTTCGAAACTAGGCAATGGCTTTCATTTACAAGAAACCCTCTCAATGTTGTCTCGTATCTCGGCATTTTTCTTGCAAACTGAGGCATATTTTAGTTGCGAAATTTGCTAGTAGATTCCTGTTTGGTATATTAACAAGCAAGGTGCCATTGATCAGAGTTCTCCAAATGTTAATGTCAAGCATCTTTCTAAAAACACAAGAATGGATACTAAGATGAATTTGTGCTTGGTTATTGGTTGCACCATTGTAACTTTTAATTAGTGTTACCTTCAGTAAAATAAATAAAATAATAAATAAAATGAAAAGGACGTAATCTTGGATTCACGGCCCTACTTCTTCCAATCATCTCTTTGGTTTTAGTTTTGGATTCTTGATTATTGTTTTATGTGTTATTGAACATTTCTTTCTTCCTTTAATGTTGTGGATTTTGTTATAATGTGCTGTTGGATATTTCATTTTTTGCCCAAATATTATATGTTATTTTATAAAGTACTACCGAATAAATGTTTAAGTATGTGTTGTTTGTATTGATATATATATATATATATTGTTGAATAAAGAATATCATTTAGTCTAAATATATTTGATCAAATAGTGTTGAATAGATACCAACTATATATTGTCTATATTTATATATATTGCTAACTAAGTATTAAGATATGGTTGTTTGTATTATGTGCATATACACTTAATGAATGTTAATTATGTATCTATATTTATGCTATATATTGTGTGTTTTTTATTTAAATTAAAGACTAATCTAACGGTTAAGATTTAATCACAGTAACCTTTGTTGTCACTTCCCTCGATGATCGGCAATTTGTTGCAGTCATTTTCTTACATTCCTAATACTTTCTTCTCCAACTCTTGCAGCTGAATTGTTCGTAAATGGAGAGATTGTTCAGCGATCTCCCGAGAGGCAGAGGCGAGTGGAGCCAGTGCCGCAGAGAGCTCAGGACAGGCCAAGATACAATGATCGAACCCGGTATGTGCGGCGACGCAATAATATGCAGTGATCCAAAACATATATATATATATTATGGCATCCAACAACACCTCTCCCTGTGGCTTTGGCTTTGGCTGCTGCTGCTTTGTAGAGTTTGTTTATGAATTATCTGTTCGACCTATTTGGAACTTGTAATGGGTTTGCAGTATTTTTAAAAATGATTTTTTGAGCTTTTATTTTGTAAAGGGTAAATTGTTTTTTAGTGTCGTATATGATCTCCTTTATCATTTTAGGATTTTATGTGAACTCTGTTTGAAAATAATCTCTGAAGTGAAATTTTTTTGCTAAAATGGTTCTCCGGTGCTAGTAGCCGTTGCTGATGTGGCGTTGACACGGCCGATAAGTCATTGCCACATACCATTTTAGCTAAAAAAATTTATTTGCAGGGTTATTTTGAGATAGAGTCTATTAAATGTCCTAAAAAGTGATAAAGAGGTCACACATGAGACTACATACATAGTTTACTAAGATATTTTTTAAAAAAAATCTCTACGTGTAGCTGATGTGGTATTTATGTGACGGTGACATATCAGCTGTATTAGCGTTACGTTAGAAACGGTGGGCTCGGCACCGGAGGACTATTTTAGCAAAGTTTTTTTTACTTAAAGGATTATTTTTAGACATGATTTACTTAAAGTTTTAAAATATAAAAAGGTCCGATACTGACTTTTTAAAAATCAGGTCCGTGTTAAACAATATAAGCAATAGGAGTGATTTTTTACCTTTTTTTCAAGATAATTTTATTGTTTTTAATAATAATAATAATAAAATACTATATGTTAAAACAAAATTTTTGTGATTTGGGTTTGTTTTAAGTGAGGATTTTCATATCTTTTCTTTTTAAACAGGGTATTTATTAATATTTTTATACAAAATTTTGTACATAAAATAATGAATTTGTTAACACGACTCAAAGGAAAAACAATATGAAGGTGTGTTTATTTATTGTCATTATTTTATAATGCATTTTGAATAAAATTTTGGAGGCGTCTCTGAATTGATGGGGGCAACCAAACCCAAGTTTTGACAAACAATTTTATAATATAAGAAAAAAGTAAATAAATTTTTAAAGAATTTTTAAATTGATACAACTAGTATAGTTTCGTCTATATATCATGTACTGTCGTTCAAATTTATGCTAATTTTTTTTTTAAATAAAAAATCATTACATTTTTTTACATGTTTTTACTATAAAAAAGTAATAATTATTATTATTTTTATTAAAATTCAAGATAAAATATCTTAAGTAATTTTTTAAAATAAAATAAATACATAAATAATTAATTAAGTATTTATTTTTATAGTTTTTCTTTTGTAAAAAACAATAACAATTTGTTTTAGAAAAATTATAAAATAAATTATTAGTCAATTATTTATTTATTTATTTCATTCAAAAAATTATTTAAGATATTTTATATTTTTTTATTTGTATAAAACTTGTGTATTTAGGTCTTTATTTAAAGCCAAATATCATTTTTAGACAAGTGCAAATTTTATCTTAACACGGGATTTCACACAATAAATAGAACTTATTTTTACAAAAATATAAGGGTTGTAATATAATTTGTATTTTTATTTTAATTAATGAAATGATTGAGTCTATCTTAAAAGTGGGAGGGAGAGGGCCAGTATTAAATTTATTTGAAAATTGTATATAAGAAATTGTTGAATTATATGCCGTTCTTTATGAAAAAATAAAAATTAATGTAGATTTGCTATCATTAGTTTAATTATCTTCTTTGTTGCCGTTACATACCAATCATAAAAGCACAGAAAGTATATTTCTTATCAAATTTATTTTTATTTGCCACTTAATTGATCCTTACACAATAATCATCTTATTTAAATTCATTTGTAAATAATTCAAATAATATCTCAATTATCACTTTAGCAATTGTCCATTTTTCAGGTTTAAATTAATCAATAATACTTAACAAAAATTCCATTTTTTATGAAAAACAAACAAAACATAAATAAATTTATTCATCGTTACACTACAAACACAAATTCTTAGAGTACAAAATATATGTTAATATAATGCTCCCTCCGTGTCAGAATTATAATTTGTGTTACGTTTGGCACGTGATTTAAGGAATATTGATATTATATCGGTAGTGGGTAAAAAGTAAGAATAAAAAACTTTTGCTCTGTGAGTGTATTAGTGTAAAAGTAGCGACAATTGTGTAATAATAATGAAAAAGTAATGGTAGTTTTATAGTGATATGATTATTTATGAAAATGAGACTATTGTTTTGAGACAGACAAAAATAGTAGACAAAACTATTGTACTAGGACGAATGGAGCATATATTATTGATCAAGAAATAAAGAGTTTATACAACCTATGTTATTATTTAACTTAATAAATACCTATAACTATGAACAATCAATAGATCATTTCAGCCAACACATACAATTTTAACTAAGATTGTCTATTTTATATATTGTGATAAGTCCCATCAACACCCTTAAGGGTGTGTTTGTTTGGGGTTGAATTTTGAGTTGGGATTTAAATAATAAAAATTTTGAATTTGAATAATTGTATGACGTGATATAAATAGGTGTTGATGTGATGTTTTGAATATAAAATTGATTTTTAGTATAATATAAAAAATAAAAAATAAGTGTTTAATTTGATATTTAAAAAAAAAAAAGGAATAAATAGTGGATTTAAAATCCAATCCCCCAAACAAACACACCATTCATATTTTACTATTTCATAATTTTTACAAAATATATATATAATTATTTTTTTATTTTTTTTTTTTATTTTTATATTATACAAAAATTAAATTCATATTCAAAATATTATATTAATTCTTATTTATTTCATATTAAATAATATTTCAATTCAAGTTTTATTATTTAAAGTTTACAACTCAACTCTCAAACCAAAAACAAAATCACCCAAAAGGCCGAGAATGTATAGTTTAAACAGTTGAGGCCTAAAAAGAAAACCCAAAGTAGAGTCATTTAAAAACAAAACTGAAAATTGTGGGGTTGTTTTTTATATTAAGTATAATCCTAGGGACGAAATAGAAAATAGAACTTTTCTCCAAGCCCCAAGAGAAGAGATCCGCTCCTTTCACTGACCAATCTGGACCGGTCCGAAAAACCCGGTCCGATAGTGCCGCGTCATATGCTCTTTTTACTTTGTAAACGAGCGGCAAAGTGGTAATTTAACAGTCGCCACTGCCGCTAACTGCAACGACGATTCCCTTAACAGACTCCGCCACAGCAGTTTCGAACGCAGCATCGTCCGACCAATGAGAGAACGCCACGTTAACCTCATCGTCGCTGCACTTTTCCTCATCGTGACGCCGGCGGCGCGTGGAGACGGAGGCGACGCCGCTGCCGGCGAGTTCTCCGAAGTGCACGATAAGCTGTCCGGAATAATCATCCCTGGCTTCGCATCAACGCAGCTCCGAGCATGGTCGATTCTAGACTGTCCTTACACGCCTCTTGATTTCAATCCTCTCGATCTAGTCTGGCTCGACACCACTAAAGTACGTAAAATACTGCTTGATCGTGCAATTTTGTTTCAGTTTGAATTTTTGCTACTAGTGCGTTAGAGTTATTGGCATTTATTCTCTGTTTTAGCAATGAATGTGCAATCGTGAGCTTGTTTTAGAAGAAATGTAGCTCTGAATTTCGTTTCTCCGCATTAGCGGCTGAAGAAATAAGCATTGAGGACAGATTTTAGCTTGTATGGAGTAAACAAAAACAACATAGTGAATATTCCCGGAAGGATGGAACCATGCAAATTTGAACGCATTAAAAAGGTAGTATGTACAGAGAAATATTGAACAAGCAAATAAAGATATAATAAGTTCTCTCTTACGATATATTCTCTTTTTCTATACAGTCAATTTGAGCTTGAACAAATCTTGCTTAAATGCACATGTCCAAGGATATTAGTCAGTAGCAAATCCAAGTGGAACTCATTCCTGCTCGATCGTAAGCATAGAACACAAGCCATTGTCAAACTTAAGCAGAAATCCAATCTGAGGCAGATTAGCTTAGTGTAGTCAAGTTTTATTATGTGTTAAACATGCTTCTGAGTCCGACAAGCAGTTCAATATTCAAGAGTAAATAATTGTTGCTATTTCAGTCGAGCTTAACTTAAACATTGTTTTTCATATTTTCTTCACGTATATATATTTAGCAAATAGTTAGGTGCATGCATAACCAGTGGTTATTGATTTATTCATTCACAGCTTCTGTCTGCTGTTAATTGCTGGCTAAAGTGTATGATGCTAGAGCCTTATAACCAAACAGATCATCCTGAATGCAAGTCGCGACCTGATAGTGGTCTCTCTGCCATTACTGAACTTGATCCAGGCTATATAACAGGTATTGATTTTGGAGAAAAATTTTGCATGTGGTACTTTCAGTTCAAGTTGGATCCATTTTTAAGATAAACCAATGGAAATGTTCTAACAAACCTACTCTTATTGTAGTTCCACTCCATCCTTTTTCAGCATGCATTAAGTTGATAGTATCGTAATTATATCCATTGGGCAGGTCCCTTATCTTCAGTATGGAAAGATTGGGTCAGATGGTGTATTGAATTCGGCATTAAGGCCAATTCCATAATCGCAGCTCCGTACGACTGGAGATTGCCACCTGCCAAACTTGAGGAGCGGGATCTTTACTTCCATAAACTAAAGTATCATTTATTACATTGCTCGTGAATTTGTCTAACATTTAAACCAATATGATCTGTTAGATTCACATGCTTTGGTTTGTGCAGGCTAACTTTCGAAACTGTTCTTAAGCTTCGTGGTGGGCCGTCAATAGTTTTTGCTCACTCCTTGGGAAACAATGTATTCAGATACTTCTTAGAGTGGTTGAAGTTAGAAATTGCCCCTAAACTGTATAACAAATGGCTGGAGGAACACATCCATGCGTACTTTGCTGTCGGTATATTTTCGCAATTTTGTTTTGCTAACAGATAAACATCTACAGCTTTTAAGGAATTTCTTACATAAAGCTGGGTTTTCATTTTTTATCTTATTTTTTCCTATTCATTATTATAGGAGCTCCACTTCTTGGAGCAGCTGAGTCCATTAAAGCATCATTATCTGGATCTTCTTTTGGTCTCCCGGTAACTGAGGTATTCTATAGTTCCCACAATTTCAATAATTTTGCATGTGTATCTTTCTTTTTTGTAGCAATAGAGTGCTTGATGGATCTCTTTTAGCTCTTTCCAAGCCACATATTTTTTGCTCTCCAATTTTATTACCTGTTCTATTTTTGTCGGAAGTTGATCATGAACTAACATAAGGAAATAGATGTAGGATGAAATCCTTTAATAGATGTTGATTTTGATCTGTAATGATTTTCCAAAAGATTTAAAACCGAAGGTCAGGTGTAGGAACTTTTCAAAATCGTTTCCGAGTTTCCAGAATTTAGACTATTTTTCATATATATATAGGTATTGGTAGATAATCTATCTACTAGACAAAATCTAGTATTTAAATTGGAATAGTCCTAACTATAAGTCTTATCTAAATTATAAAAATCGATGTAAATCTAACAAGGTGGATGCTGATGATCTTGAACAGTTTTGCTTTGTGTGCTTTCTTTCGATTCTGATCACTAAATTATTTGACAAGTAATCAGGGAACAGCACGATTGATGTTCAACTCCTTTGGTTCTTCAATGTGGATGATGCCAGTTTCAAAAAATTGTCGAACGGAGGACATGTACTCAAAGCATTTCTCTACTAGTAACAGAAAGAATCACTTTTCTTACCATTGTGACGAGCAAGAATTTACAGCAAACTATTCCGGATGGCCTACTAATATAATCAATATTGAGATCCCTACAATGCAAGGTACAAAAACACTAAAAAATTTCAAGGTTTTGTTTATGATAATGATGCTTTCAAATGTATGCTGGAGGGCAGGAGATGACCTTTATAATTCTTTAATGGGAGCAACAAAACTCCAAATGCCGGAATCAGACTATAGTTTTCCATCTCTGTTATCATTTTCTGCCCGCGAAGTTTCGGATGGAACCTTTTTCAGAACTATAGCTAAGTATGATCCTGATGGCCCAAGACAATTATACCAATTGGAAAAGTAAGTTCCTCTTTTACCTATTTCTTTGTCGAGCAATTTAACTTAGAATCCTTCGGGAATAAGCTAATAACAAAGTCAATACCATATATTTTAGGGGTTCTATAACTGATCCTTGATCCTTTTCAGCTCATACCACAATGATCCTGTTCTGAATCCTTTAACACCATGGGATAGACCACCTCTGAAAAGCATCTTCTGCATATATGGAATAGATTTAAGAACTGAGGTATTCTGTGTCTTCGTGTGAATATATAAAGTATTGAATTCACCATTTTTTTATCTTCATATTTGTGAGACTGATTTCTTACCATGTGATGCTTTAGGTTGGCTACTACTTTGCGCCGAGCGGAAAGCCTTATCCCGATAACTGGATGATTACTGACGTAATATATGAGTTAGAAGGATCTCTATACTCAAGGCAAATCTCTATCTTTATATAATAGTTCACATTGCTATTATCTTAAATGCCTTTTGATGTGTTTTTAAGCAGAATGGAAGTTTGTGAACTTCAGAAAATGTTGGCTTTTTATGGCTGGATGACACAAGTTGTGTCACATTGTTTAGGTCAGGTAATGTGATTGAAAGAAACCGCGGAGCTTCAAGTGGGGACGAGACGGTTGGTAACACTACATTTTGTGTCGCAATTTAATCTTCGCTTCGCTGATTCGGACATCAGTTTGGTTTGTATTGTAGGTGCCATACAATTCCCTCTCTTGGTGCAAGACCTGGTTAGGCTCAAAAGTGAACATTACAAGGGCTCCTCAGGTTTATAATGAATTATCTGCATCCATTTTTTGATAAATTCTTTGCACTATTTTCTTTTCAAATCTTTGACAATGCAGGTGGAGCATGAAGGTTTGGATGTTCAAGTGCATTTAGACGTCGAACACGAGCCCAGGTTAGATGTAGTTCCCAACATGACAAGAAAACCGAGGGTGAAGTATGTAACTTACTATGAAGATGCTGAAAGTTTGCCGGGAAAGAGAACAGCAGTTTGGGAGATTGACAAAGGCAATACAGAATCATACTTGCCACTTGCTGTTCTTCGCAAAATATCGATGTCTCCTCACAAATAGAGCTGTTAAACGAGCCGAGCGAGCTTGAGTATTTGTTGTTCGAGCTCGACTCGAGCTTGTTAACGGTACAGACTCGGCTCGTTAAGAATTCGAGTCAAAATAATGCCTCGAACTCGGATCGTTAGGCTCAAATTCAAGCTTGAGCTTGGCTCGTAAGGCTCGAACTCGAGCTCAAGTTCGAGCTCGACTTGAATTTTACACATATTTTATAAATTTTTTAATACATAAATTAAATATATTTAATTTTATTTATAATAAAATATTCAAATTTTAATAATAAATATAAAATTTGATATAAAAATTATATATTATATTAATATATAAATATATTATTACTAATGAGCTCAATTGAGCTAGTCGCAAGCCGAACCCGAGCTCGTTTGTAAAAAAGTAATTTTCGAGTTCGAGTTCAACTCGTTAATCTCTATAAATGAGCCGAGTTGAGCTGTTAACGAGCCGAGGCGAGTCGAGCTTGGTTCGCGAGCTACTCAATTCGCTTAATAGCTCTACTCACAAATTTCCTTTCCTTCTATGCAGCTAATCACAGGAACATCGTTCGATCTCCTGTGCTAATGCGGGAGCTTTGGCTCGAGATGTGGCACGATATTCACCCCGAAAAGAAGTCCAAATTCGTAACAAAAGGTTGACTCTGGTCGTTATATTCTTTGCACGATCATCAATTCAACCACCCCATTTTTAGCGCCCCTTTATTGCGCAGCCACCCGTGGACCTCTGAGGGATGACGATTGCTACTGGGACTATGGAAGGGCGAGGTGCGCGTGGTCTGCTCACTGCGAATACAGGTCCTGTTCTCTTTTCTTCTAGGAGATAATATGTCCTGAAACAATCCAAGTCACTGGAGATAAATATTTTTCGCAACTCGACAATGCAGGTATCTCTTCGGGGATGTTCATCTCGGGCAGAGCTGCAGGCTAAGGAACTCCTCAACCGAAATTCTGTCGAAATACGTATGAACAATCAGATTTGTTCCAGGTCAGTTGAACAATTCAAAGAAACTCATCCTGCAAATTATAGATCATATAATGTTAGATTTCTCCCACAAAGCACACCTATAGGCACAGATCATAAAGGGTTCAAAGATTCGAAGGATTTTGTCGAGTACATACATTTACAAATTCGTAGTTGAACACTAAGGCTTCCCTGTGAGTTTTTGACATAATACTGAAGCCCCCCAAGTAAAGAACACATTTCAAGCTACAAGTTCTCACTACTTACAAAGGAATAACAAGATTAGGCAAGCAATAACTAATTAACACTCAAGATCTAGCAAAAGTTGATCCCAAAAACAGCGACGATCAGCACAATAGTTTGACAAGGGATAAAGTAAGAAGTCGAAACCCAATATAGGAAAATATCGTATCCACCAATGATCCCATGTGACTCTGATTTACACCAACCAATTACTCACAAAAGATCCCAACAATACAAAAAGACCAAAAAAATTTCTTCCAACTTTATTGTCTTCTCTGGACAGTTGGAAAATTATTTTGGCATACTACCAAAGAGGAAGTCATCTGAAGGGCTCGATGGGTTCGGTCTCTTTGAGGAGCAGAGCAGCTTGGAAACACTCGGCAGCTTCGACAGCCGATGAGCTGCCACTGTCCTTGTAGAGCAGGCCTAGATTATACCATGCAGTTGCATTCATGCTGTCTAGCCGGAGGGCTTCTGTCAGAAAGCTTCGGATAATGGCCGGAGACCGGCAGCCCATCTGTCTGAGAGCCACAGCTTTGGAGATAAGACTGGGGGCGTGCATTGGGTCGATTGCCAGAGCATGATCGTAAGCATTTAGTGCTTCTTTGTGCTGGCCCTTGGCTTCGTGTAGTGAACCTGCATTTGGATCAAGAATAAGTTTCACGGTTATGATTTTGGTAAGAACACAAGTAGTGACGATGATGATAACGATAGACACAAGAAACTCGTTTGACCTCTAGTCGTTTTGAAGGACAACTAAAACCCAGATTTATTTTACTTCAAGAAAGACTAACATCACTCAGGGTGACATTTTAGTCAAAGTAACAAAGTAATTTGATTATCGGATTTGGCGCAATTCGGTAGTGCATAAACTTCAGAATTGAGATTTTCTGGCAATGATAAAGGATGAGAAGGAACTAGAAAGAAGAGGAAACAATGGATACCTGTAGCATGCCATCTAATAGCCGAAAACACTTGAGTGGCTTGAGATTTCAAGAGACAGATCTCAGCATCATGCCACCGAGACAATTTTATGTAGATGGAAGCGAGATCATGCCACGTTTCCAGCTCTAAATTCTTGATATTCATGCTATAGTCCTGTCAATCAAGGAAATAAAAACAGGGCACTGTCAAACCAATGCTTCGATTTGCAAAAGTTAACCTATTATTGTCCAACCGGTTTGGTCATGATTATACATCAAATGCTACAAGTTCAAAGTAGACGAGAATAAAGCACGAGAATTCAAATAGGGCAGTAAGAGGAAAAGTGTATGCATTCAAACTCAACACCAACAAGCTTCACGAGAGCCATAATATCCTTTTCAAAGTAGAATAGACAAAGGGTTTGTTCTCTTTGCATTTGCATTTTTTTCAATTTCTCAAATTTTGTTCGAAAACATCACACCTAACACTTATTTCCCATACAAACACAATCCACATCTATTTCATCTAAAAAACATCAAAACCGAAGAAAAATAGTACTCCCTCCGTCCAACTCAAAGTACTATTTTTTCCATTTTCGTCCGTCCTACTCAAAAGTATCTCTTTCTTATTATAGTAAAAGTAATTACACTAATACCAAAACTTTTACATAAATTACAAAGACACCATTGCACATACAATTAATTTATATATAAAGTACAAATGACAAAAATGTCAAACCAATAAAATATTATTATTTTTAATCTATTATAGAACTCCGAAAAGTCCATTTGGATTGAGATTAAGGGAGTATTATTTTTTACTAAGAAGATAAACGAAAATATATTTTAAATGAAAAAGAAAAGTAAGCATAGATTTAGGTAACAAAAAGAAAAAATGAACATATTTTTGTAGGGAATTGTGTTGCATTGCAAGAAACTGAAACCAAACTGCAAGCAATCCGACAGCAGATACTCTCAAAAACCAAACGGATCACTTTCTAAGCAGCACATAAAAATGAAATCGTAAAACATGCCAGCTTGTATCCCAAACAAAACGATAGTAAATCTCACCTTAACCTTCTGGAACGAACCAAAACTTTTACGCTGAACCTGAAGGGCAGCAAGCAGATGAGAGTAAGTCTCAATGGCCTCATTTACTAAACCTTGTGCAATTTGGAGCCTCGCTTTAGTTCTCAATAACTCTCCCTGATCCCATAATCCCGTCTGATCAAGAGCTGCATTAATTATAGTTTCGGCATCGCCATAACATTTTTCAGCAGATAATATCCGAGCCAACAAGATCCATCCTTTGAGATTAGATCCTCCTTCCAATCTAAGCAACACTTTTGCAAGATTAAGCGCTGCAGGCAGCTTCCGTTGCTCTGCATTTTCTAAACATAAATGGTAGACAATCGAAGGGTCCTTCGTTTTCGTCATCCTCCCAGCAACCTCCAAAGACTTCAAAGCTTCTTTCTGTCTTTCGCCCCTTTCACGATCAGTCACAGCAGATCTGCAATGGGCTGAAAGTGAGACACCTAACATGCACTGCGCAACGCCCATCAGATGATCACATCCGCCATGGGAGATTTCAACTGCTCTACGAGCAAAATTGATGCCGTCTTCTGCATATAACAATCTTTCCCCGCATATCTTTGAAACAAATAATAAAGCAGGAAGATATGTCAAACCTTCGTCAGTTTTCAACAGTTGTTTCCATAGATCAAATGCTACCATGCCATCATCGCCTTCTTCGTGATAGCATAGTCCTAATATTAGATATCTTTCTTTCCAATTTATAACTCCTGGAAGAAGCTCTTCGACTTGATCGGCTAAAGCCCTGAGCCCCCCGCATATGGATAATGCATATGACAGGTGGTCTAAAACCGAAGGATCCCACTCGATTCTCGTGAGGGTCATTTTTCTCAAAAGTATAATAAGCAGAAGAATGGCTTCTTCCATATTGTTTTTGGGCACAAATGAACTGTCCATTTGGGATCTTAAGTTTGGCGGAATAGCTTCAGCTCCACTGTACAGAAGAAAAACAGCAAATTCCTTTTGGATCTTAGCTGTGGTTTCTGAATCAAGGTTCCAATGATGGAGAAGAGCCCGTCGATATGCCAAGATAGCTTCACGAGGAGAATCGGCAAGCTTCCATAATTCGGGAAGCAGCTCGACAGACTTATTCAGAGTCTCCTGTAATTTACGGTCAGTGCTGAAATTTTCCGGCAACCCTGCTGGTAATGAAGATTCAACGAGTTCCAGAATAACAGAGCACGATTGAGCAGCTTCTGCAATGATCAATGAAATACAAATCAGAAATCATGTATTTTTTAAGCATATTGCGAGCTCAACCACCCTTTATATAATAAGGACGTAACAAGAACGAGGGTTTAAGAAAACAACATATAAAATAAACCCCAATTCTAGCCAAATGTCAAATCTACGGATAGCATTCACCTTCATTGCCAACTACGATTAATGATCATTATATTGAAGGATAAGGTGTAAGAAAAATAAATGCCAAACATGTCTTCAGTGCATGAACTAGAAAACATTCCATATTTATTTAAACAATAGCAAATACGACAAAAACCAGTTAGCAAACAGGGTGGATCGTGTCCAGTCCATTACCTTTATATTTCCTAAGTGCTTGTAATGATTTTGATTTCAGAAAGATCGCTTCAAACAGTAAACTAACTGCATGAATCGACATTGGCGGATCCGAATAGTTTTGCGACTGTCTCCTACGATTTTCCCCTATTTTCGACAAAGTGACTTTGATCTTTGGAGTCACGGAATTAACATCAATTCCTTCAAACACATGTAAGGCAGCTTCTATATTTCCTTTCTGATATTCATACCTTCCCAGCAACGCTCTCGCTTCCTGAAAACCATAGCCACAAAGCTCAAGATCATATCAAAACAGCGGAAAACAAGAAATCGAGAGTTATAAAAGCTTGATCAACCTCGTAATTTAAGCAACCACTCTCTCGCAGCGACGTTTCAGCTTCTTCAATGTTCCCTGTGTCGGGCTTCCTCTCGGGTTCTCCCTGCCGAGATGAATGAACACTCGCCGAATAATCCTTTGTCGCAAGAGATTCAGAAGATGGTACCATTTCATTCGCACGCGACTGCTCCCCGGAGCAGAGACACTGCATTATCTTCCCCAAGTTAGAACAATGCCCTTCCTCCTATCCTCCCTTTCTGTCGCCCAATTCTCATTCCGATTTCGACGTCGGGACAACGTAAATTCTTCAACAACCAAAAGAACAATACATTAAATCAATCCATCAATCCATTCCCATAAAGCAGTCATCAAGGCAAGCTTTACAAAAACTCAAAAACAGCTGCAAATCCAGCAGAAGTTAAACAGTTGCTCAAAACCTAAATCTAGAAAATGATACAATTCTTTCAATACCATCACAATTCACAACAACACTACCAAATTATCATCATATATATACATATATATATGTATGTATATGTATCCTCAATTACCAAAACAATCTTCAAAATAGATTCAAAAGCTCCCCCAAATTCCACAACACAAAAACCCTACCCAAAATTAGAAATGGAAAAGAGATATTACAGGAAATCCGATATTTTCTGCTCACCCTTTCGCTGTCAAATTGTAGCGCAGAAATCTGAGGTGAGAAGCCCACATCCCGTCCACACCAGTCCACATCTTACCCCGCTTCAAATTCCCAAAATTATTAGAAGCGAAATTGCCGACGGATCAAACGACAGCGCACAACGACGCTTTCACAAACCCTCCTTTCTCCTTTTTTTTCCCTTTTCCTTCTCTAAACCCTTCTCCCTCCCCCAATCTGCACATCAAAAGATTCCCCGACGAAATTCTCGGGAGTCAGAACTGAAACCGAAGAACGGAATTTCTGAGACGAAGCGTGTGCACGAAGATTTGGCTGCTAAAGCAGCAGTAACCAATGCTATTATTCAATTGTGTGAGGTCGAATTTCTTCGAGAAACTATACATATATATGTGTCTGTGTTTTATTATAGTTTGGATTCTCGGGCTTTGGGGAAATGGAGACTTCTATTCGGGGGTAAATCTGGAATTTCACTTGATCCTGCAGTCAACTGTTTTCGCTTTTCTTCATTTTCTTGCATTAATTTTTGTGTCGCCGATATTTTTTAAAGCTGGTTTTAGTGAGAAAGTGTAGCTGATTTTTTTTAATGGGCTAAACCCGACCCGTCTACAAGAAATTGGGCTAAAATGTAAAGGATCTGTGCATAAAGTAGTCTGACCCAACCCTACCCTTTAAAAGATATTGGGCTCAAATCTTAAGCCCATTATAAAGTGGGTTTAGATGGGTCAATTCTTACTGTTATGGGTCTGGTGAGTAAGCCTTGTGACCGGACCTAAATTCAAATCAATTACCTCTAGATTTGTTCAAATGGTTTAAACAATTGATTTCCATTTATGTTGTGTTTGTTTGGAAGATTTTGAGTGATTTTTATAATTTTTACAATTTTTTTTAATATCAAATTAAATATTTATTTTTTATATTATATTAAAAATTAATTTTACATTTCAATATATTACGTTAATATTTATTTATATCACATTATACTGCTATTTCAATTCAAATTTTGTATTATTCAAATTTTAATTCAAAATTCATTCATCAAATAAACACACCTGTAAAAAAGTGCTAACCTATGGAACTTTCACAATTATAGTTGCTGTTTAACAGTTTCGGCTTCAAAATTTACAATTTTAAAATTGTATTTCAAATTGAACCGTCAATTTATATTATTTATTTTTAATATTTTTTATTTAAATTTATTTAAAAACTGATCATTTCAATTTCAATTCTATTTAAATATATATATATATATTATTTATAAATGATATAAAAATTATATAAACATTAAATTGTTACTCTAATAAAAATCAATTAAAATAATAAACTTAATAAATAGTTCGCTTAAATAAAATAAATTATAAAAATATTAATATATTAAATAATAATATAATTTTATATAAAAAATTATAAAATTTAAAATATTATAAAAAAAATAATAATGCGATATTTTTTTATTAATATTGATATTATTTTTATATTTATAGAATAATATACTCTCTCCGTAGTAAAACAAAGATATTTATGATGGACTGAATTGAAAATTAATATTCCTTTCGTCCTATAATTATATATCCGTTTGTTTTTTCATTGAGTTTTAGAAATAGTAATATTATACGAATAAAGTTGAAATTACTAAAATAATCTTACTAGTATTGTATAATATAAATGTAATGATATTTGTGTAATATATTGTAACTTTTAATGGTATTTGTAATATTAGGTATATAGTACAGTTATTAAAAAAATAAAATGAATACTTTGTTATAAGACGAACTAAAATGAAAAATGAATAATTTATTATAGGACGGGGGAAGTAATATTATATTGATAATTGAGCTAAAAGTATTTATTGAAAAACTAAAATAATTTAATTATTTGTAAAAAAATCGAGGATAATTTTATAAGACTATGAAAATGAGATTACTATGGTTAAACTGAGGAAGGATAGAGTATAATATTTTTAATTATAAATATATTATTTTAATAAAATATAAAACTTTTGGCCTGATAAAAATACATCACGCCCGCCGCCTGCACAGCACCATGTTCTTCCTTCTCTTTTCTTCATTTTTTCCTTCTTCACAACAATAAACCGAAACTAAACCGTGAGAAAACCGGTTTCGATTTCGGTTCGATCGATGGCGGTTCCGGTTACCTCCGAACCGGCGGTTCCCATGGTCGGTTCGAAACCGCAAGTCTAATTACAGCTCTAGCCTCTAATTCCAGTCGACCCCTACTGTCTCATCTGTTTTCGTTTTCTTCTTCGTATCATCTCCGACCGGCGCCGCCTGGTCTTTGCCTTGTCTCAGTTCGGCTTTGCCTTGTCTGCGACGGACGGTATGTTTGATTCTTCACTTGTCTTTTAAGAATTTGCACCGATTTTTGTTGTTTTTCTCTTTGCACTAGAACATATGAAGAGATAAATGCTTAGAATTAAGTTTTCTGGAACTCAAAACGCTATGAAAAAAGATGCTGTGAGGTGCTCAGTTGGATTCTCATGAATTATTTAAAAAAGGCTGGCATAAAAGAAGATTAGTGCAATGTTGCGAAGTATCGCGATAAAATGATAATAGTTCAGTTTTGTTTGATTGATTTTCTGTAGGTGAATCTCTGGTCAATCCATGGCTGATTTTGAGTTGTGATTATTTTGAATTTTCTGCAATTTCTGTAGTGTCGCGCTTTGGTATATATGTCTTTATTTGCAATCAAACATTCTCTATCGAACCGTTGAGAAATGATAAATAAGAATAGAATTGTATACAAAAGTAACTGAAAGAGAATGAGATTTGATTTGATTCTTATCTCGGTAAAATAATAAAGAATTCAATTGAGAATGATAAAAAATTACAGAGTAAAATGAATGGATTAGGAGAAAATGATGCAAGAGAGGTTAAGTGAAGTGAGAACCCATGGCTGCTTTGGAATTGTGATGTTTTGAACTTTCTGCAATTTTTTTAGTGACAGGCATTGTCTGCATCTTCTTTGTAGCTTCTTTGATTGCAAGGATATGTGGTAAATCGACAGATGTTGCTCTCGTCGACGAGTATGAGTTCCATTGCGCTGCATTCGTTTCTACATCTTTCCCCTAGAAAAGCCACACCACAGACTTCCTTTTTATGTGCCATTGATGATGCTAAATTTAGTTTGAGATTGGTTGGGAAGTCTCATTCTGTTCTGAAAGGCTTGACGTGCTTTGCTGAGTCGAGAAAATCAGATCAAAATGCTGAAACTAATCGCCATCAGTCGAAGCCAGCAAGAAAATCCCGGAAATCTAAGGTTAGTAAAAGTGAGGTCGAGAACACAGAGGGATCCTTCCCTAAAATGCTTCCTAAAAAGCCAAGGCGAGGTCGTAGGAGCGAAGCTGCCGCTGTTGAGGATTACGTGCGCGATAAATTGAAACAGACATTTGAATCGATTCAGAAGCAGAATCCCGAGATTATAAAGGATATGGAAAGCATCATTAAGGAAGGAAAATTTGATGGGAAAGCTAGTATCAACGACGACACATCAGAAGATGATGACAGTGATGACGAAGAAGAAGTCGATTCTTCGGGAAAAAGGAAAATGCTGGTTGAGGAGGATGATCCCGACTGGCCTTTGGATGCTGAAATCGGTTGGGGAATCCGAGCCTCCGAGTACTTCGACCAGCATCCGATACAGAATGTTGTCGGCGAAGACGGCGCAGAGATTGATTGGGAAGGAGAGATCGACGAGGGGCTGGTGAAAGAAATCAACTGTCTTGAATGGGAAAGCTTTGCTTTTCATCCTAGCCCGCTGATCGTCCTCGTTTTCGAAAGATACAACAGGTAGAGCTGTTAAATGAATCGAGTAGCTCGCGAGCTAATATCGACTCGGCTCGTTTTCTATAAACGAACTGAACTCGAGTTCAAAAATTATATTTTTTTATAAATGAGTTCGAGCTTGAGTTAGGCTCGCGAGTAGCTCAATTGAGCTAGTTATTGATAATATATTTATATTATTTATATATTAATATCATATATATAATTTTTTATATCAAACTTTATATTTATTATTAAAATTTGAATATTTTATTAGAAAAAATTATGAATAAAATTAAATATATTTAATTTCTATATTAAAAAATATATAGAATTTGTATAAAATTCAAGCCGAGCCACTATTTTGGTTCGAATTCTTAACGAGCCGAGCTTGTACAGTTAACAAGTTCGAGTCGAACTTGAACAATCGATACTCGATGTCGCTCGGCTCGTTTAACAGCTCTAACAATAGATAAGCCACAATCACTTAAATTCTTTAGCCGCTCGATTCAGAATCGAATTCGATTATTGTGATTTCAGGGCAAGTCACAACTGGAAAGTTCTGAAAGAATTGGAAAAAGCAGCCGAGGTGTTCTGGAAAGCCAAGGATCGACTCCCTCCTCGGGTGAAATTTCACAATCCCTTCTTCATTACGCTGCATTGTAGCTTTTCGTAACTTTTTTGATCTCTCGTGTGCGCTTGCAGACGGTCAAGATCGATAGAAACATCGAGAAGGATCTAGCATATGCTCTCAAAGCCAAAGAATGCCCGCAAATACTGTTCTTACGTGGGAACAGGATATTGTACCGGGAGACGGGTAATTAACTATTCGTTATTTCACAGCATCGTTATACGTTATCGAATCTTTACGATAATTTTAAGTTATAAGAATAGATATGCGATAATTTTATATAATATTTTAAATGAAAACGGTATATAATATGATTTGTTGAAAAAAAAGAAAGAAATGTACTTAGTGATACAGTGATTTTCAGATGTTAGAACATCGGATGAGCTCGTTCAGATGATCGCACATTTCTATTACAATGCGAAAAAACCTTCGTGCATCAACGATGCTGCTCTAACTTCGCCGAATCGATGGAGGTATTAATTTTGCTTTCCCTTTCTCGTCTTGCATCGTAACTTATATTTATACTTCATTGTCGCCGTCTCAATGTAGATGAGGCTTATTGCTGCACCGGATGCCGGCATTTTTTCCCGGGATGACGGCGCCGACAAATAGGTACAAAATAATATTTCGACGTGCTATTTGGGGTCCGAGTAGGGTTACAATGGTATTGTATTGTGTTCTATTTGATTTAGCTTTTGTCTTCTTAAGGCGCCTATGGTTTTATGAAACTGTCATTTATAGCGCTGGGTTTGTTGGGTTCTAATTTGAAATTGGAGTCAAGTTGTATTTATTGATATATTAAAATTAAAAAATTATTGTATGAAGTAGTAATAGATAGAAAAAAAAAAATTAATTTTGTCCCAATATAATAAAAAATTCATTTTGTCCCAATATATTTTCTCAAATTTATGTTAACGGCACATAAATACTTTCTTCTATCTCGTAAAATTGAGTAGATTGTTGGAGCCATATACTAAGAAATAAAATATTTTAATGTTAAAATGAAATATATGAAAAATTAAATGAAAATGTTATAGTAATAAAAAAATGAAATAAGTAAAAATAAATAAATATATTTACTATTTATTAAAATATGAATAATAAAAATATTTACTATAAATATGTATAAGTTTAACAAATAAATAAAAAATAATAATAATAATTTGACATTGAATAAGACTCTATTTGTTCCACATTAATATTAATGTTTTCATTTCGATCATTCTAAATTATATTATTTTTAAATTTTAGTTAAATTATTTAATTTTTTTAATTTATAATTATTTGTATTCTATCATATAATTTATATTCAGTTTATAATACAATAAAATTTTCAAAATACAACCCCCAACTTCCAACAAAGACGCCCTTAATCAATTTAATAAAGTGGTAAATAATTTAATTTAATAATCTTTAAGGTGATTTATGTGAAAAACCTATTAATACAAAATATTAGAAATGTCAATAATCACTCATTACCATGAAATAATAATAATAATAATAAATAGATCGAATTGCAAGTTAGAAAGGTCAGGCTTCAAAACCGCTCTGGGGCTCCGGCGAAGGTCAGTATCTCGTGTGCCGGTGGCGCCTCCGCCTTTCTGCGCCCTCAAAGCTAGGGTATCATCTATTGCATCGCATTCTTTTTAATCGACATTTTCCAATTTTCTCTACAACAGTTCGATCTCGCGCAAAAGGATCTAGAAGAAAGAAGGAATATTCGGAGAAATGGTGAGAGGATTGTTGAAAAGCCTTGCCGCTCGATCTCTTTCCCTCGCCGGAAAATGGCAGCAGCAGCAGCTCCGCCGCCTCAACATCCACGAGTATCAGGTAGCCTCTCCTCCTATTTCTCGCCAAAATTCAGAAACACTCAGAGTCTATTACATGTATGTTTAAATCATCATATCTAGAACTTATAAACGCGATTTACGTTCCGGTTCCTCTTTTCGTTTTTTTTTTTTTTATCTATTACCCGTGCAGAAATTTAAGGTACTGTTTGTTTGAAATTTTCAGAGGTTAGGAACATCATATGTTTTTGTGGGAATCTATTTAGGTAGACGAGTGTGTGTCTGTATATGTATATATATATATATATATTATTGCAAATAAATGTATAGTATTATGTGATGATTAGATGAATCACAGGTATAGTGATTGGATTTAGGGTGCGTGTGACATTAAAGATGAGGAAATGGTAAATTTTTATTGAAAGTGTAATATCTGTAGTTTTAAATTTTAGAGATGCAATGCAACTTTTGGGGCATAAGATATGAATAACTTATCCTTCTACAAAAGGATCACCCTAAAATGATCATTTCATAGCTATTGAGAATAATCAGCTTTAGAGTGATGAACTGGAAATTTGACCCTTTTAGGTTATACCCGAAACTTGAATGATTAGCCAATGCATCTTAATTGGTAATTGATGTTAGGGAGCTGAGTTGATGAGCAAACACGGGATCAACGTTCCAAGAGGTGTGGCAGTTGGTTCTACCGATGAAATAAAAAAGGTGTTGCAAGAAGTATTCCCCAACCACAGTGAGGTAAGCATGGGCAAAGTGTTTCAACTTTATTTCTCAAAAATATTTTGTGTGATTCTAGAATTGTTATATAGAGTTGTCCTTGGAAATTTATTAGACCTACGATTTCCTCTCCTGTATCTCCTATTATATATATATATATTAATAATTTGTGGAGTTGAGCGCTTGAATTTCTGTGTTGTAGGTGGTGGTGAAGTCTCAAATCCTTGCTGGTGGCAGAGGGTTAGGTACGTTCAAGAGTGGTCTCCAGGGTGGAGTTCACATTGTAAAGGCGGACCAGGTTGAGGACATAGCTGGTATGATAAACTATCGTACATATATACATTGTAGCTATGAATATTCATAAACAGTGTGCAATAATTTTTGTGGTGTTTGTAAGCAGGAAAATGTTTACTTGGTATTGTTTCTTGCACAGATTGTGTCAAATTAAAGCATGTTTACAGCATTAATTTTATGTTTTTTTCAGGGAAAATGCTAGGGCAGATACTTGTGACAAAGCAAACTGGTCCTCAAGGAAAAGTTGTCAGCAAGGTTTGGAATGATTACATATTTCCATGATAAACACTGACAAATTGGTCCTCATGTTTGTTCTGGTTCACTTCCTAAATAACCTTTATCTTTATATTAGAGTTTCCAAAAATTGGATAAAATAGTAGATGGCCATATCTGTGGGAGGTATAATTGGTACTCGTTATTCCTGATTGTCCTTTTTTTAACAGATTATAATAAAAGAGGGATTGTTGTGAAATTTTTAGAAATTGAAACTTTTGGCTATTTATTTCTCTGTTATTCCTCTCCTTACAAGTCTGTAGTCTCTAAGTATACACACCAGTATAAAAATCATGGCTCAAGCACTTTGTCAATAATAATCTTTCAAAGAGGGTGCTAAATGATCCTATGTTTTTTTTCACAGGTTTATTTGGCTGAGAAGTTATCCCTTGTCAATGAGATGTACTTTGCCATTACACTTGATCGCTCATCTGCTGGTCCTGTGAGTACTTGTTAAGATTGAGGGTTTCATTTTTTATTTATATATTTTTACACCATCATGAAAAGCATCACTATCGACTTCTCTAAATTTCTATATAATGTTATTGGATATGCAAAATGAATCTCTAATTGCGAACTCACATTTATCTCCAACTGATGGTTGAAAACAAATATCTGAGTGTATTATTAAATTAAGCCATAAGGTAAATAAGCGTTAATTGTTGTGATGTTGGCTCAAAATAATCAATGGTGTAGCCCTATTTCCTTGGGGATATTTAAGATACACTATAATCATCTCCTGTAAAACACTAGAACAAAAACGTATCTCAATTGGTAAATTCACGATAACCTAATGCTGCTGGCCTCTATGTTTGATCTTGTTAAATAATAACTGAAAGTGCTTTTATTTAATTGGTAAATCATGTCCATATAAATGTTGAATTTTGGCACCTACTTTCAACATGGTAATGATAAACTGAAGAACAGATACCAGACAAAGATTTGTCCTTAAATTGGCTTATGTGGTAACAAGGTGAAAAATATCACGAGTCTATGTTTTGATTGAATTGGCATCAGCTTAATTCATTTTGGTTAGCGTGCTATGTTTTTCATTTAATTCTGTCCTAAGCTGTGAGTTCCCACAAATGTATTGCAGCTTATTATTGCCTGTAAGAAGGGAGGAACCAGCATTGAAGATCTTGCTGAGAAGCATCCAGAACTCATAGTAAAAGTTAGTTTCTCGAAACTTATTCCGAGATTGGCCTGTGGCATATTTACCGTTTTGTTTTTTTTTAACTAGATCTTGAACTTCTAACCTTGTATTGGACAGGTACCCATTGATGTTTTCACTGGAATTACTGATGAGGATGCTGCCAAGGTAGTCGATGGTTTGTCTCCCAAAGTGGCTGATAGAAATGCTTCAATTGAACAAGTGAAAAAGTTGTATGAGCTTTTCTGCAAATGCGACTGCACATTGTTGGAGGTGCTAAATTTGATTTCTAATTTTGATATTAGTGCATACTGTTTATATCTTGAAATGCTTTAAAAATCGCTATGTTACAAATTTACATTATCTTGCATAAATTTTGACTTTAACCCACAATTATAATCTTAACAGATCAATCCCATTGCTGAGACTTCCGATAACCTATTAGTTGCAGCAGATGCAAAGCTCAACTTCGATGATAATGCTGCATTCCGTCAGAAAGAGATTTTTGCTCTCCGTGATCCAACACAAGAGGATCCTCGTGAGGTACCGGCGACTCCTCTTTCCCTCTATAAATGCAACTTGCTCTATGCAGATTGAAAAGAAGCTACCGAATCTTAATTCTGTGGATACTCATTTACATCTTCTGATAACTTCAGGTTGCTGCTGCAAAAGCGGACTTGAATTACATTGGTTTAGACGGTGAAATTGGCTGCATGGTGAACGGTGCTGGATTGGCCATGGCCACTATGGATATAATTAAGTTGCACGGCGGAACTCCTGCTAATTTTCTTGATGTTGGCGGAAATGCTTCTGAAAGCCAGGTTCTTATCTCTTTTTCAGAATTTAATTTTGGGAATTGGCCAATCGTGCATATCTAAGTACTTTATATTTTTAAACTTTCCATGGAATTTATGTTCCAGCTCTGAATTGAATGTATTCGCCAGGTTGTGGAAGCTTTTAAAATTTTGACCTCAGATGAGAAAGTGAAGGCTATTCTTGTAAACATTTTTGGAGGAATAATGAAGTGTGATGTAATAGCAAGTGGAATTGTTAATGCTGCTAAACAGGTAACGGCGCATCTACTCTGAATTTTCTTGTCAACTAATTGTAATGTAGATCAATAACAACAAGGAATTGCAGTATATCCTCTATCAAAGGTAAAATTGCTTATAATATATCCGTTGTTTGAAAAGTCTTGCACCATTCTTCGTCATGATTTAGAAAGTGCATGAGGTTCCTCTTTTTTCGAAAACATTTATTTTTGAAAACACGGGGGAGTCTCACACGATTTATAGGAGATTCTGTGCAATGTTTATAGAAAACAAGAGTCTCGTGCAGTTACTAAATCATGAAAGAATATAGTGCGGATTTTTTAAACCATAGATGATTATAAGTAATTTTGCCTCTATCAAATATATTCATGCCTTTTGGCGGATAACCTATTTCACAATTCCGGACATAAATTGGGATCCTGTTCCAGGTTCAACTGAAAGTACCCGTTGTTGTTCGCCTCGAGGGCACCAATGTTGACCAGGGTAAAAGAATTCTCAAGGTATGATTCATATCCTATTTCCTCCCATAAAAAATGACTTGAAGTCGACTATTATATATCTAAGAAGCGCTTTCATACTTCCAGGAAAGTGGGATGACCTTGATCACTGCTGAAGATTTAGACGACGCGGCTGAGAAAGCTGTGAAAGCCTCGGCAAACTGATGACGATCGCCCCAAATTGCTCAAGGTCACACTCTTATAATTTCTTCCCTCTTTTTACAATACTTTGATTTGTGATCTCCCGATATGAAATTCCCAACAGTCGAAAACCTGTTGGAATCTCCATTGCCGAAACCCAAAGTTTTTTACCATCGTTAAAGTTTAAAAAGCAAACCATAAAAATCTTGACAATATGGTTCTTAATTTCTGGCAGTTGAGTATAATTTTCTTGTGTTGGTAACAACATACACTGTTCTTTCTTGATGGGAATGATTCTATTTGCCCAAAAGTGCTGCCTGAGTTGGGAAATCATCTTATTTGGTTCAATAAAATTGTTTCGACAGTGTTTCTTTAAATTTAATTTTTTACCATACGGTCTTAATTTTGATACTCGGAGCTACTAACCAGCGGAACTGAGCCGAACTTATCATGTTTAAGTCTAGTTGTTCGTTAAGAGATTGGAACTTGAGTTTTGGTTTGATTTTGGCTTTTTAAACATATTTTTTGGTGTGTTCAACTCCATTAAGCTCGTCAAGATATTTTTTGTTTTATTTTATTTTAAATTTAATTAATAGTATTAGTAGAGTATTTTTATTGATAAATATGTATGAAAAAAATAGAATTAAGTATAATACTATAGAATATATATATATATCTTTATCAAATATAAAATATTAATTTAATTGTTTTTACAAAGACTATTGAACATTTGCAAACAAGCTTGAATTTATTCTTCAATATAATACTTTAGGTTCATGGCTAGGTGGTTTTCAATATTGATATAGGTTCAACATTTGGATAAATAAAACATGTTTACTTTGATAATAATACTTATTATATTTGTGTGTGTTTTTTTTCTAACAAGGACCTAATGGGTTGTTTATATTTTCTATATAAGGAAAATATATTTTGTCAAAATTAATATTTATATTTTTAGAATTTATTTCAAATACTTTTCTAATGTTTCACATGATATTTGAAATATTTATTGTTTTACTCATATTCTATTCAAACGAGACTAATATTTTGTTATACTATATTACAGCAACAAAGCATTATATTAACTCAACAAATGTTCAATTTCTGTTTGTACTTTTCCACATAAAAGTTTTTACTTTATTAAGCAAAGGTTTGTACTTTTAGTGTTAATTTAAAATATTTTTCTATAAACGACCAGGTACTTTTATAGATTATTTGAAGCAATTGGATTTGTTTGTTTAATATTTTGATTTGCTTTTTTTTAAAAAAAAAAAAAATTATTACTAAAGTATAAGAAATTATATCAGTAAATAAAAAAATAATATTTGTATATTGAATGTTAACTTTTGTAAGTGGATAAAATATATATTGAAAATTATATTATAAAAAAATATATGGACAAAAAGACCCTTGTTCATTATTTTACTCATAAAAGTAATTACAATATTAACTAGTTCACAATTATTTTTAAAATGTATGTCTATTGCACAATAAATTTTTAAAAAGTTTAATTATATAAACATGGTCTATAAATATATGAAGATTTGTAAGGAAAAATTAAAAAAAAAAAAAAAAAAAAAAAAACAAAACAAAACTATGCAACGAAATATTAAATACACTCAGACATTAACTCGTTGTTTATATTTTTTATACCAGAAAAAAATAAAAATAAAATAAAAATCAAACGAATGGTTGTATTTTTTTGAACTTTATATTGTATACTTTTCTTATAAGGTACCCAATACTCTCATAGTGTATTCGAAACAGATGTTCGTTACTTTATATATACTTTATTTGATTGGAGTGGAAGTAGGGGTGGACAAAAAAATCGAACCGAACCGCCGAACCGTTGAACCGAACTGAATCGAACCGAATTTTCGGTTAACCGAGCAAATTCGGTTCGGATACAAATACTGCATATTTGATATTTGCTCGGTTCGGTTCGATTTCGGTTTTTGATATGTTTTTCGGTTCGGTTAATCGAACCGAATATATTTATATATTTATGTTATTATATTTTAAAATTTATATTAATAATTATATTCAATTCGATTTCGGTTCGATTACAGTTCGGTTTCAGTTCGGATATTTGAAATATTTGCAAATATTTTGATTTAATTAGAATTTTAATTATTTTTTAATATATTATTTTTAAAATTTCGGTTCGGTTCGAATTATTTGCGAATATTGCAAATATTTTCGGCTAACCGAAAATTCAGTTAACCGAAATTTTCGGTTCGAATACGATTCACGGTTTCAGGTATTTGTTCGGTTCGATTCGGATATCAAATACCTATATATTTGCAAATATCCGAACCGTGCCCACCCCTAAGTGGAAGGAACCGAGAAGAAGTTATCAACAAGAAGTGGTTCGTGATTATGAAATAATAGTTGTGGGTATTTAAATATGTATATTATTTATTTGTCATTATATGAATGTTTGTGTATAGAGTCAATTTACTTATTTTCAAATAATATTTGTAACATTAGCTATCACACTAATTACTCTACAATTATTATTTAATGTGTAGATGTGCATATGATTATTTTTATCCATTATTACGTCATATGTACAAACTTGACTATAAAATCGAGGAGTTAGTGAAAATTGCTCAAAAATTCTTCCACCGTCTCCTATCTATATATCGATTTGTTTGAGTTTTAGAAATATTAATATTATATTGGGATAAAGTAAAAATAAAGGTAAAAAAATTAAATTAACTCTATCAGTATTGTATCATATATTGTAAATGGGAAGGATATTTGTAATAGAAGAATTGATAGATTGTTAAAGATGGAGGGAGTATATATTTTTTACTATTTAAAATAAATATTCCTTCTGTTCGGGCTAACGTGTCATTTTTACTGTAAACACAAATATTTTAAAAATATATAATTAATAAATAATTAAGATTGTATTAATAAAAATTATTATTATATAATAAATATAATTTTAAATTAAAAAGTAAGACAATTAATTAGTTTAATTAAAATTTTTAAAAAATTATAATAAAAAATTAAAATAAAATTAAAATGCATAATTTTTTTTATTTTAAAAAAAATGATAGAATAAGTTGACGAAAATATAAAATAAAATACTAAAAGAACACATTCTTAATTCTTATGATTTGTTTGTCATAACAATTGAGAAGGAAGACAACAGAAAGGGTAAGAAACGGGATTGGCATGCTTCTACGTACCATCCAATAGGAATGAGACACGTGGATGATATCGTGGCGGTTTGTTAACCGTCGCTTTCTCGCTAACGGACAAAACCTCGACAAGTCGGCGGCGGCATCGCCTGCCGTGTCGCAATTATCACTTCCATTATTATTATTATTATTATAAATAAATATAGTAAATCCCGCGCTTTTTCCCTATGCGTTTTTTGTTCCCTAACACTCTTTTAGTTCAATTTATTCATAGCGTTGCAGCCTACACTATCATCACAACAGGCCACTGATTTGTCAGATGGCTAATCCACAGCATTATCTGCCGACGAATCACAGCCGTCCGATATTCCGGCGATGCGATCTCCTCCGTCCAGTGAATCCCCCGGTAGACGCAGACAAAGAGAATCCAAAAAGTCAAGAAAATGGAAGAAAGGCTTCTGATCAAGAGCGGCTCACGTACCCACCAGAAGGCCAGAAATGGATGCCGAGGGCAAATATGTCATTTCCTCCCCCTGCTCCTGCTCCTGCTCCTGCTGCTTCTGCTGTACGGCGGCCATGGCAGCACCAAATCTCTGCAAACCCTAGCGATTTGATATCTTCCCTTTCACTTTTCAAGACCAACATGCTTCCATCCTCCGATTTCTCGCCCCCACCACCTCCATAAATAAAGCTCCAGTCCGCCTCCCGTTCCGCCATTGTATGATTTTCGTTTTTTCAATTCTCTCTCCGAGCTCTGGAGTTGATTCCAATGGCGGAATTGGGGGTGACCGGTTTTGTTGTTCTCTTATTGGCGCTGGCATTCGAACCCGGTTCGGTTTTTTCGCTGAGCCGGTCCGAGCAGGAGGCCGTCTACGCCGTGCTGGAAGGTGTGAACTCGGCGGTTTCATGGCGGAGCCTCTTCCCGGACGATCTCTGCTCGTCGGCGCCGCACGGCGTCGTTTGCGATTTCTTCACCGATTCCGCCACCTCCGGCGCGGCGGTTCCCCACGTGATCGAGCTGAGCTTTGGGTACGTGTCGGATTATTCCCCAAATCCGCCGTGCGGCCCAAACCCTAATTTCGACCCTTTACTCCTTCTGCCATTAACGCACCTCAAGAAGCTTTTCTTCTTCAGATGCTTTACTGAATCAGAATTCCCATTCCCCGATTTCTCCCCGCTCTCGTCTCCTCCGCCATTGGAGGAGCTCGTATTCATAGAGAATCCATCTCTGGTGGGGACGATGGAGGGCAGAATTGGGAAGCTGCAGAATTTGAGGAGATTGATAGTGACAGGGAGTGAGGTTTCAGGCAGTATTCTTACAACATCAAATTCATTCGATGTTTTATCGAATCTTGAGCAGCTAACCCTTTCAAGAAACAAAATCAAAGGTGAGATTGCAGAAGCTGCTTTTGAAAGCTTGAGGAAACTGAAGATTCTTGATTTGAGCTACAATGAGTTTCAAGGAACTCTTCCAGACTCCATTGGCAAATCCGGTGAGCTATTGAAGCTTGATCTGAGCTACAATGGCTTCTCAGGGAGAATACCAGAGGCCCTCAAAGGTATAAAGAATTTGGAGTTTCTTGATTTAAGTTACAACAATTTTACCAATGATGGAGTGCCATTGTTCCTATCTGAAATGTCAAATCTGAGGGAAGTTTATTTGAGTGGGAACCTTCTTGGAGGGGAGATTCCTGAGATATGGGGTGCGCTAGGGGGGGTAAGGGGGGTGGGGTTATCAGGGGTGGGACTTGTTGGGAATATTCCAAGATCAATGGGGCTACATTTGGGAGGATTGTGTTACTTAGGGCTTGACAACAACATGCTTGAAGGTGAAGTTCCTGAGGAGTTTGGGGGTTTGAGTTTGCTGAATGAGTTGAATTTGGAGAACAATAATTTGAGTGGGAGGCTGCCATTTTCAGCTGGTTTTGTTGCTAAGCTTGGTGGGAGGTTGAAGATGGAGGGCAATTTGGGGATTTGCATTGATGAGGGATTGAGGTCTGCAAAGGTCAGTGGTGGTCTGAAAGTATGCAGACAACCTGATCTTCCCAAAACTGCCCTTTTCCATGAGAATTCTTGTTCTTGTCCATGGCAGGTGGGGGTGGTGGGTGGGCTATTCTTTGCTTTTTTGGGGGTTCTTTATCCATGAAGTTGACTGTGATGGAATTAATTGGTAGTTTGAATTTGAGATAATACAATATATATATATATATGTGTGTGTTGAAAGGCATTAAATATTACTTTAGAGGTAAAAATTGTCTGTCTTGAAGTGTGGATAGGAAATCAAGAAGTTGTTCTGTAACATGTTTTAGGGGTAGTTTGAAGTTAATGAAATCGAGGGTCTTGATGGCTGTTTGTTGGTGTTTTTTTTGCATATATATATATTTGGATGATAGCAAATGCAATGATGGGTCCTTGCAGCTAAATGCTAGAAATTCTGATTTTTTTTTATTTGATTATTTTTAATGTTTTTAAAATGTTGTTTTGTTTGTATGTGATGATTATAGAGATTTTGGGATTCTCGTGGCAAAAATATCCACTTGGAATCAGCTGAGCCATTCTGGAGTGAAGGGAACAGTTCAATGACTTAGACACAGGCATTTCATTGTCCTTGGAATAAATAATTGAGTAGCACTAATAAAATAATGGTCTCATTCTCAACACATTCCATTTTTGTGTAATATTGTAATCACCACCACCAGTTTTAGAAGTTTTAAATTATTTATTATTTGGATGATTATTAATATTCTGTGGATTATATTTGTATTTAGATATATTTAGTTTCTTACTTAACAATCTATTTATTTATTTATTTCGGTCTGTATCATATATATATATATATTTTTTTTAAAGTATTTGCACTGTCTATCTAACATTATTATTTTTATATCCTATAATAGGATTAATTTAGTCTCTTTTTTTATTATTTGTACTTATCTTAATATAATACTAATATTTCTAAAATTCGGTGAAAAAACAAATGAATATATAGTTATAGGATGGAGGGAGTAGTATTTTTTAAACATTTCTCTTGAAGTTTTCGAGAAATTTAATACATTTAATTTTAATAAAAAATAAGTAGATATGATGGAGTTTTTTGTATAAAAAGTAGTAAGATATATATAGGCACGATACTTTTTGTATATAAAATAACATACATTTAATAATAGTAACATGATATTATTTCATAAAAAAGATTTAAAAACCATGGAAATTTTTTTATTTTTGATTTGAAATGGAATGATTAATTTAAATTTTAGTTTAAATAATATATAAAATATTTATGCTTTGTTCTTCTATTAATTTTTCTTACAATTTTTTTCAAAAAAAATTAATACACTACGGGTGTGTTTGTTTGAAGGATTTTGGAGGATTTCCACTATTCATCCAATTTTTTCCTCCCAAAAACATCAAATCAAACACCTATTTTTCATTTTTTATATTATACTAAAATTCAATTTTACATTCAAAACATCACGTCAAACCCTATTTATATCACATCATACAACTATTCAAATTCAAAATTTTTACTATTCAAATCCCAATCCAAAATCCAAATCCCCAAACAAACACACCCTACACATATTCATTATTTTTATATATTTTTTACACAATCAGTTTCTCATAAAAAAAAAAATTTACATAAATTATTGAATAATATTTTTAAAGTTTACTTACATATATAATTTTCCTTAAGTATTCACATACTAGTTTACATTATTAAATATATTTTACATAATATGCAATATAATATATATATATATATATATATATATCAAATTTAATCAAGGCGTTGCCTGCTGTGGATTAAAAAATGAAAGTATAATATGACCAGAGAGAGTTCCAAAAACCACACACACTTAGTGGGTAGTTCAATCTAAAGGGAATATTCCCTTTTTATGGACCTCTATAGCTATGCCTAATTATTTGAACTTAATGCACAAATCAACAAAATTAATTAAACAAATGCCCCCAAATTTGAAAAAAAAAAAAAAAAAAAAAGAATAATTAAAATCCACCTTCCTTTAACTCTGCTCTTCATCATGGTTGCCATGATCATCCTGTTGAGTTTGTTTCACCGAATCATCATCGGCGGCACCGCCAGTTTTCGATCTCGACCGCCCCGATCCGGCGCCACTAACTTGCTCCTTCGACTTCTTTCTCCGGCCCTTCTTCGGGGCATCGGGGCCCGATGATGACGTCGACTCCTTGGATGACCTCCTAGTCGACCTGTGGTACATTTTGTCGAATTTTACTAATATTATTAATAATGAAATCAGAAAGAAAGAATTCTATTATCGCGAGTTGCCACATAATACGCGCAAATAATAATCATTTTAAGTTTATATTATATACTCTACTTTTTCGTCATCTAGATGTGTGTTAAAATATTTATGCATATCTTTTAATGTGTACTTTTTATTTTTATTTTTGTCTTTTGTAATAAAAATAGTATGTTTTTTTACTAAAAACAAAATTTCAACATTTTTTTTAGACAGCCAAAAAGAATAAATGAACATAAATTTAAATGAAAGATTGATAAAAAATTAATCTAATAAACTAATAATCTAAAATATGTCAATAATAACCTGGATTTCGAGGATGGATCTCTCTTCTTAGGGGAGGTGTCACCGGTGGTGTTGCTCTCCGATGAGTTGCGGCGCCGTGACTGTCTTGGAGCTCCTCCTCCTCCTTGGGAGTCTTTTCCAGGAGAATCTGCACCTGCTTTGGTGCCTCTCTTTGAGTCTGCAGTAACAAATAAATTATTCATTCATTCGATTGAAATACTATATATGTAGACATAAATTAATTGCAAGAATATACATATATGCATATATATATATATATGTATCATACCTTCAGAAACCCATTTGGTATTACTGTTATTGTCATGGTCATCCTCATTGGAGGGTGATGATAGTGTGCCTGAGTTGAATCCTTTCATCTGAAACACCATTTCAAGAAAAAGATATATGATAATGATCTTGATCAGATATATACACTGACAAATGATTGATATCGAAGCTCCATGTATTATATTATGTATACCATTATGGTGTGCTACTTTGCTATGTTAACATATCAATGCGTTGTCACTATTTTTTTTTCCCTGTATTAGCAACATATAATCTTGTGAAGGAATCACATAAACAAACCATCAAATAACAGCTATAATGTGTGTGAAAGGGCAGTTATATATATATACTAGACAACACATTAGATATAAATTTGCAACGCACATATAAATCGAATTGGGTAGCACATTAAATATAAATTTGCGACACACATATAAAATAGAACTGGTAGCACATAAATTTTTTTTATAAACATCTGTTGTTTGTTATATTTTCATATGATATTTATAGTATTTTCATACGCTGTGTGAAATGAGTATTATTAATGTGGTTAATTTAAATACGTACCCAGCTAGGGGCATCATTTGAAGGTCCGTCAGATCCAATGTGAGCCACATGCTTCACATCTGTGGGTAAACCAATCTGTATTTCATCTTCCTTTTCTTCCTCTGCAGACCATCACACACACACACATATATATATATATATCATCGTCAGAAACAAGATTAATTGAATTCACTAAACAGATAGATAGGTTATAGAATGATGATGAATTAAAAGGGTACTCACCAAATATCTGGGAAATGTATCTAAGGCCTTTAAAAAGACCCTTCATCTTAGGGTTCATCACCTTTGCATGTTTATCGCTGTTGGTAGTCGCCATTCAATACGATATTTCTAGATTATATATATGGCAGTAATTCTATTGCTGATATGAAACCCCAACCTTCATTCTCCTAATTCATTCATGATTGATTCAAAAAAGTCGACAATAATATCGACACAAACACCCACAAGCTACGAAATAATGGATTCTTGAAGTTCAAGAGAGAGGCAGAATGGTGCAACAATTAGCTAGGATGAAGAACAGAAGAAAAAGTGGACTAGAAATATGAATACCAATTAAGGATATTTTTTTTCCTCTGGCCTCAATTTTGAATTTTGGTTAAGTTTGGAATATAAGGATGGCATTATTAGAAAAAGCAAAGGCAATCAAAACAAGCACCATACAAAATCAACGAATTCCCTTAATTTACAAGCAATGTGCCCTATTTTGGGTATCAACTTATGTGGATTACTAAAAGAATGGAATCGACTAAAATTAGCACAAAGGCCTAAAGGACTAATTCAATTAAAACATTAAATAAGTGAAAATAAAGATATATGACACACAATCAAGGGATTTCATGTATATATAATAGAAGCAAAGCATGTAGGGGAAAATGAACTTAAAATTGTAGTTTAAAAGGATAAGCAAGGTAATTCATACGGCTACATATAGCCATGTGTGTGAAGGTGTGGGGTACAATCTAAGATGCCTTGAGATCGTCCATGCCAACGCTAGCCTGTCAACGAGAATACCAAGTTTATTTTGTTAAGACGATTCATGATGATCACCAAAACAGGAACTTATGTATGTAGTTAGCTTTAATAGTAATAGAACCAGAAACAAGAAAAATTTGTTTTCACATCTTCTACAGATAAAGATCTTACCAAGAACTTGTGGTTCTCCTCAAGGAGTGGCGAAAATTTTGTGCAGAAACTTTCAATATCAGAATAGATGTCACCGGTGCCACTTACGACTTCCAAGAACTTTTTCCTATCAGGAGCGAGCTTCATAGCAACCTATAGTTTTAAAATACAGAAAAGATAGGACAGAAAGGACGGTTAGAACATACACAATCAGGTGAGGGATTTCAGTTTCTGAGTAGATGCATGAGAATGCTTTTAAGAAATCCATCGATAATCTATAGTAATAAAATGGCTTATGTATTCTTAAGAAAAATTGCGCTATTGGGTGGGCGGCAGAACTACCAATATATATATATATATATGTATGCAACAGAAAATGAAAAATTAATGGAAACGATTCCACTCTTTTGATGCAACCGTTGCCATTTAAGTTGGTATCCTTTAACACAACACGAATATAGTCAATATTATTGTTGCTGGGACATGGCATAATGAGCTAGAGAGAAGTGCTACCGTAAAGGTTGAGCTGGCTAGCCAACCGTGCCACTTTTTCAGAGTCTTTCCATAGGAATCACTACAAGCTTGAGACATTGGCCAATCTTGATGATGGAGCAAATTACGGAACAACTCCAACAAGAAATCCATAGCCCTACAGGAGATATCATGATAATTTAGGTCAGTTGCCAAGCAACAGATACGGGACATAATCTAATAAATTTTTACTTTAGAAGATTAGAATATGATGTTAAATAATTGGACCGATAATAGAAGCAGGGGTTTCAATCATTTATACCTTGTTAGCCACAAAAGACCGTTGGTGCAACTGGATGAACCTTTTGCCGTCTTAGCATCAACTTCTTCTTGTACCATGCTGTATAGATGCTCGTATTTGGTAGGGTCGGAGGTGTACTTGTTCTCCAATCTCTATATTGCAAGGAGTTGAGGAGTCAGTTAAAGGATATGCAAACAAAAGGTCCATAAAGCAAGAGTAGACGCAAAAGAAAGTTTGATCATACAATTGAAATATGTTGGACAAACAAGTTAATTGTAGGGGGCAAATATCTTACAGTTATATTGCCTCCAACATCGGATTTGACAAGTGCCATGGCGGCTCCAAATTTATCTGAACATAAATATAGAAAGATTTATTAAAATACACTTCTTCTAGTCTTTCTTGTATTTACATATACAACAAACAAAAAATAGTTATCTTCATCTGCAAGGAACTGCATATCTTATAAGAGGTAATACTATTAAATTCTATGTAAAATCAAAACCGTGACGGTTTACCTATAACTGGAAGTATGAACTTGCATAAATCCAAGAATGGTTTTGTGAGCATCACCCCATCTTCCGACTTAACATGCTTCATTCCTTCCAATGCTGGGGAGAATACAGTTCCTTCCATTCTGTAGTTAACTGCACATGGAGAATAATGGTTCATTTCGGAAACGAAAAAACAGACAAAAGATCCCAAATAAACCTAAGATCTGTAGTTAACATGATTTGACTAGATTTGAAATTACGGAGAATTAGAATTATGAGTAAACCTAAGATCCCAAATAAATCTTGTCTTTGCATCTGATCTTAAATACAGGACTCATTTTGGAACTCAATTATAATCGAGGAGATTGATTAACCATACCGATCTACTCAAGTTACTCCAGAAAATTGCAAATCCAATTGCTCCTGACTTAGACATTGGCATCAAATTGAAGAATCTAAAAAGGATCATTCCTAATCACCCTAATGAACACAAGAATGACATCAACCCATGCCATCGTAGATCTCCATCATCCAAGTAACTAACTAAGATAATAGAAATCAAATCCAAAGATCCTTAAAACGCAGCAAATCCGAGCACCATTTCCGCAACTACAATTCATAGACTAAAGCTGACTAGAGTTGATCCTCTCAATTGAATCACGACATACGCATCCGATGAAAGCTAAACTACCAAAAATGAATCAACAACACAATGACTATATGTGAAATCAACAACTATCATCACTATAAAAAAACAAACAAGGAAAAACAGTCAAATGAATCGTAATTCCATCAATCGACGGAAAAAGAAAAAAGTATAGGCATGGATCTATGCAAAAACCTGAACGACCGATCAATCCAGAAGCCTCCGGCGTATATCGAGAGTTCTTTGTCAGCTTCGGAGCAACGCACCACTGTACAGCAGTTTTATGGTCGCCGGTATTTATGCTTTCCTTTTCTGTGAAACGCAGTTGAATTTTTATTTTTTTTTAAATTCAATTATGGGCCGAATTACAAAGCCCAATTTAAACGGCCCATGCTAATAGCCCAAATTAAGTGGATCGGATAGAGCCCTACTAAAACGGGCCGGGTTAGAATCCGAAATAAAATGGGTCGTTCAGAAATATATATGGGCTTTTATATGGAGCCCAAATTAATGGGTCAGTTTAAGAAGCCTGATAAATGGGTCGGGTTAGGAGCCCAATTACAATGGATCATTCATATGCTACGAGGACCCAAAGGAGATTTGATCATTTTGCAACTCGGCACAGAGCAAAAACCCTAACCAAACCCTAGCTTCGCAATTCCCTCGTCTCTGCACTGACGCCTTCTCTGTTCGTGAGCGAAAATGGTAAGATCAACTGAACAATCATGGTTTTTCAGCGTGATGAGTCAGGTATTTGTTTGTTTTTTCTGAATTTTTGTTGTGTTTTAATCTTCATTGTAGCCGTTCAAGAGGTACGTGGAGATCGGACGGGTTGCCCTTGTTAATTACGGCAAGGACTATGGGAAGCTCGTTGTCATCGTCGACGTCATTGATCAGAACCGCGTACGTTATTAATATTGTTTTTCTTTAAAGTTCGTTGTCGAGTTTCTCCTCTATTAGGATCTTAATTTACTTAGAAATATCCGCTTTTGATATTGCTGTTGATTGCTTAGCTACTATTTTCCAGTTTTCAAAATTGTGATGACTTTTGGATATGCACAGAAGGTCTTTTAGCTGACAATTGGTGTTTTTGTATCAATGGTGGTCGTGAGAAATTTACCGAATCAAACGAGTTTTGTGTAGTAAAACTGTTGCTAATGAGTTCTACTAGGATTTCGAAAGAGCATTTTCCTAAATTAGAATACAGAGTCGCAATCGGGGTTGTTTTTCTACCTCATCTTCATCTTCCGATTTCCAAGGCATCTTTTTGTTGAACCTACTAGAATTATCCGGTATAATTGTTGTATTAAGCATAGTTGTCAATAGCATGCTAATAGAGGTGTTGCGGCTGCTCTGCGATGCTGCATTTATGCAATAGCGGAAGTAGTGCCGTTTAGTGGTGGTGCAGTGTGGAGAAACGGAAGCTCTATGTTTGTTTTTACAAGACTATGTATTTATATCATATTTAGTACTAATCAATCAACTAATCGTTAAATTTATTGTAAAAAGCCTTCATAGACACTTGATTTAAATTGTGGTATAATCTAACTAACGAGCCTGCGCAGTTTGAATGATGATACGGCATAAGCTTACTCGGTAAATAATTAGATTAGCAAATGTTACCAATGTTGCTACGTAAATTCCGTTGTATTTCACATGAACTTGAGATTGGAATATGTTGATAGATTTTTCGACCTGTTTTGATCGTCTTATTAAAGATGAATTATATGGTCTTTATGTTTGATTTTCCCAATGACAGGCTCTTGTCGATTCCCCCGACATGGTGAGGAGTCAGATGAACTTCAAGAGACTTTCTCTTACCGACATCAAGATCAATATCAAAAGGGTTCCTAAAAAGAAGGCGCTTATTGCGGCCATGGAGGCTGCTGGTTTGTACCCAAAATTTCAATTACCTTACCCTGTTTGATAGTCCAAAGAAAATTTGTCGATATATAATACGGGTGTTGGTGTCTGTACGGCAGATGTAAAGGGCAAATGGGAAAAGAGCTCCTGGGGCAGGAAGCTAATTGTCCAGAAGAGAAGAGCTGCCATGAATGACTTTGACCGGTTCAAGCTTATGATTGCGAAAATTAAGGTATATCTATATATACACATACGCGATGTTTGTTTGATTTTCGACCGTGTTTTGTCTAAATTGTGTTCTCTCAACTTCGCAGAGGGCTGGTGTTGTCCGGCAAGAACTTGCAAAACTCAAGAAAGAGAATGCAGCCTAATCTAGTAAAATTTTTTGTCAGTTCATATTTTTGAAGGATTTTTAACACCTTGCCTGCAGATTTACCTGTTCTTGAATTAATTTACACTAGGCGAAAAAAATTTACTTCCCGATATTGCTTCAGCTTCAGATCGGGAACATGTTTTTGCCATTCGTCGTAAAACTTGCTTCTATTATTAACTCATGGCAATGATACGTTATTTTGTTCCCTTTTTACATTCGATTGCTCTTTAGCCTTCTTTTGAGTTACGCGTTATGATATTTACTATCGATTATGGTTTAGCATTTTGTGTTGTTAGATCTCGGATTGATATCGGGTATGGTTAATAAAATTTTACAGGAAATCGGGTGTACCTAGCTTCGGGTTTGAGCTACGGTTTATGATAAATACTTTCGACATGGTATTGTTAAATATTGTGGATCGAGACTATTACGTATAGGTTAAATCATATTGATATCGAGTATGTTCCAGGGTGTGTCTATTTGGGAGTTTGGATTTTGGTTTGGAATTTGAATAGTAAAAATGTTGAATTGAAATAATTGTATGATGTGATATAAATAGGTGTTGATGTGATATTTTTCACGTAAACGTAAAATTGTGAGGATTGCATAGGAGCTCGACTAACTCGGCCTAGCCTCAATCATGCTACGGCCGTGGACCTTCGTCATGTCCTGACTTCTCATCCTCGACTTCACCTTCATAGCCTCGACCCATTTACCTCCTTCGGCGTATACATTACGCAGCAATGCATAATATCCCGAGTCGTCGCCGTTTACATTTACAAGATCCGACTCGATCCTGCTCAGAAAGTCCATTCTCTGATGTATCCGGCACCCGTTCACCAGCGCACCCCAAACGCTTGCGTCTACCGGAAAAGGCATCGATAGAATAACCTCGTATGCTCCGTCGATGTCGCCTGCCCGGCTCAGCATATCCACCAAGCACGCATAATGCTCCGAGCTGGGCGCAATTCCGTAATCCCGAACCATTGAATCGAAATACGACTTGCCCCTAGACACATTCCCGGCGTGGCCACAGGCCGAGAGGATGCTCATGAAAGCAACGTCGTTGGGTCTCCTTCCCGACTCTATCATCCCGTCGAAAAGTGCAATCGAGTCGTCGATACGCCCGTGCATTGCGTAACAACTGATCATCGAGCTCCACGTTACAACGCTTCGATCTCTCATTCTGTCGAAAACTCTCCGGGAGACGTCGAGGTCGCCGCATCGAGCGTACATATTCACCAGCGCGGTATCGATGTACATATCGCTCGTTACTCCCGACGTAATAAGCCTGTGATGTACCCATTTCGCCTTGTCTATAAACCCGAGATTCGAACAAGCCTGAACGACGCTCAAAAATGTTACCTCGTCCACGTGGAGATTATTCGCGCACATTTCTTCGAATAATCGAACGGCTTCTTCCGAGTACCCGTTTTGTAAAAACCCACACATCATCGAATTCCACGCGACGACGCTACTCCCGTCCCGAGCATCGCAAAACACCCTAAATGCCGAGCTTGTAAACCCGCATTTCGCGTACATATCAATCAACGAATTCCGAACAAACTCATTCGGGACAACGTATGTCTTAACGACAAGGGCGTGGATTTGGCATCCGAATTCAGACAACCCGATCGATCCACAGGCTGTAAGAGCGCTAGCCGACGCAAACGAATCCGGCAAGATTCCTCGAACCAACATCTCTCGAAACAACGACAGAGATTCCTCCGCCATATGCTCCCGAGCGTATCCCGATATGAGGATATTCCACGACACTACATCCTTTTCATACGCAGAATCGAACACCAATCGCGCGTACCGTAACTCGCCGCCGTTAGCATACAAATCAATCAGCGATGACCTCAGAAAATCGTCGTCGAGATCGATATAATTCCGAACTGCGTAGGCGTGAACAGCTCTCCCTTCTCTCAAACACCGCAGTCGAGCGCACGAACACACGACGTTCATCAACGTAACGGTATTTGCCTCCAATTTATGCCCCGACATTTTAACGAACATCTTCAACGCCTCCGAATAGCAACCGTTCTGATTATAACACGAAATCATTGCTGTCCATGAAGCTGTGCTACGATCAACGGAATTACCGAACAACCTCTCAGCGCTATTCACGTCACCGAATTTTCCATACATTGCGACGAGAGAACTCACCAACGCCGAATCTATCGGAATATTCTTTCTAACCGTATAGCCATGGCACGACTTCCCGATTATCGGCATCCTCAACTCTCCGCAGGCCTCGGATACGCTGAGCATTGTGACTGCATCAATGGCCATCTCTACCCTCACCATTTCTCTAAATAATTTCAATCCTTCGGCCTCCGATCCGCTGCGGATATAGTTCGTTATAATCGAACTCCATGAGACTGAGTCTCTTTCAGGCATTTCGTCGAACACTTTCCGTGCACTACACAGGCACTCTGATGAACCGTACAAATTCAGCAATGAGGTACTGACTATAGGATCGCAATCAAATCCAGACTTCAAAACCGTCGAATGGATCGTTTCTCCCGTTCTCAGATCGCAGATTGAAGAACAAGCGCTCAGAATTGGCGGGAAAACAAAATTGTTCAACTCAACAGCGTTTGCGAGCATACTTCGGTATACGTCAATGGCTTCTAGGAAGAATCCGTTCCAGACGTTGCATTTAATCACAACTCCCCACATGAATGAATCTGGATTCGAGAAGGTTTTGAAAATTAGCCTCGACCATTGCACCGCACCGGTTTGTGAATATGCTTCTATGAGTTTGGTTGCTACGAGACGATCCTTCCCGAATCCGGTGACCGTCAGATGGCCGTGCACGGCGGAGACCGATCGGAAGCTCGTACAGGCTCTGAAAAGCGGCATGTACATCTTCTTCTTCTTCTTCTTCAGTCTGCCAATTCATCGGAGAACACAGTCCGAATCTTCAATTCTCCGGAGAACCTTGAAAATCATCTCACACGCCGGCGGTCTGCCATTTACGGCGGAATTCTCCGTCCGCGCCAGTCAAAAGCAAGATTGAGAGCTGAAAGTATAGGTATGGAGTCTCCAAAATATGAAAATACAAATGGGACAATACATGGTGACAATATTAAAAAATATATTTCCTCAATTTTATAATAAAATTATTTTTATTTTTTAAATTAATTCTAATTATTACTTCAATTTATTTTTTAAAATTTTTTAAAAAATAAAAATATTTTTAATTTTTTATATTCTATTTTATACTCACTTTTAATTAAATATTATTATTATGAATATACTTTATAATTTTTCGAATTATATGTATTTATTTATCTTTTTATATTAATTTTAATGATTAGTATTTTATAAATATTAATATAATAAAAAAGTAAAAAAATAATTTTACTTTTAGGGTGTGCTTGTTTGGGGTTTGGATTTTGAGTTAGATTTCAATAATAAATAGATGCACGTTTTGAATGTAAAATTGATTTTTTTAGTATAATATAAAAAATGAAAAATAAGTATTTGATTCGTTATTTTTGAGAAAAAAATATTGGATTCAATCCGATCCCCAAACAAACACACCCTAAAATCATTTATTTTTTATTTAAATAAAAAATATTTTTGCTAAATGATTAATATGACTCGGAGGAGAGTATTAAATATTATTTTTTATAAAAAATAAATTACATTACTATTTCAATATAGTTAGAATGAACAAAAGTTAACGGATATCAAAATTCATATAAATTTGTATATATACTCTTTTTCGCTTTTATTTTAAATATTTTTTTTTTAAAAAAATAATTATATAATAAACAAAATATTAGGTTTTATCGCAGATTTATCCTTATTTTGGAAGCGGTAGGAAGTATTTGTAGTTTTAGGAAATTATTGGGGCAATACCAAATAAAGTACTTTTGTTGGGCCAAAAGTGCGAATAAGCGAAATAGAAACACAACTAGGGGAATGTATTGCTGAGGTACCTTCGTTAAACCTTCAACGCTCTTCTCAAACTCCTCATCGTATACGCGCAATTGTGCGTCTCCTCTAAGTACGACTGATCGATCCTTACTCGTCATTGAATTCCTCTCGATCCAGATTCCGTTTGATCGTAAAGATGAATATCTTCTCCAAGAAACCGACTGGCAAAGGTTTTTTTTTTTTTTTGTTAATTGTTTAATTTACTTTTGTTCGTCAATCTTGTGGCGTATGCTGTCATCGTTTGTGTTGAAATATGGTTGTAATTTACGTGATTTAGCATCTAATCCATGGTCGGTTGATTGAGTTTGTCCTGTCTGAACTTCTTATTTCTGATTTTATTGCTTGTAATACTGAATTTTGTAATGGTTGATTGCAGAGGTTCTGCGTGAGAGTAAACGAGAAATGGCCAACGCTACTAGAGGTTTTTTCTTGTGTTCTTTTTGTTTTACCAGCAATTGATTGTTTTATTCTTTGCATTTACAGTGATGTCTTTTTTAGTTACTTGAATTATCTGAAACTGTGAAAGAATCATATACTTGTGTTTTGGAATCACGGATTTATATAGCTCTAGGTTTTATTGAGCAATCATCTTCCATTTATTGTTGAAGAACTAATCGAATTCTTTCTTTAACAAAAGCTGACGTTTGGTGGTTCCACACGGATAAGTATATTAGCATATGCTTCACTTTATGCGAAAAACTTAATTTACATCTTGTAATTCGAGTCTCAAGTTAGGCCTATGTTGTGTTTGTGTGAACAAATCAATCAAATTTATTTGAAAGAAATCTTGTTATGCATATCTTATCTGCTCATTACAAAATCTGGAGTCATTTGAAATGCTTAAGGAGACGATGATGTAGCGACGCCATGCTTCCTCTAATTATAACTGGCGTGGTGTCAATAGTCTTATTTTCAACTTGTTTCTTGCATAATGTGTAGAAATCAGGCAAAAATATGTATTATTTTAACTTGTGGTCTTGATATAGGTATAGAAAGGGAAATCCATGGATTGCAATTAGAGGTATGTATAAGACTTTTCACACCCTTTCCATTACCATTTTTGTTGTTTTTTTACGTAAAAAATTAGACGGTTGTTTGCGATGCAGGAAAAGAGGCTTGTTGCCGAGATAAAGAAAACTGCTAAAACAGGGAATGAGGTGCATATACTATTTAGAAGATTTGTTAAAAGTTTATGGGACAATCTCGAAATAATTCTCATTGTTTTTGCTGTCTCTAAAATTTTCAGGCAGCAACTAAAATTCTTGCGCGCCAATTGGTTAGGCTTCGGCAACAAATAGCCAATTTACAAGGTAGTCGAGCTCAGATGAGAGGTATAGCAACTCACACTCAGGTAAAATAAATTGACCGCTCCGATATTTTATTTATTTATTTATTTTTGTTCATGCAAAGTAACTGACATTATTCGGTATTCACATCTGCAGGCAGTCTCTGCCCAAACTTCGGTAGCTACTGGCATGCAAGGTGCCAGTAAAGCTATGAAAGCAATGAATGAGGTTTGCGGCTAATTTGTGTAGCTCAAGTATTATTTTTTGTTCTTAAAACAATCAAGTAGTCTTGTCTTTTTTAAATACGGTGATTTTGATCGCAGAAAATGGCCCCTGCAAAGCAAGTGAAGGTGATGCAAGAATTCCAGAAGCAATCGGAGCTAATGGATATGACTGTAAGATTGCATTTTTCACTTCTCCAGATTATATTAACCATGGCATTTGAAGATTAAATTTGTTTTCTTATATCTGTGTTCGATTTTCAATTTCGATTGTGTAGACTGAAATGATGTCTGATGCAATTGACAATGTCTTGGATGATGATGAGGCTGAGGATGAATCTGAAGAGCTAACAAATCAGGTGATCATTCGTTTCTAATGGAAAATTAAAGTTTTTATTGCTGAGATTCAAAATGTGCTTGATCAATCCAAACATTTGTTCGTAAAATGGCACATTGGATACTTTGGATTAGCCCGAGGATTCACAGATCGTAAATTTGGGATTTCATTAATGAGCAAGCTTTTGAAAAACATTTTTTCAAAATATCCTTCTGGAGTGAGATTCTTACGACATTCTTGGATTAAAAGGTTTATTACATGATTTCACATAGGACAAATTTATGAGTACAATACTTTAGTCTTCCGATTAGTTTTCAATTTACAAGATACTCATCCGACATTCAGCATTATTTCCATTACATTTACTTGCACTTTTCGTAAATACTACAGGTGCTGGACGAAATCGGTGTAGATGTAGCCTCACAGGTCTGTTTTCGTCGCAACATCGTAATTATTACACAATAGACTATGTTTCTGCAGATTCTAAACCCTGACATGTTTATCGTGTCTGATTCTGGACTCATCAACAGCTGTCTTCTGCTCCCAAAGGAAAAATTGCCGGGAAGAACGCCGAGGGTCCTGGCAAGTATGTATTCGATGACTCAAATGTATGAATCCCCAACCCGAGGAGTCGTTGACTTGTAACTAATTATCTTTGTCTTGCTGTAGCTCAAACATTGATGACCTTGAGAAGAGATTGGCTGCCCTCAGAAATCCTTGAAAAGGTTCAAGGATCTCTTCTTAAGTCGGATCGAATACCATGTAGCGCGATTATTTGGTAATTATATCTTTGTGCATAATTCTTCCCCTGCTGTTTATATTGTTATAACCACCTGCTTTACATTTGTTATTTACTTGAAGTTTTGGTTCAAATTGTAGTCAAGATATGTTTAGATTTTAAATGGTTCATGATGTGTGGGCAAAGAGTGTGGCTTGATTAGGGTGTTGATTTAATTCAGTACATAAAATATAAATTGTCAGCGCATGGTTTTGAATGATATCTATTAGCAAATCGATCACTTATTTTTTCATTATCCACAATTAATCAAATAAATAATAATAATAATAATAATAATAATAATAATAAAAAAAAAAAAGATAGATATTCTTTTGTGTGTAAACTATTAGCTTCAGCCGAAAATTTACTCAAAATGCGGCAATGGTTTGAGCAGTGTTGGTTTGGTTGTTGGCGGTTGATGACGAAATTATATAAACGAACTACTCCCTCTTTAATTTTGGTCCGTCCAACAAAGTATCTATTTCTTTTTCTTAGTAACTGTGTTATATCTGCCTAACATTATAAATACCCTTACAATTTACAATATAGTACACAAATATCATTATTTTCAAACCGAAGGAGTATATGTGACAGCAAATAAAATTTAGAAGTTTGAACTCGTAACTTCACAATTACGAGTTTGTCTTCTCGCTCACACATCACATAGTTCAGACCTTTTTTTAAATTCGGCATTTACATAGAGCACACTCAAATATGTAAATAAAATTGGATTAGTGTGACTTTCCGATCGAATCTAGTTTGCAGATTATTAGGTTTGATCAAAGATTTTACCCAATGTGCATTTTCGGCGAGTAGCAACTACAGATTCTTACGTAATAAATCATAAAAAGAAAATAAAAAGAAAATGGTTACAAACAACAAATATATAAGCTACATACCGAGTATGGCAGAATACATTTGGCATTTATTAAAAACCTAAAAGCCTCAGTCTTGTTGGGAAACAACAAAAAAATTAAAAATCGAAAAACTACATCACAAACAGCTCATCAAAATCTTGGATGAGAGCATAGCATAGCATAGCATACATCATACCATTACATACACATTTGCAATACAAACCGTGTGGATTTCCACAAAACCATGACTGAAAAATATCGTCGGGTGTTGCCGGGAAGATCTCATTCGTGGTGGTCACTTCTTGATCGAGAGGAACTCGAAGGTGCGCAGAGGATCATCACGGGTGCCTTTACCTGCTGTACGAGAGAAAGGCGAAGGCTTAGTGTCGGCGCCGGGTAGACTTCTTTGGGCGGTCGAGAACCGGCCGGTGCTCGAAACCAATCTGACGGCACGTCCATTGGAAGGCTCACCGGACGAGGTCGGTCGGCTGGTCGAAATGGCGGCGCGCTTTGAGGAGCCTCCATTTCGAGAAGCGCGGCCCTTCTCTGAGTCGGGCAGCTGCATTTGAAAATCGGGAAGATATATATATATATATCTTAATTACGAGCATCTAGGACTAGGAGAGATTTAGGAGAATCGTGTAAGAAGAAATACCACATCCTTGGATGACGATGGAGGGTCTTCTAACGTCCTGTGTTTAAATTGTTCGTTGTGCTGACCAGAAGTTGCGGTGTTTCTTCTAGAAAAAGCTTCGATTGCACCCGGGAATCTATCGTGGGAGTCGTGCCCTGCTGGAGAAAACAGCGAAATCAGAAACGATCAAAGAAAAATTTGGTCGGGAATACAATGAAAATCTAAAGAATGCAATTTGAATACTTTCAATATTGCAATAGACTTCTGTTTTCAGACATTAAAATGGTTTCAAATTGGGATTTTCACAATTCATAAGGTTAGCAGCAGAATCTTGCGCTAAGCATGGATACAAAAGATAATTTCAATGGAAAAAACTAAAAGATAAACTTAAAATTCTCTACGGAAGCTAGAAGTTCGTTGGCTCGATCACTTGGATAGAAGTATTCCTCAGTTAAAATCTTTCGGTGAAGAATTCTCAGCAGTTACTAAGCCATATAACGAGTCTAAAATACAGCTTCTGATTTTAGACCGTGCACATTTCGATTTCTTGTATAGCAAATTAGTTTCAATGTCAGTTTTATATTTCTTTAAAATGATATCACATATTTTGACAAGTTAAACAGCTAATTAATCGCTAAATCGAAAGATCAGATAAGTGGTTCAGCATTTTGGTAGTTCATTATGGCCGAAGAAGATCCTACCTATTCGTCCCGGTCTCTCAGCGGAGGTCCCAGCAACAGCATTTCCGGAGGGATTCTGCAATAACACAATATCTATTATTCTCAACCATTGGAGAACATATAGCCACCATTAATAAGGAAAAACTAACCCTCGGTCTAGAACTAGAACCAATCTGTGGATACTTCAATATAGTCCAATCGAAAACATAGTCAAATTGATAACCTACATGAACAAACACAAGATAATATACGAGGAGCTGCCGAAGAAGTAAAGAGCACAAAGGCATTTCCTGGTAAACTGAATATCAAATTGTAAATGACAGATTATGAACTTTAAAAAAAGGAACGGAATTACACATTACCTTGACGAATAAACAAGTCCCGGAAAAGCCTTTTTAAATAAGAATAATCAGGCTTGTCCTCAAATCTTAAAGCTCGAGTGTAGCGAAAGTAAGATATGAACTCTGATGGATATGACTTGCATAGAACCTGCCATATTGTATAAGAAGTTAAATTTATTCAGCAAGTTACGGGTGGATCACATAGCTAAGTATATAACCAAATGCAAGGACTTAGATAACATATTAACCACCACGGGTCCTTCTAAAATTACATAGAACAAAACTGTGTGTATTCTGCTGTAGGTTGTAGTTTCATTTCATTTATGATCATGGAGAAAATGACTTTAACAGGATTCCATAAACAACCCATAAAGATTGGCGAATAAAGCACCAGGATCAATCTTAAAAGTTAAAACTAAAGGTCTATTCGGTGACAAGGTTATATAGTGGTTGATGAATGTCAGATGATATGGCGTGAAGTGAATAATCAATAAAATAACATGTACACTCAACATTGCAGTAAGGTCGATGGTGTTAGTATGTAAATATAATATTAAACATTCACAGTGTATGATAGACTATAGAGATCGTTGTTAGGGTAATTCAGATACATCAGGTAAAAGCCATAATGTACTGTACAGAAGTTCAAATATTTAACCCCAACGCTACAATAGGATCCAATGATAGGTTGACTTCTTATTATCAAAGTAAAACAGTATTAAGTTGGATTAATAATCAACTAAATCGCAAAAGAGGCCCAAGTGGATAGCAGGAGTAGGTTTTCAAGTCAGATCATGTAAGTGAATTACAATGGGAAACTAATATCTCGAGAGAACGTTATTTGAAACAAGTGCAAGTTGAATAACAAATTCAGACATGACGGGGAAACATACCTCTATAGGCGTTAACATTTTCTGCTCACATATCCTGTCATATTTTTGCTTTTTCGTGCCAGCTTTAAGTCCTTGCCAGGGCAAGCTGGAATGAAATTTAAATTGTGGAATAAGTGCACAAAGAAATATAAAAATCTTGTAAACGATGTAGTAACCATATAACAATAAACAACCAACCTTCCTCTTAAAAAATACATTAGCACATAGCCGAGAGATTCCAAATCATCCCTTCTGCCTTGCTCTGCCAGTATAAGATTAAGTAAATTAAATTGAATTCCAGCAAAAGTAACTTTGGGATTTCGTTATGAATTAATTACTCACCAACTCCAAGGTGTGTGTTGCAACTAGCATAACGAGCAGTGCCGGTAAGATTCTTGTTTTCCCTGGAAAAGATGTAATACAACAACGGTAAATACATCTGAGGATAAAAAGATGAAAAACATAAGATCTGCCACAACCAGGTTACACAGTTGTAATTCACATTAATACAAACAGCCATTGCATATTTGATCATCCAAAATTCATATACCGAATCCAAACAAAATATGAAGTTACCTATATGGGATGTGCTTGTGAGTCTGAAGATCCCTATACTTTTTGGCCAGACCAAAGTCAATGATGTAAACCTGTAATATATAACACCAAATATGTCACAGATAGAAATGCAACAACCAGTGAACTAAAAAACTGGCACCCCTAAATTTCAACATCTGGAAACCCCATGCTTCGAATGCTCTTGGATAATGATTTTAACAAGTAGGTGAAAAAGAAATTGAAAATTCCAGCACAATAAATGAGTTTGACAGCATGTACTATCATGAAGTTTAAGTTACTACGGGCTTTTTTTTTGTTTTTATTATCGGATACTACGGGTTTGTTTGGTTGTGTTTAATGTTACTTTGGTTTTGAAAATTTTTGAATGATAAATAGGGTTTGAGAGCGATTATTCATTATAAAAATATACGGTTAGAAACTGGGATTGAAAACACAAACAAAAAAATGTCGAATAACTTTCCATCTTTTGAATACATAGCACATGATATAATTAAAGTGTGAATTATGAAAGATATACCTGATTCGCTTTGCGTCCCAGGCCCATCAAAAAATTGTCAGGCTTTATGTCTCGGTGCAGAAATCCTCTTGAGTGCATGTATTCAACTCTATTAATCTGGAACCACAATGTAAACCTAGTATCACAACTATTTGGCAGCGAAAATCAAACCCCAAAATAAAGGAAGAAAATTGGTTATCAGTAGCACTTGCCAGTTGATCTGCAAGCATTAAGACTGTCTTTAACGAGAACTTCCGGTTACAATAATTAAAGAGATCTTCGAGACTTGGGCCCAGAAGGTCTATCACCATAACATTATATTCCCCTTCAACTCCATACCATTTCAGGTGAGGAATGCCAGCTATACAACAAGAGAAATCGACAATATTAAGATGTTAAGAAAAGAATATAAATTCACCTCACTCGGGCTTGAGAAAGGAGTCATTACTATAGAACATAAATGCAATATCATATCTTATTACATGTAATTAAATAAACACTCGAATTTCGAAAGGATCACGAATAGAAAAATATCCAACTGTAACGTTATCTCCGATCAACTTATTACTGGAATCTTCAAACATATGCATATATAGCATAACACCGGAACATCTAAAACTAAAGTTTCGAAAACTCTATGAATGCGTTCCTCACAAGCAAGGAATAAGCCTAATAACATTGTGCTTCGACAAAAAGATGATGTTTAATCTAATCTGCATTCGTTTATGAGGAATAATCTGCATTGTTTATCTTCCCCCGGGAGATAAACAATTAAACTTACTTCCTCCTTGTAGAAACAAATAGATCTTTGACTCGTAGTGAAGCTGGGGGTGCTTGGTCTTCACAGATTCCTGAAATTTGTAAGGACAGCAATTTCAGAAGCATATGTGACGGGGACTTGCGGCTTCGCAATATAAGCGAACACAAAATTGGGTGGGTGTGTTCTTCTGTCTTTTTTTTACCATTTTTTACTATTCAATATTTTGTTTTTCCCCCAAAAATATAATTAAATAAATACACCAAACATCCATTTACCATACAAAACATCAAATCAAACAACTTTTTCACCTCAACAACAACAACAAAATAAAACCAAATTACAACAGAGCATACCCTAAGTAATTTGGAAATAAGGCCTTTTATGAACCAACAAATGTTCCATGTCTTTAAAAGTGAAACAAGCACTAAACACTCCACCATATAGCATGACAAACCAAATAAATGTCTTTGTAACTGTAAAATAAGATTAATATAGAATTCATTAATATGAAAATTAAAACACAATACCAGCTTAATGGCCACTTCTTCACCATTTTGTATGTTCACACCTACACCATGACAACAGAATCAAAGTCTTCAATACAAAAAAAAAATATCAAATTATGAAGATAAAATCAATCTCTTTCCTAAGTCAACAGTACCTAGAAAGAGTTCACCAAATGAACCAGACCCAATTTTCCTCCCAAGCTTGTACTTTCCCCCCACAGTACGGTCCATGGAAATCACTTCAATTCAACAAAACTCAAATTCCAAGATTCACCCACCCCTTAATCTCCCTCCCAAGAACTAACAATAAATAAATAAACAAATAAAAATCGGCAAATCTCAACCTTAATTAGGGGTGAAAAATTAACCCAAAACCCAGGCAGCAACAAGCACGCTAACTAAGTCCAAAAACAACCCAACGAATTTCGGAAACCTCAACAAATCCAATAAATCAGCAGAAAAACACAATAGATTAATCGAAAATCGACAAATCCCCTTCTTTCGCCGAACTACATGCTCGAACATACAGAAACCCTAACACCCGAACTGTCGATCCCTCATTGATCAAAACCCTAAAACAACCGAGCAGGAGCAACCGATTGAACTTCTCTGCTGCGCTGAATTATTGTAGAAAACTAAAACCAGCAACCAGAAAAGATCAAAAAAAAAGGAAGAAAAAGAAGAAAGAAAAAGAGGCGACAAGTAAGGAGATGAAGAATAAAAGAAATGCGAGACAAGGCAGCGAAGATTGAGGGATTGGGGAGGGAAATAGAATCAGAGAAAGGATCAAAAAATGGGAAAATAATGGATTGGAAGGAATTGAGGGAGTTGGTGTGCGTGTGGAAAGCCAAATTGGGGATTGAAGGATGGGAAAAAGATTATCGATGATTGATTGTAAGAAAGACTTTTGAGTGGTGTGTGTTGGCAATAAAGAAATTCATCTTCTTTATTTATATATATATATATATATACTCTCTCAAGAGACGTCTTATTTGCTATTATAATGATAATTAAGAAATAATATTATTTAATTAAAAATTCGTATAAAATAAAATTTAAAAGCCTAAAATATTTTTATTTTTTAAAAATTTAAAAAAGCATATTAGATTAATAAATATGGATAATTTGGAAAAATATGAATAATTTTGTTATAAAACAAAGACTACAATTACTGAATAAGGAAACTAAACACTTGTTTTGAAACTGACGAAAATAAAAAAACAAGACGAAGTAGTGTTAAATTACTAAATGGAAACTAGACAATAAGTAAGAATGGGTGTGTTTTTGTTTTATAGGATAAATGTATTTTTTATCTGCAAATTATGCAAAATTTACCTGTAATTTTATAAAATTGTGTTAAATTTTTATATTTTTAACGTCAAAATATTTTATAAAATTAAGTGTGTTTCCCCGTGAGGTTTTGATTTTGATTTTTTATTTTGAATAATAAAATTTTAAATTGAAATAGTTGTTTGATACAATATAAATATACTCTGTGATATTTTAAATATAAAATTAAATTTTAACATAATAAAATAAATAAAAATTTGGTGTTTTGATATTTTTTTAAAAAAAAAAACATTAAAATAGTAAAATTATGCGTAAAAACTTACAAGTAAACACACCAATTGTTTATGTAATGTTGTTATTATTATTATTATTATTATTTATAATATTTAAAAACCCTTTAACATTTTAAGATTACGACAAAAATATAATTGTTGATGTATTTTTTCAACAAAAATAAAGTAAAATTCAAAGATATAGAAAATATCCTTAAACTTGATTAATTAGTGCCTGAGATTAGGAATCTCTAAACACTGTAACGTACAGAAACTAAACTGGAAAATAAAATACTGAAATCTAAAGTGGTGATCCCCAAATCTGACTTTGCTTTGTTGAAGTTGATTGAAGATGCCTTGCCAAATGATGATCCAAATCCTTAAATATTCCCTGGGAAACCGTACTGAAAACCGTCACCCGAACGGTTACAACGTCTCCTTCTCAACCGTCTTCCAACCTTTCTTATGCTGACACGTGTCCCCAGCAGACCAAAAATCCCTATATTTCACTCCTTGAGCCAACTACAGACCTTCCGCTCTTTTGGCCCGACTTCGTCCTTCGTCCGACCTACTTCTTCGCCCGACCCCACTTGGGCCGACCTCCATATCAACCGCCCCCTATATTTGATCAAAGGCCTCCGTGTTTGTCCGACTCCTCCTTCTATCCGACCTACAGTTTACCCGACCTGCGGATATCCCATCTCAACGACTTTCTGTCTCGAGGATCTCCCGACTTGAAAACCTTCCGACTTGAGGTCTTTCCGTCTTGCGGACCTCCCGACCGGAAGACCTTCCGACTTGAGGTCTTTCCGTCTTGCGGATCTCCCGACCTGAAGACCGTCCGACTTGAGGTCTTTCATCTTGAGGGCCTCCCGACCTGAAGACCTCCCGACTTGAGGTCTTCCCGTCTTGCGGACCTCTCGACCTGAAGACCTTCCGACTTGAGGTCTTTCCGTCTTGCGGACCTCCCGACCTGAAGACCTTCCGACTTGAGGTCTTTCCGTCTTGCGGACCTCCCGACCTGAAGACCTTCCGACTTGAGGTCTTTCATCTTGAGGGCCTCCCGACCTGAAGACCTTCCGACTTGAGGTCTTCCCGTCTGGCGGACCTCCCGACCTGAAAACCTTCCGACCTGAGGTCTTTCCGCCCTGAGGACCTACCGACCTGAGGTCCTTCCGTCCTGTATTTTCCTTAGAAATAAATAAATAAATTTATTTTCCTTGATTTCCTCACGGTGTCCTTCAGCCAGTTCAATCAACCCTATTGTCAGGCCCATTCTTCTTTTTACCTTGGGCTTTTAACCTAATTCTAAATTTCGTACGTAACAACTTGCCCGCCGCCAAGGGACTTTCAAACGCCATTTAGCAATCAATGTTTGGAAGTTCATAAATCACTACCCTCTTGAAAAACTCCCTTAGCAACTGCACCAGTTACTGCAACACTCCTGATAAACTTCCTTCTTCGCAATACAAGCCTGTGTGAATCACAATCCCAAAACATTCTAACTATGGCGGAGCAATACATGCCTGCCCTTCCTTTCGACGGAACCCTTCCAGAAGGTCCATTTTCAGCTTCGAAAGTACTAACTCCGACGATCCGTCCATATTGCACTACTCCTGAAGATTCAAATCGGATGAGGGAAGTTTTGGAATCTCGCAACCCCTTGGCTATCAACAATCCCAACTACCAAGCAGTTCGCATCCGGGACAGCATCAAGACCCATCTCACAGACCCAAAAGATCTGTATCGCGCTTGGTATCGACGAGTAGCAGAACACTTCCAGACCCAATGGCGTTCCCAAAAAATCGACCAAGCAATATTGCTGTCCACCATGCCTATCAACCTGCATGAGAAGGTGTTGTTGGCCATGTCTGCCTTCTGGAATGCGGAAAATGGGACTTTCCTCTTCCCATCAGGCCCCTTTGGCCCAACTCTTATGGACGTGGCCATGATCGCACATCTCCCAATCGTGGGTGAAGACCCTGTAATGGGAGCCCTAGATGGGCAGGAGCCATCAGAAGACCATCCGGGATGGTCCTTACAAAGTGTGAAGGAATGGGGTTGGACAAAGTTCGCAACCGACCAGCAAGGGGCTCCAGGGACTCCTGTAACCGACCGGGAGCATACTGCCTTTATTCTGTTCTGGCTTTGTAGGTACATCATTGTTTCTCCTTCCAAAAGTGTTCTTCCTTCCCACCTCGACCTGGCCATTCATATTGCGTCAGGTCGGTTCTTCTCCCTTGGTACTCTATTTTTAGCCAATCTGTTCGAAGGACTCACCAGGGTTAGCCTTCGTTTAACAGATAACGATAATAGGAAATTAGACACTGCCGCGTCGGGTCCTTTTTGGTTTTTAGAACTTTGGTCCCGTCTTTACTTTCCCAACGCGTTTAACTTAGGATCTCCGCCCACTATGCCAACGTCTGAAAAACATTTAGGATTAGTCCTCAACCGACTCTGCTCAGGACGCAATAAACTCCAATCATCCGACCCAATAATAACTGCCATTTTAACAGATACCCGCAGTAACTCTCGATTTTCTATGTATAAAAAATATGCGGGTTATGCTCCCGACCATTTTTGGCCCTTTCCAGTACCAAACCCACTTCCGACTCCTGAGCCTTGTCCTCATCCCACCTATCCTTTCGCCTGGGACGTCGCCCTCAAACCCAGGTCTCTTTTTAGTAGCAAGAAACTTGATAAAAAAGGGCAGAAAACTTTTTACACTTTTAACTATGAACCTCAATTCATGGCGCGCCAGTTCGGCTGTTGCCAAGGTATCCCTGGACCCGTCGCGTGTCCCCAAATAATTTTTCAAAGCCCCGACCGACGAGTCCTTCCTAATTCAATCCCTTCTTATATCTCCCAGCTCACCACGTATATAATTTCCAATTCTTATATTCCTTTCCGCTCCAACCCTGAGATCGTAGATACTTTCAATGAATGGTGGTCGGTCGTATGGTCCCTGATATCCCCTGATGAGAGTCGGTTGCTGAACGTCCTCCTCCCTCCCCAAGGACTGGTTCTAGGGACGGCGATACATACTAGCACCCAAAAACATACAACCGCCCCGGGAATCGGATCTGGTGGTCCCACGCGCAAAAGAAAAACTTCCCAATTGCAAACACCCCCGACCTCGGAGACCGACCAACAAACACTAGCAGACCTTGGAATAAATAGGACGTCAGCAAGGACCCGACCCCGAATTGGTAATGTTTCTTAACACCGTGAACCAATTCACTAAATCGTAACTTTGATTCTACTCATTTCATTCCCCAGAACCGACCTTGGTGACACCGACCAAGCAACCGACGCCAGCACCAACCGACCATTCAATCGGGCCTTTGGTCCAGACCAATTTGCCAATGAGCAATCGGGCGGAGGACCCGACGCGGAGGCAAACTCTTCCTCCCGCACCGAGGAGTGGTCGGGCCAGGCCCCCGACCAGGAGACAATCTTTACCAGCAGTACCTACAGAACCAGTAAGTTCTCTCACCAGCACTCCTTAGTATTCTAATGATCAACCTTGATATAGTTAACAACAAACATCTTCATGATTTTTCCACAGACACCTTCACCCATCCCATCAGCAGCAGGGGTCTCTTCTGACAGCGAGGGGACTACTTCCCAGATGGGTCGGCCGCCATACATGGCATCAGACTCATCTATATCAAAGGAAGAACCAGCCGCCCTCGCCGAAACTGACCTTCAAAACGACATCCCTGATGCTGCTGATCCCGAAATCGAAGGTGCCCCAGAGATCCTGGCTGCAGTGGCTCTAGAGGTAGCCGTCCAACCTGCAGCCGCCCTACCAGCAGCGGCACTCCCTCTAGCCATCGAATGGCAGGCAGAAGAACCACCCGTGGCAGCCCAACCTCCAGAAATGGGAGAAATGTCTTCATCCGATTCGGAGACTTCTGTGAATTTGGTAAGATTAAACCAATCCAGGTCATAACTTTTCTTTCGAAAAACACTAACTGTTTCCAATACTACTTTCTATAGGGACCCAGGTCGGCACCTCAGCGACCATTCGCAGCAGCCGACGAGTCGGCTGCTATTATACCAGCTGTCTGCCCAACTCGACCGACCTCATTGCTGCCCCCCTCACTGACAGCAGTCCGCCCAGAGGTACCACATATTTTCTCCGAACAAATTTGCAACTCCCTTGGAATATGTATTGACATTGTAGGACTTGCAGGGGCCTTCGGACTTAGCTGTCCTATCGACTGTTCCGGTTCCAGCGGAGGCCCAGACTGTGTTCACTGAGGCCATTAACCGTCCCCTGTCCGAACTAAGGTCCGACTTATTGGACAAACTCATTCAGACGGTTGGTGGCCTTCTTTTTTACACTCCAACGGAATCACCAGCCGTCCCCATTCTGCATCGGCTGATGGAAAGACTTACAGAGCTCAAAACTGAAGTGGTAGTCATTGGCCTTCTGTCAGCCGAAACCCCCCAGCCCGACTTCGATCAAACAACGCTGGAGAATTCTTTGACCAAGACTCGAGAATCCCTTCAGCAAACTACTGGAAGACTGGGTGGTCTCCTTAGCACGAAAGCTCTGGTTGATGATGCCATTCAGAAAAAGGAGGCAGAATTGCGGGAGCTGAGGAAAGAACAGTCTACCCTGGATAAGCAAATTACCAATGAACAGCATCTGCTTGAGAAGTATACCAAAAATGAGGCTGAATTGGATCAAGAGCTGAAAACCCAAGCCCGATCCCAATTCATCAGAAGATATCAGACGGCTGCCAATACCAGAAGGCTATCCAGGGATGAAAACAAATGGACACAGATAAAAACTGCCCTAGGGGCACTATTGTAATATTTCCCCCTTTGTAACAACAACTGACTTAGTAATCCATTTTTTCTTTCTTCTCTCAAAACAAGGATCACCTTTCAATTCCCAGCTTTATAGGAAACGAACCAAACTCCTTCTTTAAAAGAACATTGTTTCTCACATTTCAAGAAACACATTCCCAGGCACACTGAAAGTGTTAACAAACATGGCGAATGACCGACCTCATGTTCCATCAAGCAACTGGGAGGGTGTTCTTCAACCCTTCTTTGTAGGTAATCACCCTATTGGAGGCCATGCAGAAGACTTGTTACATATACTCAAGCAACTAGACTTCAAATTCCGATTCTCCCAACGAGGTAGAAGAACTATTCATCGCGTCATCCGCCTGATGGAAAAAGTCATTGAGGGGTATGAACCTCTTCATGACATCCTCAGCCGCATCCCTGATCTCCATCATCACATGGAAATGATCGAAAATCACGCAGCAAACATACTTCCAGATCTTGGTTGGGATAACCTATTTTCCAACCAACGAAAAGTCTTTTCAAGATTGCGGACCATCGTTGATCGTGAACATCAAGCCCTAACAGACATGCAAGCACGTACCCACCAAGATCTAGATGACATGCAAAGCCAATGGGAAAGGTACCGACCAGACTTGGAAGATCTTATTGAAGAAGAACCAGAGCTAATATCCACTCACTGGGATGAAAAGTCTGATTCAGAGACAGAAAAGTTCTCACAACCACACGATGACTAACAGAAATGAACCTTCCAGTAGGTTCGAACCCCCATAAATGGGTTCTGAATAATATGTGGTTTCAGGCAGTTTTGTTATCTGAAAAGGCAGGATAATACCTCTTCAGATATTTAGCATTAATACAATCATGTACTCTTCTACCTTCATGATTTACAATAATGAACGCGCCATTTCCAATATCTTTTTGAACAATGTATGGTCCTTCCCAATTCGGTGACCACTTTCCCAATTGATCAGTTTTCTTATATGTAGGAAGAATGGTCTTCCAGACTAGGTCTCCTTTTTGGAATGTCCTGTGAAGAACTTTCTTTCCGTAACTCCTTGCTCTGATTTCACTCTGTTTCACACTTCGATCTATTGCATGGAGACGGTTAACATCCAAATCTTCTAACTGCTGCAACATAAGTTGTTGGTATTCCTTTGTAAGATCACTATCAGTAAATTCTGTTCGGCCGGATGATGCCCGAATTTCGGCTGGTAAAACAGCATCTTGGCCAAACGTAAGTTGGTACGGCGAGAACCCTGTGGCCGTATTTCTGGTATTTCTATGTGCCCATAAAGCCTGAGACAATAACAAATGCCACTTTCTTGGGTTCCCTTCAATCATCTTCTTTATAATCCCAATGATAATCTTATTTGCTGCTTCCGCCTGTCCATTGGCTTGGGGATAATAAGGTGAAGAATGATGTAACCGAACACCGAATTCTGCCAAGAAATTAGAGAACTTTTCCCCTGTAAAGACCAAGCCTTGGTCGGTTGTTATAGACTGAGGAATACCATATCTGTAAATAATTTGGTTCAAAACGAAGTCTATCACTTCTTTCTGATCCACATTTTTCAAAGCAACTGCTTCTACCCATTTGGTAAAGTAATCAGTCGCGACCAATATGAAACAATGATGTTTCGATGAAGCAGGATGTATCTTACCAATAATATCCATAGCCCATGATTTAAAAGGCCATGGTTTTGCCAAGAATTGCAATTCGGTTACTGGCAAATGGTTTAAGTTTCCATGTCTCTGACATTCCTGGCAGCCTTTGGCAAATTGTATGCAGTCTTCAAAAATCTTTGGCCAGAAAAACCCCAAGCGATGAATGGCCCATCTCATATTGAGACCTGCCCGATGAGCTCCACATATCCCACCATGTACTTCTGTCATCACTTCTAGAGCTTCTTTAGATCCCAAGCATTTCAAAAGTAAACCTTCAAATGATCTCTTATACAAAATTCCATTTATCAATTGAAAACGTAAAGCCTTCAATCGTGTCGCAATTGAAACACTCGCACCAGGATTCTGTAAATACAGGATAAGCTCTGTTCTCCAATCGGGCACTGTTTCGCAGTCGGGCTCCTGTCCGACAGTCTCCTGCTCGACCAGAACTTCGCAGTCGGGATCCTGTCCAATAGCCTCTTGCCCGACCGTAACTTTGCAGTCGGGCTCCTGACCGACCGTCTCTTGCCCGACCATTTGGTCATATATTGGGTCTGTCTTTTCTTCTATGCCCGACTTGATCTCCGACCACATATCCTCCAGAATTCCTTTACAAGCCCTTTGAGCCAACTCATCGGCACGTTGGTTTTCTTTCCTCGGAATGAACTCAATTATTACTTCTGAGATTTTCGTCAGTAACCGACCCACAATGTCCCTGTATCTACGGAGATGAGGGTAATTACAAACATATTGGTTGTTTACCTGGTTGATTACTAGTTGAGAATCCCCTCTTATGATTACAGACTGGACCTTCCTGGCAATTAAAGCCTCCAAACCCAAAATTAAAGCTTCATACTCTGCCGAATTATGGGTCATAGCTTCCAATCGTAGTTGTAAGTTAATCTTTTGACCATCGGGTCCTTGCAAAAAGACCCCTGCCCCTGATTTGTTTCCAGAGGTAGAACCATCAAAGAACATCACCCATGTTCTGGTACTCATATAATACACACATCCGACCTGTAGGGTATTCAAATATGATGGACAACCGAATGGTCGGACGCTATCACTATGAGAATACCCGACTTGGGAAAATTCTGCTAAGAAGTCGGCTACTGCTTGTCCCTTAATTGCCCTCAGTGGGGAATGGTGAAGATCGAAAGGAGCCAATTTGATGGCCCATTTCATGAGTCTGCCCTTCATAGTAGGTCTCTGTAAAATCAATTTGATGAGATCCACCTTTGATATGACCTCAACTCTTCTGGGCAGCAAATAATGCTCGAGTTTAGTGCAAGCGAAGACCAATGAATAACACATTTTTTCTGGCATAGTGTAATTCAATTCTGGTCCTGTAAGGGTTTTACTGAGATAGTAAATTGCCCTTTCCTTCCCGTCATCACCATCCTGCGCCAATAAACAACTAACCACTTCATATGTATTTGCCAAATAAAGTTTGAGTGGCCGACCTTGTTTGGGAGGCATCAAGACTGGAGGGTGAACCAATGCCTGCTTGATAGCATCTAAAGCCGTTTGTTGGTCGGGCCCCCATTCAAAGGCAATCTTTCCAGCTTTCAACAATTTAGTAATAGGTCTGACCTTGCCAGCAGCATTAGAAATGAAACGCCTCAAATAATTCACCTTACCCAACAGACTCTGGATTTCTGTAACCGTCTTGGGTGGCCGACTATCAAGAATGGCTTTAGCCTTGTTGGCATCAATTTCAATTCCTCTCTCATGAACTAAGAATCCTAGAAAGCTCCCGGCTGATATTCCAAAAGCACATTTGGTTGGATTCATCTTCAACTTGTACTTCTTCATTCTTTCAAATGCCTCTTCAAGATCCCTCAAATGTTCGTCAAAACTGGCAGATTTAACTATAACATCATCAATATACACTTCCATAGATCTGCCAATTAAATCATGAAAGATTGAATTCATGGCTCTTTGGTAAGTTGCCCCTGCATTCTTTAACCCGAATGGCATGACTGTCCATTCATAAATACCCAAAGCCCCTGGGCATCTGAATGCTGTCTTAGGAATGTCTTCTTCTGCCAAGAATATTTGGTTGTAACCTGCATAACCATCCATCAGACTAAGGATTTTATGCCCTGCTGCTGCATCTATCAGCATGTCGGCCATAGGCATCACATATTCGTCCTTAGGGGTAGCTAGATTCAAATCCCTGAAGTCGATGCATATCCTTATCTTACCATTTTTCTTGACCACTGGCACAATATTAGCCAGCCACTCCGCATAACGGCAAGGTTGAATGAAACCCACTTTGAGAAGTTTTTGGATTTCTTCCTTGATTTGAGGCATCAGATCTGGACTCATTCGCCTTGGAGGTTGTTTGTAAGGTTTACAACCTTCTTTGATGGGCAATCGATGCTCTATTAGACTTCTTGTCAAACCAGGCATCTCTGAATAATCCCACGCTAAACAATCAATGTTGTTTCTAATAACTTCAAGCATCATTGTTTGTTGCTCTTTAGACAAATAACCACTTAACCTGATCACTTTTGGAACCAATTCGGTTCCTAAATTAAACTCCAATAACGGGTCTTGTGATGAAGCTGTTGGTTCTGTTTTTTCTAATAAGTCGGGCCAACGAAATTGTTCATCTTCTTGGAGGTGAACATCCAGAATCTCTTTATTATTTTCTACTTTATGTAATAACTGTTTTAAATAGAACTTATTAATAAGAGAACTACATACTTCTAAGCTTGTATCTTCCATTACAAACAAATTATACGGGAATGGGTGTGGCTTTATCATGAGCCATACAATAAAGGTGTTCTTTTAATAGAACATCGAGTTCTGGCCAGTGACTTTATAACCCTTGATTGGGTATTCCCTGGCCATGTACAACTGAGACATCGGAGCCACCTGACTGGAATAAAACACTGACTCTTCAACTTGTTCGGTTACATCGAATGGGTTGTCATTCGCTTCCATTTTGAAGACTTGATTTCCCTCCCAGAACATTAATTGTTGGTGCAGGGTTGAAGGCACACATTGAGAGGCATGAATCCAGTCTCTTCCCAGCAAGAGAGAGTATGTAGTATCTGCGTCCACAATAAAGAAAACAGTAGAGATCTTCTTTGGTCCGACCTCGATTGTGGCAACCATCATGCCTTCCGGCTTGGTCGGTTGCCCTGTAAAACTTGTCATTTCGAATTCCACAGGAGATAGATCATGTATTCCTTTTCCTAACTTCTTGAGAGTCTTCAATGGCATAACATTAAAAACTGCTCCATTATCCACGAAAACCTTTGTGATTGGTTTCCCACAAATATGAGCATTAACATACAGAGGCTTCAAATGGGAGATCGCACCCTCTGGAATAGGAGGAAACACAATCGAAGGTGGCTCCGGTTGAGGCTCAGAATCTGAAGTCTTTGCTCCCTCTGTCTCCTCTAATTCACCATCTGCCAAGAAAGCCCATAAAGGTTCGTCCATAGTTTCATCTACCAGACTCGCCCACGTCGGTTCATCACTCATCTGATTAATCTCTGTCATTCGACAAGG